ATGATGGACCAGACGTGACAAGACTGACAACGTGGAGACAAACAATGGTGAAACCAACAAGTGGCAACAGAGGATATAGAATAGATGATGACTGGACGACAAAGAGGAAAGCAACACTCGACATAGAGTGGACAGGCTCAACAAACTTTGAAGAACACGCATCATACAAAGATGAGTTCATCACAGATGAGCCAGAGGAGCAACAAGAAGCCAAGAGAGCAAAAGGAGTGCCAACACCACAACAACCAACAGAACAAGAAAGAAGAGAACACGAGCTCACACACCTTCCCTACAGAAGCTGGTGTCCAACATGTGTACAAAGCAAAGGAAGACAGGACAACCATCCAAAGCAAACAAGCAAAACACCAGTGATCCAAGTGGATCTGATGTACTACAAAGCACTAGGAGAAAAGCAAACAACATCAGTCCTTACAGCAGTGGACGTTGAAACAGGCATGTGTATGGCAGTCCAACTTGAGGACAAGACACAACACGTACAATACCTGTCAGTTTGCCTTCAACAATTCCTCATGGAATGTGGCAGAACACATGCAATTCTCAACAACACCGTTCTTCAATCAGACCAGGAAGACTTTATCATCACCTTGCTCAAGATGGTGGCAACAGCCATGGGTAGCAACATAGCAGTCAGGCAAGCACCAGCCTACACATCACAAGCACAAGGAAGCGTTGAATGTTTCCACAGAACATTGATGGGCCAAGTCAGAGCTCTCAAACTCCAATTGGAGACCAACTATGGCATCAAGCTCAACAGCAAGCATCCCATCATGCCGTGGCTTGTCAAACACGCAGCATACCTGCTCAACAGGTATTCCACCCACTCAGATGGAAACACAAGCTACTACAGACGATGGGGCAAAGAACACAAAACACCAATATGTGAATTTGGTGAAACAGTTCTTTACATGCTACCAACAGCAAAACATATGCCAAAGATGGAAGCAAGGTTCTATCCAGCCATCTGGTTGGGTAAGGACAACTCAACAAACGAGAACATACTTGGCATCAGCAACAAAGTGGTCAGAGCAAGGACCATAAGAAGACAAATAAAGCCAGACAAGTACAACAAGCAGTTGATGGACATCATCAACTCTTCACCAGCCATGATACCACCAACAACACCAAGCATTGTGGTACTACCACAACCCGCTGCTGCAAAGCAGCAGACAACAGCAAGTACACAGACTCAGCAGAGTCCACAGCCACAAGCCATGGAACAACCACACGCCACAACACCACCAGCACTTACAGACCTTCCAATGGCAACAGCGCCAGCAACTCAGCCAGCAAGGCAGCCACTTCCATTGCCAACACAAGGCAAAAGAGAAGTAGCAGATGAGATCACACAAGGCAGCTCACCAAAGCAAGCAAGAACAACAGAGAGAGCCACAGCAGCAAGCAGACCTGAGACAGCTCAGGAGCCACCAACAACAAGGATGAGGATATCACAAGTCACAGTCACAACAAAGAAAGGACAGAAGATAGAAGCAACATCAAATGAGGATGAACAGGAGATCAAAGCAGAAAAGATTCTCCTGGAACCTTGGGTGAGCAACACCGAAGGTTTAGACAAAGAACAAACAACTGAAGGAATGAAGCAAGAAATCAAGTCAATGAAGGAACAAGGAGTGTACACAGAAGTACACATAAGTCAACTCACACCAGAGCAACGCAAGAAGATTATCAAGTCAAGATGGGTTCTTCGACAGAAAGGCAACACAGTTCGAGCACGAATTGTAGCAAAGGGCTACACAGAGGAGATCAATGACAACGACGACATCTTCGCGTCAACACCAATCTTCTGCGTTCTGAGGATGCTACTCGTCTTGGCACTTTGCAACAACTGGATTTGTCTCACAGGAGACATTTCAACAGCCTTTCTACATGCAGCAGCAGCAACAGCAGATCTTTTCATGTATCCACCAGCAGAGTTCTACAACGCCTTCGACCAGATCGTCTGGCGGCTCAACAAAGCCATCAATGGCTTACGCAGCAGCCCAAAAGCATGGCAAAATCACCTGGCAGAGGTGATGCAACAACTTGGACCACGACGACTTGTCAGCGAGCCCAACGTCTACGCAACACCACAGGGAGATGCATACATACTATGCTACGTCGACGACTTGCTCTTCATTGGACAACAGGAGACGGTCAACAAGCTGTTCAAGAGCATCCAGCAACACCTCCTACTCCGTCCAACAGGAGAACTCACAGTCGGCAACACCATCAGCTTTTTGGGCAGAAACATCTGCAACAAAGGTGACTACTACGAGATCAGCTTAGTAGACAGCTACACAACGCAGATGCTGGAAGAAGCCAGCATGCTCAACTGCAACCCAGCACCAGCACCAGGCAACAACACTCTGAAAGCAACATCAGAGATGGAACAAGAACTCAACAAAGAAGAACACGCAGCCTACCGAAGAATGGTTGGCAAGCTACAATGGATGACCTACACAAGGCCAGACATTGGCTTTGCAACAAAAGAGCTTGCAAGAGCATTGACACAGCCAACAACAGCAGACCAGCAGAAATTGAAGCACTTGCTCAGGTACATCAAGGGAACACAACACTACAAACAATACGTGAGACCTACAACCAAGACACCAACAGCTGAAGCAGTACCAGACATCCAAGTCTTTGTCGACAGCGACTGGGCAGGATGCGTAACAACGAGGAAGTCAACAACAGGATTTCTAATCAAAGTCTTCGGCGCAACAATCCACTACGGAAGCAGAACACAGGCAACAATTGCGCTGAGCAGCGCGGAAGCAGAACTCTATGCGATCAACACAGGAGCAACAGAAGCACTCCACATCAGCAATTTCCTGAAGGAAGCTCTCAACATGAAGAAGATCAACATCCGCATATATACCGACTCATCAAGCGGAAAGAGCATGGCAACAAGAATCAGAGCATCAAAGAAAGCCAAACATATCGAGCTCAAACACCTTTTCATACAACAATTGGTCGCACACGACCTTGTGAGGATTGTCAAGATCAACACGATCAACAACCCGGCCGACATCTTCACCAAGTACGTTGCAACAGAGACGCTTTTGCGTCACATCAGTGATGTTGGCATCAGCACCCAGCATCACTGAACAAACAACAACAAGCAACAAGCAACAACAACAGTTTCACTGTAGCTAGCGTGTTAACGTGCGGACGCGTGTACAACGTGCGAACATCGTGCGTGGCATATACACACACAAACATACATTTCTTTTTGAGCCATGGTGTCAACAAAGGTTGACAACATGTTCTATATCTACGTTATCTACTTCAACATGGAGTATATCAACATATTCAGTTACTGGGAAGTTTCAACATGGTGGCCAACATGGAGATTCAACTCAGTGATTTTCTTTCTGGAACATGACTGTCTTAGACAACAAGTCGGATTGCAACATGAATTTGTTTTGTCGTTTTGATGACCATCGAGGAGTACAACTCCATCAAACCAACAGAGACGGCTAGGGAGTCAACCAACACGGTGATACCAGCACTTTTGGGCAGCCAACGTATGCCCAACTTCGACAAGTTGATCTTAGCGCCTTCGCCACAACTGGCGCTCACAACAATGTACATGCACGCAACAGAGATGATGTTACAACGAAGATTCCAACAAAGTGGCTCATGATTACCTGGGTTGAGGATGTTCAACAACATCGTCTTCGAACAGGCAGCCAGGTGATCAACATGTTCAACAGGGGCTACATGTATCCACAGCAACAGATCGAGAGTGGATGCAACCTTCGTTTCACAACGTTTGAGCTGGCATCCCAACAGATCTGGGAGACCAATGCAGATGGAGGCAACACCATGCTTCAACAGATCTGCAACTATTTCCAGTGGAACAAGGACTGGATGTGGACCTACAACATCCCGGTCCAAGTGTCCAACATGAACGTGGAATCAACACAACAGGAGAAGAGGCTCGTACTCCAATGTTTGGAGTATGGTGGAGCACAGATGCTCCATCATTTCACAACATCCACCAGGGATGCTGTGATGGAGATGCTGCAACAGATGCACAGCACCAGCATCACCAGCGGCATCAACACAGGCAACATCCTGTTCCAAGGAGCCAAAACAGTTGAGAGGATCAGAGGCAACAGCCACCTGGCAACATGGGTCGAGCAACAGTGGACAGAAGAGATGATCAACAACCATTTCAAAGAGATCAATGTGTGGCGCCTCAGCAATTTGCCACTCACCATGCCCAAGGATGAGATCCAACAGTTGCTGCGTGAGAATTGCGCAACAACCGATGATGATCAACAGATGGAAGGATGAGAAGTCATCCAACAGGTGAGACTGGCACCTCAACCAACAGTCTTTGGATCTTCAGCAGATCCCTGCGCAACAAGAGGTTCAAACGTGAGAGCCGGGAATGCGCAAAATTAGATGAGTGTTTGATCAACATCTGCGGCTGGGCAACAGATGTAAAACTACAAGCCATCAGCCCTGTACAGAGATCAACACCTAATCCAATAGTATCAACATAATGTGATTGCGTTTCAACAATGTTTGTTTTGTGCAATGTGTTGGAAGCTCCAACAAATTGAGGGGCCGTGTTAAGTAACAACATTGTCCAACACACAATTCGTGTACAGTTCAACAGCTGCTGGATGTCACTGTCAACATTATGGATCAACAGGCCTTGAGCCTGAAGCTATCCTGAGACTGTTTGCCAACAGTACAAAAGAGTGAGCGCGCACAGCATCAGAGCAACATTGATACAACAGAGCTGCCTGAATCTTTTCAGATGTTGCTTGATGTTGGTTGATATTGGTTGATGTTGGTTGATGTTGCTTGATGTTGCTTAATGTTGGTTGATGTTGGTTGTTTCCCTGGTTGTTTCCCTGGTCGTCGTTCGATTCCAAAAAAAAGTATCTGAACAATGAAAGACTCAGTAATCAGGGTGGAGATGGTTTGAGCATGGGTTTGCAAACTTTGCATGGTCACATGGTTCCTCAATAGCCATGCTTGGAACAGCTCGATGGTTCCTGAATGACCATCCACTGAACCAAAGCTTTGCGCAAACAAGGCCGAGTCGCATGCTTCAGTTGTCGTTGGACGTCACCTGCGCAGCACAAAGCTGGCTGCAACCTCCGGATTTTATCTAATTGTTGGATCTGAAGATTCACAAGGAGAAAACCCTTTGGTGATTGAGCGGCATCATTTTCCTTCCTTCTTATGGTGGCTTGTACAATATGCCATAAAGTGCTATAAGTTGCACAGTATAGTCAACTAGGATCATCTTCACATGTTTTTCTTCTTGAAGATGAAACATCAAACCATATTCGAGCCACATCCAGTTCTCCCATCATTTTTGTTTCTATATATCCCTCCATCATTACTTCTTCCATATCCCGATTCATATTTGGTTCCAATCCGCCCAACCCATTTCTTCACGGGTAAATATCACGATCATAGATACCTCTCTGCTAAATGATATTCCGTCTGTTTGACAAATGAACATCAATCATATACCCTCTGGCAATCAAACATGGCAATGGACCTCTCCCTGGATAATCATCTGATAATATTTTCCCATATACTCCCATGATTCTAGATTCTGCAGCCATTTTAATCAAACATGTGAGGGTTTCCTAAAATGGGGGGTACTCCACTGCTGGATGAACATTTACTGGAAAAATCATCGAAAAATGGATGATTTGGGGCACCCAACAAACAGTTCCATGTCCAACCACTGACGCTTGGCACCTGCATCTCCTCCACACTCGGCATCGCCCCAGCACACAACAGAGCCATCGAATCGCAAAGCTGCGGAGGCACTTAAGGAGCCGGTGATGCTGGCGACATTTCGTAGCTCATTTTGCACGCTTGAACCTTATTTCTTGCGCGAGGGCTTCCGCTAATACAAAAAATAGCTGAAGACAGTAATTTCCAATTTCATCCAATTTCTGCATACAGTGTCAAATTATAATCACCATGCTGAAAAAACCCTACGCATTTTTACGCATTGACAGCAAGTTGAATAAAGGCAATGTTAACCCACTTGATCAATGAGGAGGAATTCTGAGAAGTGATACATGGACTACATAGATCATGCTTGGAAAGGGGTGCGACCAATATACTGGGACTTTTAAGCCGGACAGACAGGAAGGCCTTTAAAGTTGTCGGTACTTCAATGGAGTGTGACTTCAGGTTGCCACGGTTTACGAGTGAAGCGATCCTAGGTCTAACCTCAAACGCCATTGAACTGAACTACATTGAATTATGGGCAAACTCCAAAAAAAGGCCTTTGACAACCAAAGAATACAAAAGGCTTACATTCACAACGTTGCTCCGACTGACTATCTCCTCCATCTTCCGGTTGACCCCAGGTGACTACCCGACCATCGGCCAAGATCGCAGCAAATGCAAAGTGAGTGCTCTCAAGTTTGCAAACATCTCTGAGCAAATGTTGAACTCGTTGGCTCTCTCCACCAATAGCCTCACTTTTTGGACGGTGAGGCCAGAGTGAAAAAAGGGTCGACCAAAACCGAACCTGCAATTTCACAGATCAACAGTATTCCAACAAGCTCCATACTCGCTGATCACCGAGAACACCACCACCACAGACCAAAAAACAAATGAAAACAACAACAAATATAATTACAGTATATTATCCATAGGATCCATGTATGGTATATATGCTAACATTTGGGGTATATTGATGGTAAATGTTACCATATATAGCATACATGGATCCTATGGGTTAGAGTAAAATAAACGACTTCGAAAGCATGCGCCAGCGTCTGAACGCCCCCATGTTACGACTGTGCCATCCTGCAGAATGGCCGCAAAGCTGAAGTGGCTTCCTTTGATTTGCCGCACATTCGATCCCAAGCGATCGCGAACCCTTGAGCTGTCACCGCCAAATCGAGGGTGACCCCAAGTTTCAACCTGGTGCGACGCTCAGATCTTGGGTTCAGATCTCTACTATGCAAACTACATCCAGGTTGAAACAGCATCAAACAGTTTGCAAAGCTCTTCATTTTCTGGACAGGAAAAGACAACAAATGTGGAATGTCAACCACAATTTGTATATATATCCACATATATCCACCATCATCCATTCTCCCACCATTCTCCGCCCTGGAAAACTCCTATTCGGGTCATACAACTTTTCAGCCCATGCAACGGATCCATCCGCCAACAGAGCGGCGAAGGCGTGCCCAGTGGACTCAATCTGCTCCACCCGTCCAGCAGCCGCGACGCTGGGGCCGGCATCACCACCGAATTTGGGATCGCCCCAACAAAGAGCGTGACCGTTGCTGAACCTGGCACGTCATGGCACACGGACCATGAAAACAGGATGAAAACCTCATGAAATGAGAGAAAACTGGCGATGAAACCGATGAAACCAACAGAATCTGGCCACAATTGTGAGCCATCTTGCCAGGCGCAGGAACCTCATGGCAAAGGCCTTTCGTGTTGCGCAAATCTTCGGGGCATGCACGATGGCCGTCAAAGTCTCACCATCTGTGAGCCCGGTATCAAGAAGAGTAGAACAAACATCCAAGATCTGCCCTTGGGACGACAAGAGTCCTGGGAAGAGGATGGAAGAGCGCCAAAACATGCCATGTTGATGCAACATGATGCAACTCTGACTCTGGGATCTGAGTGATCTTAGATGACATGGGGCCTTTAAGCTGAACAAACCTGACATTGAGTTCATTTAGAACTACTATTGGTTAATTGCAGGGATTTTACTCGCTCCAATTACATCCAATTACTGAATCCAAGGGCAACGAAACCTCGCACCAACAGCAACAAACAGCCATGGAGTGCTTGTCTAAACTTTCTAAACCTTGCTGCACTCAGGAAGCAATGAGTGTACATCAGAGCAGTGGTGAGAGACAACAAAATAACAAAATAAGCCCCGTGGAAACTGTAAACAATTTCGATTCATCTTTTTTGCGCGTGGAAATCAAAGACCTGCATGCGTCAGACGTCATCTCTGCGTTTTGCAGGTAATGGACTCAGTGCCCCGCAAAAACTAATCCTATACTTCCTCTGTCAACATCTTGTCCCTACCCTTGTGGCCCGAAGTCAAAATGTGTAAGCCGGGGTTGTTGTTCTATGTTCTGACACAACTGTGTCTTCTGAGAAACAAATGGCTAGGAAAAGATGAAATACCTGGATTTGCTGCTGCCAGCTGACATTTGCATTATTTGGTTAAGTTCCTCTTCTTTTCTTAGTGCTCAAATACATTCCAATACCCATCCGCGTTCAATCTGCTGTTGGTTCTTATGTTTCCTCCACGATCTGCCCGTCTCTGTTGCCACTCAGCGGTGCCAAGTCGAGGCTCTTAGGAAGCCAACCCCGAAGATCTCTTGAGCCGCATCGCGCAGCTTCAGAACTGTGGCAGTGGGTGCAGTTGGAATCGTTGCGCTTCGACCACCTCAGCTATCAAAATCTGTCAGCAAGGTCATGGGAAGCTCACCCGATGGTGATTCCACCATCACAGGGACTTGAAAACGAGAACAAGGGTGACTTCCAGTACTACCCAAGAATGTTAGGGTTTCAAAACTATGGATTGATTTCACTGGTTCAGATTGGGATTCCCAGATATGAGTTGAATGACCCCTGGTGAGCCAGGTGAGGCCCTGAACATGTGATACCAATGGAGAGTGAGAGTAAATAATGAAGCTGTTTTGGAAACAGGCATTACAGAATAAACACATAAATTCAGAAAATGACACAGGGTTTGTCTCATGAAGATGGAGTGCATGAAGGAATATATCGTTATACATTGCGCTATGATCACTATACTTATACCATACACAGCACAGCAACAGAACGCGGTGCAACATGTGCAACTTGACATGATCCTCACACCAAGGCTCTTGGCAAGGAGACAAACACTTCCATGGCAAGTCAACATCAAAAGGCTGACATATGGTGCCAAATTTTTGTTCTGTCGCAGCTAGCCTCACTAGTCGATCTTCAAAGGCCGAAGGGCCCGAAGCGTGCAGAAATCGTTGGGCTGTTGTTGGTAAACGCACGAAATTCCAATGCTTAGCAATACGGTCAATACTTTGCACAGGCCCTAGGCTTTCCACGGTGAATAATACTGTAGGCGTTGCAAGCGAGAATGACGTTCTGCAGACCTTGTCTATTGTATACGTATATACATTGAGTGTGCCCACAAATGAATGTGTTGAGAGTATCTGCCTGTCGCGCAATGAGCCAAACATCTTCCAGTACCCATTGTATCCGAAAGATGGTTTCCCATCAGTAAAACTCTAAAAACATATCAATCATTTTTAATCCATCTTAATCCATACTATACAATTTCTATTATTAAGATATATACCCAAGTTATCCATATATCCCCAAGATCCCCAAGTTTGTTTGCTGCTCGTCCCTCAAGTTCTCCAGATCCGCCAGTGAACGGCTCCGCCTCACAACAGCGCGTGAAGGTCTGGACGTAAGCGTTTCGAACTTCCTGGAGCGCACGGGGATTGCCCTTGGATGGCCAGGTGTTACTACAAAAAAGCATGGCCTTCATAGGATAGAAAAAAAAGGGCCGAATCTGAGGCTAATATAGGGCTATATAGCTATAGGGGGAATATATGGGAATATAGCATCTTATAGCTAGTATAGCTTAGTTGTGTTTCATGAAAGTGTGACATTGCACGGGTCGAAAGGTTTTTGGTGAAAGATGGTGAAAGGTTGGACTATCTGCAACCGTGGTTTTAAGAACTTTCTTAGAGGCAGTCCTCTCTGGAAAGGACACCACTTTGAGATACCTCAGTGGCGTTGGAGCTTTTGGAATGGCAATGGAACTGAAATTGAGCTTGAATTGTGGCCAAGCTGCATTGATCTCATGAAACTCCGGCATCTTGTCCTTGGCTTGCACGAAACCCAAAAAGTCCGTGTATAACACATGAGTCAATTGGAGCCATAATAATATAACACCGTGAGGAACATGCGAAAAGCGATCCATGCAACCCCCCATGGAACCTTGATACCCCACACCAACTCTTTTCTGGTTGATAACCCATTCAATCCATCCCAAAAAATATAATATATATATAATTATATATAGCACTTAGAATATATGGGTGTGTTTACAAATTACAAATAGGGTTCCCCAAGTCCACAAGTTTGGGCCATTTGGGGAACATGATGATCGACTAGTGGATTTGGGCTACACCCTATATTTGACCATCTTAGTAATGATTTTTGGTGATCTTCTCTCTCGCCAGCTTAGCCAAAGGACCCACATCCGCCGCGAAAACTGCTTCTTCAACAGCTCTTTGGCTGGCTTTCCGGAATCCTCCTATGTGCAGGCTGGAACTCATAGGAAACAAGCGCCAAACATGGTGGATTTCGATCGCACACTCCACATTCGCGGATTTCTATCTGCCTTGATAAATTGGATTGAAATGGTGAGGAAAGGATGGGAAAGGCCTTCCTCACTCTTTCACGGGATGGTAGGGCACCCCTACAATCATTCATTTCTTTGAATCCCGGCAAGTATTTTGGAATGCCCATTGCCCGTATCGAAACTTCTCTGTCCGGGAACACAAACTGACTTTTAAGGTAGCGATGAAGTGCAGCGAATCTTCCCATTGCACCTGCGGCATAATGTGCCTCTTCCGCCACTCCTGCTGGATGCAGAGGAAGTCATCATCCATGGCCGCAACCAATATGGATATGTGACATGGTCAAGGAACAAGGGATGAATGGGCTGTGGTCATTCCACAATTAAGTTGGGAATTCTATGGAACTCGTTTAATGGGTAATTATATATACCTTATATGACAAGTATATATTATATTTTATATACATTAACATACATGAACTCCTGTTGATGTGTGGATGACCATTCCCCAATATGGCTTAATCTACTCGACCTTTTGACCATGGCACATGTGCATATGGTCCAGGATTGGCATATCCTGTGAAAGATGAACTTTTTGGTGGTTTAAAGCTCGCTTAAAACATATGGTCGGTCACTTGAGGATCATCATTAGTAGGAATGAACAGTTAAGAACGACTGAAACATCTTCAAACTGTTGGTTTCAGCACAACACGTACTGTCACAATACCTCAGCCATTTTTCAAACGCCTCGAAGACTGGGTTGCCGTTCATCCCGGCCAAACTCGCGTGCATGACGCCAACTCCTTGGGCAAACGTCATCCGCATAGCCACAAAGCCCAGAGGAAACTGACTGGCAGTGGTGAATCATTTTCTGTACCCTCTGTTAATCAAACATGGCAATGGCGGCAATGGAAATCATCCATTCATACATGATTTTCCGTTAAAACCTCCGTTTCATTCAGGGATTTCTCCACTAGCCTGATTGCCGCATCATATTTTGTTGCGGGTCGTAGGCCAAAACTTCGCTTTTTGACCAGTTTTGATCATCTGATCTTCTGTGGATACAGGGAGGGACTGTTTGTTTCAGGGGCTGAGAGGTTGAACCGTGCCCTTGACCTCCATTGCAGTTGCTCTAGGGCCTGGGGATATGAAACCTGGTTTGGGTGAAGAAAGGCCACTTCAGCAGCAGCTGAAGGACTTTTGTAGTGCCGGACACACAAGCAGTGCCCAAAAACTAGGCTACCACAGAAGATAGGGTCCACACATTTGGCAAGTGCTGTACTTAGTGGTCAGTTTGGGTCGCAACAATGTTGAATGATTACAGGGGCCATCTTTGCTTCTTGGAAATGGCATTGGGACCAGCATGACCAGTAAGGTGACTAGTACCTTTACTGAGTCATGCTGAGTTATATATAATTATATATATATATACATATTGTATAAACTGTCCTCATGTTCATCATCATCATCATCATTATCATCATCATCACCACCACCACCATCACCATCACCATCACCATCACCACGATCATCTAAACCACCAGCGAGACAAGTCTCTGTAAATCCGAGAATAATCCAGTGGCTCATTACCCACACGCTTCACCTACCAGCAGCAGAAATGCTGGAAATGCGACAGAAAGTGCAGAATGCAACAGAATTGCAGCACCAGGCAGCCAAAGTGTTTTTCATGATGTTTATCCACCTTCATTCTTTCCTGGTTCTGAACTGGTCCCTTTTGCTTTATTGAAGCCCCTATCAATGATGCTTAAATCCGCACTAGATACCAAAATAGGGGCTTTTCCCATTGGTACCCTCTGGTAATTTAACATAGCTATTGAAAATGGTGATTTACAGTGGATTTTCCCATTGAAAATGGTGATTTTCCATAGCTACGTTAAATCACCAGAGGGTAAACAATCAACCAGGGTTTTTGAGCTGCTCAGGTGTCCACCGAATGTGCAAACAGCCGCAGCCTCTTGAGTTGCTGGGTCCACATGGACACCACCATCTGCCTACTTGGCTTGGCGCACGGCACACCAAACAGAACAATAAACATTAATGGGATATAATGGGGATATAAACATTAATGGGATATAATGGGGATATAATGGGGATACATGAATAATCCTGATATTTTCGGGAATTGGGATATAATGGGGATACATGAATAAACATTAATAAACCATACTGTGTATTATACTACATATATGGGGATGTATCATCAGCCATACCTGAATGGGAATATACCCAACATCAGATATTTGGATGTTTTCAAGAATTGCAGGGATACCCCAAGTTATAGCCACTTGAATGGATGGATGATGATAAGCCATCAATTTTAGGGCTACTCTCTATATATATATATATAATTACTTTCAGACAAAGTCATGCACTCATGTACTACTCCATGTACTGATTTTCGGTAAATCCGAAACCATCAACCATCCGCAGGCACCAAGATTCATGGAAATTGAATGCCCTCCAAAAGAATCTTTGTGAAATGGCAGTGTGTCAAAACCTTGTACCCCTGGTGAACATCAAAATAGCTGGTAAATGGATGTTCATCCCCCTAAAAATGGTATCAATAGGTATTGATCCATACCCAAATGTCTGCCAGTCTGCCAATATTCCAAAGTTGTCCAAAGTCTGAAGCTTCAATATGGCTTTCTCTGAACAACTTTTCAGGAAATAGGGGATACACCCAACTGGCCATTTTCACGGGGAACCTGATGATACTCCGTTGGAATTGGGGGATACCCTATTTTCAGATCACCTTCCGTTAATCAAACCGTCATGGAATTTTCCCCCCATGTATACATGATCTTTCCAATTAAGACATATTAAGACCTCCATTTATCATTTACCGACGATTTCCTAGCTTGCTACGTTTGTTTACGGGAGGGTAACTATAACCCATATCTTCAAAACAAATCTGGTTGGTGGTATACCTACCCCTATGAAAAATATGAGTTCGTCAGTTGGGATGGTGACATTCCCAATAATATCCAATAATTATATGGAAAGTCATACAATTCCATGGTTCCATTATTGATTATGATATCCCATGATATCCCATTAAATTCACCATGATATCCCATTAAAAAGCCATGGTTCCAACCCACCAACCAATGCTCCCCCCAGTGCCTGGAGGAAACCACCGGATCCCAACTTCACGGTGCGTGAGTAGTGCAAGGCCTCCCTGAGTTCCTGTCCTCGAAGCACCTCGCTGAAGTCAAGTGCGGTTTTTGAATGGCTGAAGAATGGGTACCCGCAGGCTTTGAGATGTCGATAGTTTTTTGAAAGTGCTAATCAACCGCCAGACTTGTGGGGACCTGGACTTTTTGATTTTTTTTTGATATCATCCCACACCCGAATCTCGACTTCAATTCTCCTGTCAGTCACCATGCAAATTGGTATTTGCTTATGCTGAACTTGATGAGGTTCGATCAGGTTTAGGCCAATTTCGTCAAACATGTCCCAATCACTGGGCCCAAGCGGCGGCTGACTCATGGTTATGCATGGTTTGGTTTCCTGCATGTGTCTTCTCTCTCACGTTCCATCTTATACACTACCCTCTGGTAATTTAACATAACTATGGAAAATCACCATTTAGAGTGAGTTTTCCCATGAAAAATGGTGATTTTCCATAGTTATGTTAGATTACCAGAGGGTACATTAAACCAGCTTTAACCAAAGTTGACCCATCAATTCACCAACCTTTTCTCCGCCAAAAAACAATGATGACCATCTCCGAAGACCAGGGCAGTTCCTGCGGCCATCTGCGGCAATGGCTGGGGATGAGGAAAAACCATCCCTTCAAGTTTAGTACATTAAATTCATATATGTCATATACCAAAATATGCGACATATATCCAAATAATATGTACTGTATATATCTGTATATCAAAACATCTTCCATATATGCTCCAAATCTCAGTATGGATCAATGTTTCATTCATGATTGATCTGTTTCGTACTTCGCCATGTTTTCTGAACATGCTCTGATATATCGATATACTGTAAATGACAGAGGGGGTGGAAAAATCAAACAACCTGAAACTGTTCACTCCGTGACACAGTGACTCTGAATTCTGCATCCTGTTCCAAATCCGCAAGCGTAAAGGTCCAACGAGACCCCAAATAGTGCTCCGGGTTCGGCTCGTAGTCCTTATCACCTTTCAACATCGTCTCACTATCGGTGACTTCTTGTCAATGCGTGTACCAGGGACTCAACCGAACATCACTTGAGACGTTCTATTAACTGCCCTCCCAGAAATGCAGAAGACGGCATCCAAGCCTTTTAAGACTCCCTGATATTCTATCTTATGTGTATATATAAGATGATCCGATATAAATATAAATATATCATTATATACATCATTTGCACAGGTTGAACACACTGCAATTGGTCGATCCCAAGCCAGATCCGCGCCTCGGATGTTGCCACCATCGAAGAGCACACAGTCCACTTCCAACTCATCGCGCAGGGCGCTGCAGAGAAAGGACCCCAAGGTGGTCCTGAGAGTCGTCGCGAGTCGTCGCGAGTCGTCGCGACGAGGATTCATTGCGACTGGGAGATGCAGCAGTCATTGCAGGGAGATGGATCATATACAATTATATATATAATACATTATAATAATACATCATAATTACTAGTATTAGATATTACTAGTATAATAAACATCAACAAATGGAATAAGATGGAATAATAATAAAAAAGAATGATGATGAATTCCGGGAAAACAAGCAAGATCATGGGAAAGGAGGTTGCTAAGCCACAAATACTACAAGCAAACAAAATAATGAATGATGGAGATAAATGGACTGTCAGAATCATGGTGAAAACACATGGGATAAGACCAGGAATTGGGGATTTGTCAGTGTTATCAAGCAATACTGAGATTCACATCCAGGTTATCAGGCAAACAGTCCAGAATATTGTCTAGTATGGCCTATGGGTGGAATCCCAGGCTGAACCAACAGGTTGTGCCAAAAAAAACTGATCCACAATACGGTCTTGGTGTTGGGAAATTTTGGACAGATCCTATCCTCCAATTCTTGGAACATTAACCAATCACCAATCCACCATTGACATCCTGCACCATGCCATTTTGCCCAAGGGACTGCTTCTTGCGGATATCCTTGGAAGACCTGGGCGATCCCAAGAATAGTGGTTCTTGGTGGTTAACAAGCCCTCTTTCTTGGGGGTTTATCTTTGGGTCCGCTGAATCCCCAAGACAGTTTCGTCTTTAAGGGGTCACTCTTGAAGGAATTTTGACGCAACCACCACGTGACGTGAATGGGTTTGTTTGTCTTCCCTGCGAGCAGCTTCTGCATGTTATCTCTTTGGAATCACCAGCAGACCTTCAGGATATCTTGCATCCATATAATTCCATATCCGCCGACCCGGCCTTCACCAAGGCAGGGGCGGCGCCTGGGACCACCGGAGGTGTGAAACCTGCTTTGTCACGGCCATGGCCTTCACATTGTCCAAGGTCGTTCTTGCAACAAATGCTTGTCTGTGTTTAAGCGGTTTGCCAAGCTTCAAAGGCCTCATTTGCCTGCACATAGCCCTCTCTTGTTAAGGCATTCAAACCTGCCGTTTGCCAGGCTTCAAACGCTTAAAAGCCTTACAACCCTTAAAACCCTCCAACTCCCTCGCGGCAGCTTCCGGCAGCTTCCACCAAGCCCTCTGGCCGTCAGCTTTTGCTGTTCCAGCATTGCAGCCTGCCCTTTGCCTGCACATAGCCCTCTTTTGTTAGGGCATTCAAGCCTGCCGTTTGCCAGGCTTCAAACCCTTAAAACGCTTAAAACCCTCCAATTCCCTCGCGGCAGCTTCCACCAAGCCCTCTGGCCGTCAGCCTTTCCACATTTGCCTGCACATAGCCCTCTCTTGTTAGGGCATTCAAGCCTGCCGTTTGCCAGGCTTCAAACCCTTAAAACGCTTAAAACACTTAAAACCCTCCAATTCCCTCGCGGCAGCTTCCACCAAGCCCTCTGGCCGTCAGCCTTTGCTGCATTTGCCTGCGCATAGCCCTCTCTTGTTAAGGCATTCGCCGTTTGCCAGGCTTCAAACCCTTAAAACCCTTAAAACGCTTAAAACCCTCCAATTCCCTCGCGGCAGCTTCCACCAAGCACTCTGGCCGTCAGCTTTTGCTGTTGCAGCATTGCAGCCTGCCCTTTGCCTGCACATAGCGCTCTGTTGTTGGGGCATTCAAGCCTCAGCTGCCACCAAGCCCTCTGGCCGTCAGCCTTTGCTGTTCCAGGGTTGCAGCCTGCCCTTTGGCTGCACATCCCTCGCGGCAGCTTCCACCAAGCCCTCTGGCCGTCAGCTTTTGCTGTTCCAGCATTGCAGCCTGCCCTTTGCCTGCACATAGCCCTCTCTTGTTAGGGCATTCAAGCCTGCCGTTTGCCAGGCTTCAAACCCTTAAAACGCTTAAAACTTTCCAATTCCCTCGCGGCAGCTTCCACCAAGCCCTCTGGCCGTCAACCTTTGCTGCATTTGCCTGCACATAGACCCCTCTCTTGTTAAGGCATTCAAGCCTGCCGTTTGCCAGGCTTCAAACCCTTAAAACGCTTAAAACCCTCCAATTCCCTCGCGGCAGCTTCCACCAAGCCCTCTGGCCCCTCTCCAGCACTGCCCGTCAGCTTTTGCTGTTCCAGCATTGCAGCCTGTCCTTTGCCTGCACATAGCCCTCTCTTGTTAAGGCATTCAAGCCTGCCGTTTGCCAGGCTTCAAACCCTTAAAACGCTTAAAACTTTCCAATTCCCTCGCGGCAGCTTCCACCAAGCCCTCTGGCCGTCAACCTTTGCTGCATTTGCCTGCACATAGACCCCTCTCTTGTTAAGGCATTCAAGCCTGCCGTTTGCCAGGCTTCAAACCCTTAAAACGCTTAAAACCCTCCAATTCCCTCGCGGCAGCTTCCACCAAGCCCTCTGGCCGTCAGCCTTTGCTGCATTTGCCTGCACATAGCCCTCTCTTGTTAAGGCATTCAAGCCTGCCGTTTGCCAGGCTTCAAACGCTTAAAACCCTTCAAACGCTTAAAACCCTCCAATTCCCTCGCGGCAGCTTCCACCAAGCACTCTGGCCGTCAGCTTTTGCTGTTCCAGCATTGCAGCCTGCCCTTTGCCTGCACATAGCGCTCCGTTGTTGGGGCATTCAAGCCTCAGCTGCCACCGAGCCCTCTGGCCGTCAGCCTTTGCTGTTCCAGGGTTGCAGCCTTCCCTTTGGCTGCACATCCCTCACAGCAGCTTCCACCAAGCCCTCTGGCCGTCAGCTTTTGCTGTTCCAGCATTGCAGCCTGCCCTTTGCCTGCACATAGCCCTCTCTTGTTAGGGCATTCAAGCCTGCCGTTTGCCAGGCTTCAAACCCTTAAAACGCTTAAAACCCTCCAATTCCCTCTCGGCAGCTTCCACTAAGCCCTCTGGCCGTCAGCCTTTGCTGCATGTGCCTGCACATAGCCCTCTCTTGTTAAGGCATTCAAGCCTGCCGTTTGCCAGGCTTCAAACCCTTAAAACCCTTAAAACGCTTAAAACCCTCCAATTCCCTCGCGGCAGCTTCCACCAAGCCCTCTGGCCATCACCTTTTGCTGTTCCAGCATTGCAGCCTGCCCTTTGCCTGCACATAGCCCTGTTGTTGGGGCATTCAAGCCTCAGCTGCCACCAAGCCCTCTGGCCGTCAGCCTTTGCTGTTCCAGGGTTGCAGCCTGCCCTTTGGCTGCACATCCATCGCGGCAGCTTCCACCAAGCCCTTTGGCCGTCAGCCATTGCTGTTCCAGGGTTGCAGCCTGCCCTTTGCCTGCACATCCCTCGCGGCAGCTTCCACCAAGCTGCTGGCCCTCAGCGTCGAGCATTGCAGCCTGCCCTTTGCCTGCACATAGCCCTCTCTTGTTAGGGCATTCAAGCCTGCCATTTGCCAGGCTTCAAACGCTTAAAACCCTCCAATTCCCTCGCGGCAGCTTCCACCAAGCCCTCTGGCCGTCAGCCTTTGCTGCATTTGCCTGCACATAGCCCCCTCTTGTTAAGGCATTCAAGCCTGCCGTTTGCCAGGCTTCAAACGCTTAAAACCCTTAAAACCCTCCAACTCCCTCGCGGCAGCTTCCACCAAGCCCTCTGGCCGTCAGCTTTTGCGGCTTGGCCTCTGAAACATCGTGCTACCCAGCCGGTCTTTAGAGTACTGCCTTCTTTCTATCTATCTATCTGTCTGTCTGTCTATCTATCTATCTATCTATCCCGCTACCTCCCCTTCCTCTCCTATCCTCTCCCTCTCCCTCTCCCTCTCTCTCTCTCTCTCCCTCTCTCTACAGGACCCCCCAAATAGGGGGGTCGGCGGCACCAGGGCGCTAGCCCATTCTATAATTCCACAAATAACAATCAAAAGGCAAGGAAACATGTTGGTGAGAGAATCTCTAATTGGTGGTTTCAACCCCTCTGAAAAATATTGGTCAGATTGGATCATCATCCCAACTATTGGGGAAGATAAAAAATGTTCCAAACCACCAACCAGATCTGATAGTTCCTGAAACATTGATGTCTCCATCTGAGGAAGATAATAACAACCAACATAGACATATCATTTAATGTCATTTATAGATATTTCAGAGTTTCAGAGACAATTCCAGTATTTTGTGAGATCATAATGTACCCTAGGCCCTCAGAGTCCCTCAAATATCTGGGACTTCCAATGGTGACGTCAGTTCCCGTCGAGATGCATCAGGGTCTTTTCAGGGAAAACTGTGAGATGAACCTGAGGAACATCAGGGATCTCGGCAGAAAATGGAGAGATGCAATGAACAAAATAAAGGAGTTTTCAAGAGTATCAGTTTACTAAAGCTTCAAGTTGAATCTTCCAGCTTAGGAGTCACTGTTTGAAGGTGGACTGCAAGATCTTCTGCATCAGAACATTTACATGTCACTCACGAAGCGATGGAGAAGCGGAAAACCTGTGGCAGAAACGTGAAGAAAAATCATTCCCCGGTCACGGGATGTTATGGGTACAAGATTCCACGTACGCGTGTCTTGAGCCGTAGTTTACCGTGCCAAGGCATTGGGTATCAGGTCTGAATGCTGGCCCATCCCATCTGATGGTCGATCAAATAAGGAATGATTTTCGCTTCAAGAGGTGTCAAATCACCACAGGTATGCAATGACCATGCCAATGTGGCCAGGAAGAATGTCCAGCTATTCCCTATCTCCAGTTCCAGTTTCAAAGAAGGAACCAAAGCCTTTCTCTGCTCCATCTTCCACAGCTTCTGCATGTGTTTCTGCACCGATCGGAACACCTGGCAATGAAATGAGGGAAACTTACGATGTTTCACGTTGTCGGAAGACATACATGCGATTTAACAAAGGTACGCCAACTGGAGAAGGAAACTGGGTACCTGCGACAACTGAAACAACAACTCTCGGCCCAAATCTTCAAACAACTTCAAGCAACGCCAAAGTGTATCTACAAAAAAGATCAACAAAGTGTATCCACAAAAGGACATGAGTGTATCATCCACAAACTCTTGCAAAGTGTTTCCAAAAGACAAAGGCATGGCATCCAATGCCCAGCTGGTTGCAGCTTGGTCAAGTTCCTCCGAAGCTGGGCCGAGGCACTGCTTTGCTGCCCGTGAACTTGGACAAAGGGATCAGCTGGAAGGAATCAAGGCTGGGGGCTGTGTCCTGTGTAAATTTGGACATCTGAAAGATGAGGGGAACAGGGAACAGAGAACTAAATGGTCCAAAATTTGACATAATCCCTTCCTCCTAATACTAAACCTCCCCCCCCCCCTAATACAAAACACGGCAGGTAGTTTTTAGTATTAGGGGGGTATTTATTATTAGGGAACCAAATCGAAGTCATGTTAATTAATTAATTAATTAAATTTCCTTATATAACGCAATTAAAATATTGCCAAAAATGGCAGTTCGAAGCTTACCCCTAATACTAAATTAAAACCCTTAATACTAAAAACTATTTTTTCCGATCTCAAAATCAATTAAATTTCCTTATATAACGCAATTAAAATATTGCCAAAAATGGCAGTTCGAAGCTTACCCCTAATACTAAATTAAAACCCTTAATACTAAAAACTATTTTTTCCGATCTCAAGATCAATTAAATTTCTTTATATAACGCAATTAAAATATTGCCAAAAATGGCAGTTCGAAGCTTACCCCTAATACTAAATTAAAACCCTTAATACTAAAAACTATTTTTTCCGATCTCAAAATCAATTAAATTTCCTTATATAACGCAATTAAAATATTGCCAAAAATGGCAGTTCGAAGCTTACCCCTAATACTAAATTAAAACCCTTAATACTAAAAACTATTTTTTCCGATCTCAAAATCAATTAAATTTCCTTATATAACGCAATTAAAATATTGCCAAAAATGGCAGTTCGAAGCTTACCCCTAATACTAAATTAAAACCCTTAATACTAAAAACTAGCCCCCCTAATACTAAACACCCCGGGATGAATTAGTTTTTAGTATTAGGGGGGGGAACCCACAAATGGTAGGTTGATTTTTGAATTGTTTTTTAAAGGGGATCAATTAAAAGTCAAATTGGCCAAACTGAAATTTTCGGAAATTGGAGATGGATGCCTGTTTTTAGTATTAGGGGGACGTTTAGTATTAGGAGGAAGGGATTATATGATAGATTATAAGTAAAATAATTAATTTATTACCATATTTCGGGGGATAAACATCCATGAACCCAAGCTATTTTGAGACTCACCGGCATTGACCAAAGATGTTGGCTTCCCATCACCACGGGCGTGCTCACACATTTGCAAGATCTCCCATCCATGAATTCCAAAAGCTCCAAAATGAGCAGGGGTCAACACTGAGTACCCCCAAAAAAACGACCGAATGACACTATCTAAACTATTCCAAAATTACCCAATTCTAATTTCCAGTATCTCTTTCCATGAGTCTTCTGACCCGTAGCCACTCGAAGTGGCCCTTAAATCGCCAGAAAAACCTGGTCCTCGGTGGTGCTCCACAAGAAGTCCATGACCGCAGCGTTCTTCGCATCCATTCCTTGACACGGCGGGGCTGGATTCAGGGCATTTCAGGGCTAAACCGACCTCGGAAAATGGGTGGGTTTTCCACATCTATGTCACGTAGAGACATGGGGAGACATGGGGAGGGTAATCTTCATGAACTATAGTATATTATAATTCCCATCAACCAATGGATGCATCTCCTACCAACCCCCATCTGGCAGTTCCTAGTCCTAATTCCAACCTCATTCTAGATCCACCAATCCTATAAAAAAATATTGCTGGTCAAATCAAGCGAAATCCCAAGTCTTGCAATTGATGGTTTAACATGGTTTTAATTTTCGATTTTACAATCCATTCATCAATCCCAAGTGCTCATGGTGCTATCACTATCCCTGTTAATGTTGGTTAATTGGTTAATTGCAACCTCCGTTCATCAATGGATGGGTTATCTCAAAATTTGGACCCCCATTACATCCCATGGTTTATCCTCCACGCCAGTTTGAGACAAACCTGGAATGAAACCAGTGCAGCCCGCATTTACCAATCAGTATTTCTCATTAATCATACAACTATAATATACTATAATGATGTTGTTGTGCATTAACTATAGATGTTTCATTAACTAGTTGGTAAAACAAAATAACATGTTCCACCAACATCCGTACTGGTTCAACATCAACATCCGTTTATTAACATGTTCCATCAACGGATGTTGTTCATTAAGTATAGATGTTTCTGAACCCCTTTACTCATCAACTATGGACTCCATTCACTATGCTTCTGTAAAACTAACTATCAAATTAGTCAAACATACACGACACTCGACCAACTATAACATACTATGACTATAAGCCTCATTAAACCATCATTAAAATTAAAGCCACACTAAATTCTCACTAAACCAAGACAAACATCGCATTGAACCCACACACTAATTTCGAATTAAACCCATACGTAGAAGCCTTCGAAGCTTCAATAATTCATCAGAGTTGTGTCAAACAAGGATTTATATATTAGCTATACGGAATAATAGACAGTATATACATATATAATAATTTAAAATACATAAATCATAATTATCACATCATCATGTGGATCATTGAGGTTTCAACACGGAGGTTTGAACATGTTTTGGCCACTGGATCTAAAAGCGACCAGTTTCCAGCTTTCAGCAGCGCGCAGCCGTTGTGCTTCGCTGCATACTCCGTGTGGTCGTGGCCTCCCAGGACCTGGGAATCGGGTGCAAAATCAGCCCATCTTGGGGCAATTTGAGGGGTAGTTGTGTTGAATTATCTGAATTTATGGGATAATTCTGTGTAAATTAGTGGATTTTCTCATTTGTTTTTTTGGCTGGGTCTTCAATTCAATTTCAGGGGTTCGGTGATTTTGAACCAAACATATCTCTAGATCTTCTCAAACGTATTCTGTTGTAGCATGTTGTCCTTCAGCAGTCCCCAGAGTAAGGAATGATCAGCAGCTCCTTTCTCTACTGTTCCGCTGAGACCAGACCGAAGCAGCTGTGTTCAACCCAGGAGTCATACAAATGGTAGCAGCTGGTAGCAGAAAGATCCATCCCTGCGAGGGCTTTGATACAGCACTGCAGCCAAGAAGCTGCATAGATCCCCACAGCGCAAGCTTTTTTCGCCAACCTTTTTTCGTCGGCGGAGCACTCGTTGTATCTCTTTAAGTCTTTGTGATACATGCGCTCTGTACAATAGCGAGCACACAATGATACGATATGACACGCATAATCGAATGGATCTGCTGCATTACATCTATCCAAAACACATCAACACCGTTGACGGAAGGTGTCTTTAAGTGTTGAACATTTTGACATTAGGAGCTCAAAGGTGTGAGAGGTATGGGCTACCTTTTGCCTGGAAATCCTTTCAATGCATCCTCCGGCCATTATCCACCATGCGCGTGCCATCAATCTCTGAAAAAGTGTTGGTCTTGGTTCTTGCTATCTCCGATCTATATGGGTTTGTCTGAAGAATAGGATATCCAAATCCAGCCACTGGTATGTCATTTTGAGGAGACTATCTTCATCCATTTTCAGACACACACATAGAATCATCTACAACACCTACAGAACGGTGCTGGCGCCAAGCAGCTCGATGTCGATGTCCAGGTCTTGATGCGTTAGTGCCTTGGCGGAAACCATGAAGAAAGTAGCCATAAAGTACCCCCAAAATATGGGACACCTGTCAATTTTCCCACCACCACCACCACCACCACCACCATCATCATCATCATCATCATCATCAGGCACACAATGAAAGCTGAGACATGGAACTATGGAGCTTGAATGATTTGCATGAAACATGATTCCTCTCAACACCACTAATCTTCTGCAGACTTCTGAAGATGATGGCTGGACATTTTGAGGGGTCCCTGACACTTGCTGGACCGAGGGAGTACCAAACCTTCAAAAATGAGGCCAGGTTCCCCGTGGCCTGAATCATGCTGGATCATGCTGGATCTAGATCAACCTATCCCATATGCTCCATGGTGCTAGTATATTGCTTACATATCGACCCTTTTTTCGGGGTCAATGTTGGCAAATAATCCCATCCCCCCCAATATCAAACACTCCATAGATTGCCATAGATGGTCCCAAGAATCTGTGAATCCTCTACCAAACCACGGTTTCTATGAGGTGTTTCATAGGGGATTTTGGGATTTTCCAGCACCACGATTCGTCCCATGGTCGTCTCGCCAAGATTCGACCACGGCGTCCACCTTCTGCGCCTCGTCGTCTTCCAGATGCGCTTCCATCCTGACATGACCACTGTTCAAAGATATCAAATATGAAATAAACATACCCACAACCTATCAAATATCATCCAATACACAGTGAACACACCATGTATATATCTACTAATCTTAGTAAAATTAGTAAATCACTCATGAACCACCCATATGTTCATGCTTTATACAATCCATTTATGGTTAAAAAAAAATGGGGTGGATCCTATTGCTTTCAGCATCTTTCAGCATGAAATCCATCAATTCCCTGGCGTTTCCGCCACGGCCGTCCCAGCTGCAAGCTTTGAGACTTCTCCAGCGCCGCTTCGTTGCAGGGCTTCGCCGAATAGATGGCACCTCCAAAGTCATCGGGTGCCTTGGAAGTGGGCGAAGCTGCTGGGGGCTGTTGGAAAGCGGGCTGACAGCTATGACAGCTATGAAGAGTTGGCCCATCATTTGCTGCAAAGTATGCACAAAATTGGGCTCAAACATGCTATGAGCAATGAATGATATGATGATATGAATGGAAAGCAACTATTTGGAATTGCGACTAGCACTTGGATGGCTGTTCGAAACTTCACAAAATGAATGGGATGCGCTGGAGCAGAACATTGTTTTGTTGACTGGGCCACCGGCGTTGTAGAGGCCTGGATCAATGGTGCACACCCCCAGTAGGCACACCTGTCTGGAATGGTGCCCATCCTGCAGACAAAGATTGGTATATTGGGATCAGAAAACCGAAAAGCCAATCCTGATCCAACTCTCGTCAAGCCAAATGAAACACTCAAACTCTTGAATTTCTTTCAACAGATTGAAAATTAAACACTTACAATTCAGTACAATTCTGACTTTCCATCACTGTGACTGTGAGGCACACATTTATTACCCTCTGGTAAACTAACATAACTATGGAAAATCACCATTTTTAATGGGAAAATCCACTATAAATGGCCATTTTCAATAGCTATGTTAGTTCACCCACCAGAGGGTATGATGTTTTATTCCTGTCATGTAAACTCAAACTGCTCCTTGGACAGGCCAACAACGCTGGCATAGCTTGGGAGCCGCAACCTCGGGTAGCTTGTCATTGGCTTTATGCCCCCGTTTACCAGGAAGACAACCCTAGTTCTACTTGTTCAGGGCATTCAAAAATATTAGAAAAAAAACCTAATCACTGAATGGCATCAACAAAAAAACTGCACAATGAGAATATCCAGTTGAGCGACTTCGGCATACCCATTGTGCACAGCAGCATCACAACTGTTATCAAAACAACATCGGTACGCCGCAGCGTTCTGAAGTGTTCTAAACATAGCGGCCACAAATGGCCAGAACCCGCAACTGCAGGCACAGTTTTTACATGTTTTTACGTCAATAGAATTGCTTGTACAAGTAACATACATATATGTTATACAGTAAATAAACGTATATATGCACTATAATGCAGTATATACATGGATACATCATGATACATACATCTAACATATAATACATCAGCCACTGCCATGTTCATAGAAAAGAACGCCACATGTTGAATATCTGCCGGAAGGCTCTTTCCACAACTCGGGCATATTGGTGTTGATCCAAACGCCACCACCTGAGAATCCGAAATCCTTCCCGAAAACCCCCACCATTTAGGGATGGCTCATGATTCATCGTTTGGTTTACCAAATTATTCGAAGAATTCATGGAAACTGATGCTGTTTTCAGAATTACTTGGAATGATAAGAATCAATGGTCCTGGACCCAAGGAACAGGGACATACAGGGACCAAAACGGCTCAAATCTGGCTTTGTCCAAGCTCAAAAGCAGAGTCTACCGCAAATCGACCAGGTTTCAATATGTTTCAATATGTTTCAATCATCATATTTCCCCAACTAAATGATACTGGTGGTAAATCATGCCCTTGTTTCCCATTCAAATGGCTAAATGTTGGGCCGGTTATGATCCATTTTCCGATGAATCTACCATCTGGCTATTTAACATAGCCATGGAAAAACACCATTTTTAATAGGTAAACCATCTATAAATGGGCCATTTTCCATGGCTATGTTAAATAACCAGAGTAGTGCTGCCCCAGGCACGTTCATGCCATCGCTCCACACGTTTCTTCAGGGCCGGCAAGCCCACGTCCGCCTCGTGGTTTCCAAAGCACGCCTCGGTTTCGAACGGAGGGCCAGCATGGGATCATCTCAGATATCATGGGAGTATCATAGATATTACCATGAAAAATTACTCCCATGAGATATCTATTATCATCGATATTGCCATGATATTATCATATCTCAGATCTATGGGATCATCTCAGATATTGGTCAAACTACAATCCACAACTCAACAATTTGAAAAACCAAATTTGGGGTAAAACATGGTAAAACCACCAATAGCTATGTGTGCCTGAAAATGGAGAATACCCATAGCTACCCAAAGATAGGGACAATGATGACAATCCATTGGGCTTTGGGGTACCGCTGGTTTTGCTGCTTTCCTGTGTCCTCATGCGAGGGAAGATCGGCCCCGATATGGCAGGAATTGGGAGGAACAAGGACAAACGATGAAAAGTGACATACATTCAAAAGCAACCACTTTTTGTTTCTATGATGTTCTGTGTTCCTTACCTGGGTTCAGTGGTCGCCACGCATCATCATCGAATGCAGCAGACAAGATGTCAATCAAATATCTTTCAGCGATTCAATGTTATGTTGAGTTTGAGATTGTTTAAGTTAAGTATTGATTGAGTGTTTGATTGATGAATTGATGGATTGGTTGAGCGATTGATTAATTTATGGATTGCTTGAGCGAGTCATTGATTTAAGGTGCCCTCACAGATCTGCACCTCTCAAACTTAAACCGCTGCAGACGCATGGCAAATTCAACCAAACATTTATGGTTTCATCATGTGGTGGTGTGACATCAACCCCGATGGTCAACAGAAGTTCATCTATAATAAAGTGCAATAATCGCAATATCAACAATATTAAACCATATTAAACATCAATAAACCATACCCCAATTTTCAGCTTACCCCTCTTATAGAATGGAGGTACGACCAACAACACATATCCCATGACGAAAACGACACCGTGGCCAGATGTGGCCAGGTCACGTACTGCACGCCGCTCTCCAGCATCACATCCTGAAGTTTGAGAAGAAATTGACGACATTTTCTGGTTGGTGGTGCAATAACCATCTTGAAAAATGATGGAGTTCGTCAATGGGAAGAATGACATCCCATATATGAAATGGAAAAAAAACATGTTTGAAACCACCAACCAGTTTTGGGTTTTGGTATGAGTCAAAATTGGGTACTCCAATTCTCAGATGGTTGATACGTGTTGATACTAACCACAAACAAACATCTGTGGAACATATGGGGTTGTCTCCGTCAAATTTCAATGGTCGCTGATCGGTTTCCCTGTTAAGATGGCCATAGATTGAATGGTAAATCTCGTAGTTCAACACACATACACATGACTAGTATGACTAGTATAGTCAAGGACTACTTCTGATGTTTTACAGTCTGCAAATCCTCTCAATGGTCACATTTTCAGTTCAAGCTTAGAGATGAATATCATATTATACGTAATTGTATGTGTCCAGATTTGGCACCGTGAAACTACAGAAATTGTTGTGTTGTAGCATTAAACATTAGAATCGTTAACACCTACAATGTTTACATTCAAAATCAACAATACCTATTGGTCACGTTTAGGACTTGACCATATCATCGCTATAGCCATTTTGTCGTCATCATTATCGAAATATTGTTGATGTTGTTGAAATATTTCTCTTAATTTCTACCATGTTTCTTCATTTTGTTGAAATCATATGCTCATGTTTGGTGAGTCATATCAGTCATATCAGTCATCTCCATATGATCATATGGTTTTTGCAGCTAGCCATCTATTTTTCAATCCACCGGGATCAAACTTTTTTTCATACAGAAAATCTGATGAAATCTCCAAGGTTCCACCATGCCTCGACCCTTGTCGAGGGTACTCAAGGGGTAGGGCGATAAGAGGTCACCGCCGATACTCACAACGAGGTTCTCTCGCCGGAGACCCATGGAGCAATCCTGACAGTGGCGGCTCCGGGAGATCATGCAGGGATTATTGTAATATATTAAATATATATATATATATATTGTTATATAATATATATATATATATTATATATATATAGATATGTATAGATATGTATAGATATGTATGGATATGTATGGATATGTATGGATATGTATGGATATGTATGGATATTCTCACAGAAGTATATTCTGGGATATTCAGGGACAAAAGGGATGAATAGGGATGATATATCAATGATATCAGTGATTTGAGGATATCTGGGAGTCACTGACTGGTGATTCTTCATATGATTATGAAAGTCATAAATCAATGATCATCCCATTCTGAGGGACAAGGAAATTATTCGGATGGCCTGCTAATGACTTTCGTATTCATGGGGACTAAAGAATTGAGGATACAAACCATTCCCTGTAGGATCCTTTGGCATCTGTAGCATTATATGGATGGGACTAGGTCATACCCGGAGGACGTCAAGTTTGTGGTGGAGTCAAACTCACGACTTCATCCCAAAGAGAAACCAGCTCCCCAAAAAACAGATGCCCAGGCTGTCCACAACTCAACGTGTGCCAAGAGACATCCAGGAATTTTCTCAACTTGGGCCTTGAGGCATGAGTGGCAACGAGCCACTAAGTCGTTGATGAGCTTGGACCCATTGGGTTTTCGGACAGGAAAATCCAGTCAAGCTGCAAATTTCATGGTTGATCGTCCTTTTCCCTCTAAAAAAAGCCAACCATTTCAGCCTATTCCATGCCATTCCCCCATTTTTGGGACACACCCAGCAACCCGTCCAAGCTGCAAATTGTCCATGATGTAGACGTCGTTGATATGTACAAAGCGCATGCGCACCACATCATCCGAGTCCGATTCCTTGGCAGAAACCGATGGATTATCCGATTGGTCTTGGGAACATCCACCCCAAAGTTATGATGTTTCCATGCTTTTAACATGGAATATGTAGGGGGTCCTGCAAAATGTAACCCATATGTAACCCAATTGATGGCAACAGTCTGGAAAATTGGGATGTAATCCCAGGGAAAAACGTAGGAATGGCTTCGACCAGGATACAACATGTTTTGATTTAATTACCAATATTGACTTAGATATATATATATATATATACTTAGATTCTTTTAGATTGAAGTGAAGTAATATCAGCCGATTACATCTGGCAAACGAATGAGCCATCACTGACGAATGAGCCCCAGCGAGCTGTCAGCTTCATCAATGGGGGTGCTCGTGGATTCATCCACAATGCGAATATGTCCCACTCCACAAACTTTGCAAAATTGCAAAGTTTATTTGTGCTGTTGCAACGAGATACTTGTGGAACAAGCAACGTCTCTTGCATCATGCGGACCTCCAATCAGTTTCAAGGTCTCTACGTAATAATGTATCCATTATATTCCGATTTTATCTGTTTATCTTCATTATATTCCCAATACAAATATTTATAAATCATTTTCCCATTTCACCCAGGTCAAGTGCACTTAAAGGCTTCGTTATGTCACTGCAGTTGAGCTGCAGCCTTGGACTGTAACATCCACAGCGCTTGCTCATCGTGTGGTTGGAGTCTCTGTCGATTTGGATCTCCCTGCCCCTCCGGAACCTCATCCTGCTTGCGGCGACGCCTGGTCAGACCGTTGTCACAAAAACAGTGACGAAAATAAGGAGCTTGTGGCGACAAAGGATATATCAAATCCAACCACAAGTTCCACTATATACATCAAACAACTACTAACATCTACTAACCCCTTCAGCTGCACCTGAAACATCCTAAAACTCACCCAGATCCAGCTGCATTCCTTTCTTCACCTACCTTCCGATGTACTCCCAGCCACATCGGCCGCCCACCTGCCCAGCCAGTATCCGAAGGCGCCAGAAGTGACGGCAGAGATCAAGACGGAGATCAGCATGGGCCAATCCCCGCAGTGAAATCTGATGAAATCTGTCGATGAAGCAAGTTCATTTTAGCTACATTTGGTGTGGCTTAAGCCACCCAATGGGGAAGTCTCTGGGAAGCCCCAGTAAAGACTTCGGTATCGTTGTCGAGGATTCTGCGAAGCCATAGGGCCATGATGCTGTCAGAAGTGTTTTGTTCGCAAGGAATTACAAGTTTTTAAACATAAAGAAGAATGGTAATTTGGCTTGGTCAATCCAAGACAACTTGAAATGTGATGTGTTATGATGTGTTTATTGTTGGTCTGTTGTGCCAGCTTTCATCCCTTTCTCAATCTAGTTCTGCTGACGAATCAGCACTGGAAATCTGACCACCAAGGCACATGTTGCTACTGACATCTTCTGATCCACCAAAGTGGCTGTGTACGAATTCATGGAATCCCCTTCTGTTATTTATGGATGAGATTTATGGATGTTGATCCCACCCAGATAATGGTATCATACAATGGTATCTCATAGGCTTTTGAACGGTAGAATGATCAATAATATATGTATCATTTATGAATATGGGCTCATGGGCTCCTGCTTGCAGCCTATGCAGTACCTGGCGCTGACCTATTCTGAAAGCTGTTTCCACGTGTCATCCAGGCACTTCCCAACTAACTGGCCCTGCAAGAGTAAGCCAAGTTGACATGAATACATATTGTGAACATATATCTATATAATATTGATAATGTATGATAATGTTTGATATATCTATGTTCTCAAACAAAAACACATAAAGAAAGCATCACTGACCTCGCCACCCAAGGAAATCTAGGAACGATTTGGCAAGTAAATTGTAAACCTGGCTGGTGGGAGCACAAGATTCCCTTACATCCCAGTGTTGGTTGGTTGCATCCGCCGGTTCACCGCAGCAATATCTCAAGCCTTCCACGAATTTCCCATGGACAAAAACACTATGAACCCGTGATATATACTCCATCTAAGTGAGGAGCTTGCTTCACCCTGCCCACAAGGATTGTTAGAAACTGCTCAAGATATAAGGAGCACACAACAGCAACAAACAAAAACTCCATTGCAGTGGAAAATGGTGAACTATATGGTAGAGCCGGCTCAAAATTGAGAGTACAAAGGCTCCAATCACCTGATTGGGTTTATGGAACATCGATAGGAACCATGTTTTTACCCTGCATTTTTTTCGATTTGTTGATCAACAAGGCTAGGATCCAAAGCTGCACGTCTCTGAGCTCCAGGGCACATGTGAAGGCAAGGTCTTGCTCGGGTAGAAAGTTCGATCCCCTCAGATCTGCAGGATCGATGATCCATCAATTGTCCACTGGCTACTTTCAACCACCATAGGAAAATCAAGGGGAATCCTCATCCCATGCTGGAAACAAAGATCTTTGAATCCACAGTGGGAATCGATAGAACGAATAGATACGAACCCATAGGATCTATGGTGCTGCTATATATGGTAACATGGATCCCATCAATATACCCCAGTCATGTTAGCATATATACCAGCACCATGGATCCTATGGGGAATAGTATGTCACTGACATCAGAATCCTGACATGTTTTTTCTGACTCAAAGCGATCGAGTAGGATCCTGATGGCAGTCATACTCCCTTTCACCAAATACAGGCTATGTTTGTGAGACGGGTTTGAATGTCCTCAACTGTAGTTATTAGCTATCGATATAGAGAGTAGATAATATAGAATAATGTATATATAGAGTCATGTGAAGTAAGTATGAACAAAACCCTGTTCAAATCACTATGCTATTGTTCAGATTGTTTGTGGGTGCATTCATCAAGAAGATGTCAGGGCTCCCCACGGGGTGTTGGCAAAGTTTTCAGTTAGCTCCAAGGTCAAATCATGACCTCACAGTCGTTTTCAATCAGCGTTCAAATAAACCAGCTTCACAAGCTGGTTGGTGGTACTCCTACCCCTCTGAAAAATATGAGTTCGTCAGTTGGGATGATTATTCCCAATATATGGAAAAATAAAACATGTTCCAAACCACCAACCCCAGCAAGAAATATCACAACATACAGTACTACGACCATCATTCCGTTCGTCACTGCACCAGCGGCACTTCATCTTTAGTATAGCTCTCACTGTGTGTCCGAAATAAGTGTGATAGCCCAATCATTGGTTTTCCCTGGCAATACGACGTGACCCAAAACCATGGGAAAACCCTAAACATGCCACGTTCGATCTCCCGGCCACGGCATGAAATTTAAGCTGCCGCACCCACTGCGAGAAGTCGGCTGAGACGTTGCCTGAGTTGGGCCCTGGTTTGATCTGACATGGCTTGGCTGTGGGACTACATGGGACTACATAACCCAAACCTGTGGTGCTGACTTTGGGACCAAACCTTTGCCCTCAAAGGCTGCGAATTAAGTTGGATAGTGTTTAGATTTATATCAACTATAGTAACTATATGTAACTATATCATACACCTGACTTCTGTATATCTATATATATAATAATCTCTGCATGTTCGTCATGGTTTTCCAGAAAAACCTCATTTCTGGAAGGTGACAGGTCAAGGTCGCTATCCCCAGGGCCCCAGTCTCCCTGGATCGCCGAGAGCCAGGCCAAAGCTGTCGCATTGGAAGAGCCAAGTCTTGGCTTCCTCGCGAAGGGGACGCAATGCGCCACGAATCGCTTCCCCAATAAGAGGTTTAAATGTAAAAATACATTTACAATCAACCTGGAAACCATAGGTTTACCATGGTTTACCGGTTTACCATACATGTATAATTAATATAATAGCAACCAGTTTCAGCAGTTTTACAGGTTTACCATGGTTTACCAATCAATTACATAGCAACCAAAGCAACCATAGCAACCTGGAAACCTGGGTTACAGCTCTGGTTCATTTGAGCTAACCCACCAGGCTCCTCGTGCCAGCAGGCCACCGCCTCGGGCTTCACCCTTCGCCTGCCCCATGGCTTGATGACAACATGCTGCTGAGATGCTCCCAAGATGTGCCCAACCTCCTGATGTCCCACCAGCAGGGTGCCCAGGCATTTCAATCCCAGCACGATCCTTGGCGCCACAAGAAACGCCATTGGGACAGTCCAGGGCCACTAAGACCCTGGCGAGCAATGGGCCAGAAGACTCCAATCTCTGGCAATACCTCAAGGGACCAAGGGATGCCAGTTGCTGGGATAGTAGCAAATTATGTAACAAGATGGGGGAAATGAATGGAATGGGATTCAGGGAAACCATAGAACTGGCTGGATCCTTGTTGCACGCAGCCAGGATGAGATACCAATTTCATGACAAATACCAGCTTCAGCTTGATATTGAATATTGTTCAATGCCATTCTGTCCTGTTTGTGTTTAAGCCACACATCCAAACAAGATGTTCCATTGTTTGATACTTAATTCCCATTGGAAATTTTGATCATCTTTGTAGGTACTGCGGAACGAGGCCCTGGCGATGATTCAAGATTCGCTCGCAGAGAATGGCAGCAATGCACCTTGGTTTTCCGCAGAACCTAAGGTTGGCCCAAGATGACATAATATAATTAATATATCTCATTTTTCCCACGGTTTTAAGGTTTTAACACATGTTTCATCCGCAGTTCTAACCGCCTTACAGGGATGGACGATACACTAGGTGGCCCCTTCGCAGATGGCTATGGGCCCCTGGCAAGCTGACGACCGCCACTTGCTCCATCACCTTGAAAGGCCATGTGAGGCTGAACCATGGGCACCTTTCATCAATAAAGTACTTCAATAATTTCAATATCTGCTAATGTATTGTGGTTTATCAAGGTTATGTATCATATTCTTGCTGATGTCCGAATACCAGAACACAAATTTCGACCTCTGACCAAATCCTTGGTGGCATGACCCATCTGCATACGTCCTTCGCATATTCCCTATGTTGTTGGCTCATACCCCCAGGTTAGTGGGTTTATATATGTTTATATCCCATAGCAACTGTTCAATCCCGCGTTTGGCTGAAACAAATTGACAAGGTAACATAGTCATAGAGTTTCTAATTTCCGACCATCATATATTCATAGATATTCATATAGTAGATATTGCTTTTATATTGTGAGTCCATACAACCACACTTTTGCCATAGGTATACCCACCCATTGTCGTCGGTCAATTCCCATTCATTGACAGCAACACAGCCTGCACAAAACTGAGTGTCCCTGACTGGCTTGAGGAAGACACCATCCCTGACAGTAGAACGGCTGATATTTATTTCAAGCATCCAGACGTTCGACACATATTGTGCCCTCCTTTACCTCAAGGCGGTGAATCTAAATGAGCAATAATCATCAAAGTCTTGGGAATGAAATAGGGATGGAGAAAAACGTATTTGAAAATTATTTGAAGCTTTGTTCCTCAATTCTGATGATCCTGAATCAAAGATGTTTTTTCATTACCAACCAGTTCCATGCATTAGTTGCTAGCAAACCTGCGAAATCAGGATAATTTTGCAACCCCACCTCAGGCCGTAAAGCAATGGCCGGGAATTGGACTCCTGCCATCAACTGCAAGATACTGCAAGCCTTCCCAATTTCCGTTCGAAGACTTCGCACACGTTTTTGGATGTGGATTTGGCTGTTTTTCTTCGGGTGCGGACGAGTCCGAAAGAAACCACCACCGTGAAACGTCTCTGCAGCATCTCCTGAATATGTGCTTTCGGAACAGCATCCTTGGCAGGCGGTCTTCCTTCAAGGTCTCTGGGGAAACAAACCATGGGATTGGCTGAACCTAAACATAGCAATGCCATCGTCAAAACATGGGATCTAAGGTCTTGTCATCCCATCATTAAGGATTCCTTGCGATGGGCATAGTAATTGCATGATTTTATTATATGTTAATTCTAGTGACCTATAGTAATCCCTATAGTGACAACATCGTAATCCCTATGGGGGGATCATCCATGTGGCACCCATCGCCAGACCCATCGCCCCCATGTCAGATGTGGCTGTGGCCCAAGAAACACAACCAACAAAAACATGGGTGGAAACAGCTCCTATTAAACCTAGAAATGGCTGGTCATGTTGACTACTAAACTAATCAATTGTCAATTAAATGTATCATGTACAGTAAACATCCGTAAACCACAGCATTCCGGAGAGTCAAAGATTTTTGACCGACATCCGGAGAGTCAAACAGGTGGTGAATCGTTAAGCAAAGGCGCCAGCAGCTGAACCCCGAAGTTGCTGCAGCCTCGGAGGCCCCATTTTTGGTCATGGGCCAACTTCAAAGGGAAGTGAGAAAAACCACAGCTGTCCCAATGTTATGCTATCTATTATATGATTATGGTGTGATTATATATGTGATTATTGTGTTATTCTTGTATGTTTATGTATCAATGTGAATCAATGTGTATGTTCTTGGGTACATGATGGTACATGTCTAGGCAACAATAAGCGACAAAACAAGGATGATCTCGGGCCACTGGGAGGCTGGGTGGTGCTCGGTGCCCAACGGATGAGCATCAAGAAGTAACTCGAATGCACCTCACAGCCAGCTCCAACATACCACATTCATTGAATTAAACCACGTGTGCCTTCTCATATTCAGAATGTGGCTGTGGCTTTTTTTCAAACCCACAGCCATATTTGGCACCCTGCTGTTCATACCCATATATAGCTGGGATGTGCTCGGATTTTGTGGATGTTCACCCGCAATTTTTACCCATCTTCTGAACCACACAGAATCGCCATCATGCCTGAGGCCACTCGTCTTCTGCCTGCATAGTCATGGACGCAAGCTAGAGTGATTCCGAAAAGCACTCTAAACATTTCAAGAAAAGGTGTATGAAAAGAATGCTAAACATAAATATTTCAACATATTTCAACCACAGCAACCAGTGTTTTTATTATCGAAATTCTGATGGTCTAACTCCTTCCGACTACGTGACTACTTTTGGTGGTCTACTTTCGACCTTGCCACTGGGTTTCCAGGCCATTTCTGAAAGATCCAAAGCACTTTTCTTCAGGACCTTCGCCACCAGCTCCATGAAACTTGGCACCTGGGTTGAAACTGGGTTGCGCCATGATAGGAGACATGGGGGAAAGATTCTTGTGAAAAGCCTTAGACTATTGTATATATTGTTGTTTAACAATATTTCAACATGTATTGCTTTCCAATATCATGGGAAACACATGGAAACACTAGGACATGTGTGGAAGCCATCCATTGTTGGAGGGGGCCCAACTTGACCCATGATGGCCCATCCTCTCTAGAAATCAGTGTGCATGAGAAAAAAAAAAACTCATCACTAGACAACAATGTTGATTTGCGACAACGACTCATAACACTCTGCATGTGCGCGAAAATATCGACAGGACATGCTTCCCACCAAACGAGAATCTCGCTGTGACTGGGCCCCGCGACCATAGAAACGTGATCCGTCAACCTGCATCCCCAAAGTGGACGGTACAAGGGTCATAAGAAAGAGGCAACATGCAATCGCTGATCCATGCTGATCTAATCATTGATCCCTCTATGTTCACAAAAGTATTTATATATATACAATATAATATATAAATATATACTTATTATATTATATTATATTATATGATATTATATTATATTATATAATTATATTATATTATATCATATTATATTATATTCTATTCTATTATATTGTATTGTATTGTATTGTATTGTATTGTATTATATATATATATATAGCCAAGGCTGCCTATGTGGTTGGATTTGGTTTGAACACCAGGCGTTGCTGAAAATTCTTTGCTCCCATGTGGATCCACACGGCCACCAGGGAGCCCCGACGCGTTTTCACAATCGAAGATCCGGTTGTGCGCCTGTTGCATAGCCTGACACCAATAGAGGCGAAAATTTAAAATCATTGGACTCATGAAGGATAACCATGAGAAAACCATGAGAAAAACAATCTAAAACAAAAAACAGTAGTGTGTTTTGAAGATTTTGAAATCGCTGTGGCTGGCGGTGTGAGAATCGCTGAAAATGATTGAATACCTGCAGACTCATCTCTGGATAGACACTGAGAGAAGGCCTACACTATGTCAGTATTGTGTTGCCACACACGGTTATGTCCATCCTTTTCACAGCATACTCCTCCAAAACCACGACGCAATTTGAGTATTCATTTTTTTTTAAATGATATAATATATATATACTATTTATTTACATATATATATATGTATTATAATATTATATATATTATACTATACATATTTTTATAACATACATATACATATGTTATGCCATACAGTATTGTGCCCCAGAAGCTGGTTGTTTTTAGCGGAAAACCACGGAACCTCACCTGGGCTATGCCAAGTGTCGGCGACTGCATCTCCTCAAGGTCTTCGATGCTTCGCCTGTGAAATCAGCGGGGCGATGCTTGTGACAAGTGATTAGTGATTTAATGGAGATTTAATGGGAAAATATGGGAACATATGGGAACATATGGGAAAATTGTCTATTAACTATCTCTAACTGGCGATTTGATGGGATAACTCAACATATGATTCGTATGGGCTTGAAGAATGGAGTATACCCCAAAAACAAATCACAATGGATCAACATGGCAATTTATTCCCAAACATGATGATCAACTATCAATATTTCAGGTACCTCATTTTAAAACAACCCCACAGCAGGTTTGCCGGTGCCAGTTGAGGAAAAATGAAGAGCTGTACAGCATTATTTGTTTCTTCTGGGTTTGCTTGGTATTTTCTCCGGGAACTCATCAAGACCAGGTACGAAGAAGTCAAAGAAATGTTGATTTTCATCTGCACAGCTCCTCTTCACCCCAAGCGTGCCGGACTGCCAGGAGGATGAAGTTTGATACAAAGGAGGATAATAGAATAGAGGAATATCAGCATATCCCGAAAGAACAGAAGAATTGCAAGACAGAAATGTCTTCAAAAACAGGAGAACAAACTCACAAATTATTATGGAGTCAAGAAACGGATTCAGATTGATTGTTCCCAAGATTTGTGATGAACAAAAATGTGTTCACCATAGAAAACCTGCACACATCCAAATGATCAAATGTATCGTGAAGTGGCTACCAGCTATATCTCACTCCAGCAACTCAGAGTTTCCAAGATTCAAGAGCAGTCACCTTCCCAGCGACAAAGACCCCCTGCCTGAGTAAAGTCTCCAAAGCTTCCTTTTCCAGCCGTTCCACAAATCGCCTCCCGCGGGGCTATATATGATGATATATTATATGTCTCCATCCATTTGTCTATATTACCTGTGGTAATCCAAGGCCTGTCAAGTAGATCCAAATAGTTAGGGGCTGCATTTTTTTGGGGGAATTGTTTCCCGTTTTTTTTTGTTTATTTTTTCCCGTTTTTTGGGGTTTGATGGTTTTGATTGGTATTTGCAGCGTTTTGCAGCTAAGCTCTCTGATTTGCATGGTGTTGTTGTTGTTGTTGTGGTTGGATGGATGGATGGATGGATGGTTGGTTGGTTGGTTGGTTGGTTGGTTGCTTGCTTGCTTGCTTGCTTGCTTGCTTGGTTGGTTGGTTGGTTGGTTGGTTGGTTGGTGTTGGTGGTTGGTGGTTGGTGGTTGGTGGTTGGTGGTTGGTGGTTGGTGGTTGGTGGTTGGTGGTTGGTGGTTGGTGGTTGGTGGTTGGTGGTTGGTGGTTGGTGGTTGGTGGTTGGTGGTTGGTGGTTGGTGGTTGGTGGTTGGTGGTTGGTGGTTGGTGGTTGGTGGTTGGTGGTTGGTGGTTGTGGTTGTGGTTGTGGTTGTGGTTGTTCTTGTTCTTCCTGTTCTTCCTGTTGTTGTTGTTGTTGTTGTTGTTGTTGTTGTTGTTGGTGTTGGTGTTGTTGTTGTTGTTGTTGGTGTTGGTGTTGTTGTTGTTGTTGTTGTGGTTGTGGTTGGTTGGTTGGTTGGTTGGCTGGCTGGCTGGCTGGCTGGCTGGTTGGTGTTGTTGGTTGTTGTTGGTTGTTGTTGGTTGTTGTTGGTTGTTGTTGGTTGTTGTTGTTGTTCCTTCCTTCCTTCCTTCCTTCCTTCCTTCCTTCCTTCCTTCCTTCCTTCCTTCCTTCCTTCCTTCCTTCCTCGCACCTTCCTTCCACCAGAAAACGGGAAAAAAATCCCAAAAACAAACGGGGAAAAAAAACCCAAAAAAATAGCCCTCCAATAGTTAGTCACTATTGGCTTCAGTGTGATGTTAGTGTTGTGTCACTCATGTCTCATGCAGTTCATATTCATCAAGGAATCCACCCAAAATGCTTCATGTCACCGATCTCTTAGTCTTACCACTCCAACAGAAAAACCAGCTCAAGATACAGCTCAAGCAAGAGGAGCCAAATATCATACCCTCTGGTAATTTAACATAGCTATTGAAAATGGCCATTGAAATAGTGAGTTTTCCCATTAAAAATTGTGTTTTTCCAGCGTTTTTTGTAAACGTTTACCAGAGGGTAATTCCCATGACAGTGCATATGATCGTGGAACCTGTCAGGCCCTGATCACACTTTCCTCACTGCATAGCTGCCAAGTGCGGGCCAGTCCTCTTAGGAGAATATACAGACAGAGAACAGTTCGCTTGCAAAACACTAAGTCGCTAAGTATCCAAGTGTACTAACTCTCACAAAGATATGATTGATGTATCATTTACATATGTATATCATATTGTACGCCTATTTTGATATGACTAAAGTCTGACTTGTAAATGTAATATAATATAAATGCTGTATAAATCCTGTATATATATATGTCATTCTACATATAAGCAACATCGATGTATATATATATATGTATGTATACATACGTATATATCATATGTCATGTATGTTATGCTATATATAATATATATACACATCATGATTATTGCATGTAATCATAAGACCTATGGTGTTCATAGATTAACGGTAAAAGACGGTACCTACGGTACCAACTACTTGGACATGCTCGGCACCTTGCCTTGCACCGCTCTCAGGTGCTTCACTGGCCTGACCGGTGCAGCCGGTGCTGACTTCGCTTAGATGTGGAAAGCCCATGGGTTTTCCGTAGAAAATTAACGATCTAAACATGGTGGGTTTTCCATGTTACAAGAAGTTTATATATAGAAAATGTTTATCCTGTTGTTCGTAGAATACATCTTCACATCGTAACGACATACATAGATCTACATAATGTGGGTTGCTCCTGTGGATCCATATCATCCCAGCTCAGTTTCAAAAGAGTTGGGGCGGCAACACTAGGACAACAAAAACATAGAAATTCATACAGTCATCATACATCTAGTAAATCCGGCTTGTACTATCTTGTACTATGATGTTCTATGTCCAGATTTTAGTCTTGGATGCGCCAAGTGTCCGGTCTCCTTCCCGGATGACTTGAGTATTGAAACAACCATGGTGACTTGGGGATCCCACATGACTTAAGAAACCAAAAAAAACAATAGTAATCATTAACCCCCCGCAATAGTGATACATTGTCCCGTTACATTCTGGTTGGTGGTTTCACCCCCTCTGAAAAATGTTAGTCAGTTGGGGGTATTATTCCCAATATATGGAAAAATAAATGTTCCAAACCACCAACCAGCATTAGTTGGGTTTGTCTGAAAATAGTGTACCCCTACACTCAGTGGTTTTGCTGATCATTATCCCTACTAAATGGCTATAATTGGGGGTATACCCCATTTTCAGACATACCCAGTTGTATGTTATCCCATTATTATCCCATTAATACTTGAGACCTTCCGGGAACTGCTGATGCACCGCGCCTCACTGGACTCAGGAGGCATCTTCCTCTCTGGGAGTTGGAGGCTACTCCCTTGAAATGTTGGGTCCGAGTAGGTTGTACAACTGGACACAACTTGTATACATATATACATATATATATATATATTTGTATATATATATATTGAGTCATATATATATACATATACATGCATACATACATGCATTTATATATTAATTAATTAATTAATTAATTAATATTATCAAGTTGTATGTTATATTACATGTATGTATTGGTATATAGATATGGAGACAGAATCATACAGAACTCTTGGGGTGATGGGCCAAACGCACATGATTTGTCGTTATACAAGCAGATGCACATAGGATCAAATGGCCTGCCAAAGGTGGAGAGTTCGATAGCAATTCGACACAACATATTTTGTCAGTCCATTTCTCAATAGCCTTGAGTGGCAATTGCAAGCATTGTCAAGCATCGCAAAGATATGCAAGACCGTTCAAATAGATTCAAACTAACAAGAAAACAAACGATTCCAAAGATTGGCTGGAGCGAAGACACATATCTTTCAGCAAAAGTTCACCTGGCAGCGGTAACATGGATTGCATGGATTCCCATGTTTGGCCTTCCCATTCTGCCGCTTTCTGCCTGACCCAATGTACTTATAAAGGACGCTCGCGTCACTAAACCCCTCGCCAAGACAGCTGTCTCTCAATATGACAGACAAAACTGTCGACGCACCAGAGTTATGGCAACCGAAGATCATCCTTGGCCCCCAGCAGGCGCTTTAGCCCATTTACCCTGCTGTCATACGCTGGCTTCAAGCACAACGCGTTGGCCCCAAGGGCAATTGAGTTTGCAGTTAGCAGACCACTGCGACAACCCCTCACACCCGGCCAACGGTGTGTGGCACTGCATAACAGTGCCATGGGTAAGGGGTCTGGCATGGAATACCCAGTATGAATGCGTGGGCAAACCAGCTCAGATTCAATAGTCAATAACACAATATGTCATTCGACACATCTGTTTTAGATGTGTCGCATGACCGTGAAAGTGATTTCCAGCTCATCACCAAGAAAGCATCCAGGGACGCTGCGTGCGCCAAGTGCGCCAAGTGGGCCAAGTGGGAAGCAAATCACCGGCGCAAACCGAAAAACTTGCAGACTCACGTGAATAATTATTGATATACTCATTAGTTGGATTCCTTTCCACATCTAATTCATGATACAAAAGTCACCGGTAGATTTGCCCAATCCAAAGCTCAGCCAAGTCATCGGAAGACCCACCAGTCAGTTCATGTCAGTCAAAGTTGGTGGGTATCCCAAAATCCCATGACTTCACTTATATCTGGCTTTTTTTCATATTTCACTAACCATATCTAATCTAATCTGTTTTTTTTAGCCATTTGGGGATGATTTCCCTGTCCATTTTTCCAAAATGGCCATGTTGATCCATCTTGGGGATAGCCACTGATTACAGTGGCTCCACATGGCACCACATGGTGCGCCGGCACTCAGAATTTTAAGCATAGCAACAAAAACATGAGAAAAACACGGGGAAATGCTCCGGTAATCAATGGATAATCGTTTACAGATACAGCACATGGATGTTCAAGCCAAAAATGGTCTAGTAATCAATCCTCAAATGACCCTTGTGACAACGTGGTGGTCGACAGCCCGCCCACTGCCTTGTTGCCAGAATTTCTTTCAGCTTTTGCAGCCTGAAAGGACCATGACATGTCCCAGAATAATTGTATGTAATCAATTCAAATATATATATATATAAATAATATAATGTGTATATGGGGGTGTCCTAAAGTAAAAAGTCTATCCAATAATCAAATACAATCAGTACATACACATGCTTCACATAAACTGATTGAATTATTGGCAGTTCCTGCAGACGAGGACTGTCGGACTGGACGGACTGGACCTTGTTCATCAAAACAACCAAGCTGTACAGAAACCACTTCAAGTGTTGAGCAGCTTTAAATAGTTGTGTCCGAAACTGTGAATACCAATAAATGATAATATGTATATATATATATATTTGCTTAAATATCTACATTTACATATACTGGTTGACTGGTTGGTGGTTTCAACCCCTCTGAAAAATATGAGTTCGTCAGTTGGGATGATGACATTCCAATATATGGAAAGTCGTAAAAACCATGTTCCAAACCACCAAACAGATATACCCTCTGGTAATTTAACATAGCTATTGAAAATGGCCATGTTATGGTTGATTTACCCACTAAAAATGGTGATTTTCCATAGCTATGTTAGTTTACCAGAGGGTATATATAATAGAAAATCAATCAGTGCACATTGCAGCGCTTCACGGTTGATCAACTCCTTTTGGATCACGACAACTCTGGTTCACAGTTGGCCATCAGTCACCATGGGCGTTTCGATGTCACGATGTCCCAAATTGGGAATGGTGAAGGGGCGTGCTTTGCATACCACTTATCATGATTACTTACTTGTTGCTCCATGGAGCTTTTCTATCCTATATATTCATTAATCAATGAACGCATGAAAATGTTATACATCTGGAATTGGCGGGTGGTTTTGGATGAAATTGGGCTTATCCGAAAATGAGAGATACTCCAAAATTGCAATTTGAAATGGACACAAATTATATAAATGACTATCACTACGACTATAGCGATTGGCTCGTCCACTTGCAAACAAACCCAAATATATATACCATTGTGTTAATTATATCATTCATATATCCCATGATACGCCTTTCTGAAAAGATCCCATAGAAATTCCATTTAATTCCCATAATCTCCGAGTGTTTCCACATGTGTGTTGCTTAAATCCAACACTTTTCATCATTTCTCAACACTTGTTGGTTTCGTCAGTTCATTTCCCACTAAAAATCGATATGAATCGATGATTTACTCCCACTATATATAGCACCTGAAAAATCACACGGAAAAAAAAAAACACATCCCCCTAAGATCAAACAATGGTCCAACATGTGTGATGTCATCCTCTACTAAACCATGGTTTCTTGGGGGTGCTGAAAATATGAACTGGGGAAGGAAGTAATCATCCCAATAAAAATAGACATAATTATCTTCCATGTTCATCCCAATAATTATCCCAGTTGGAACGATCTGCCCTACCACTAAAAATCAGTTCTGAACCGTTATTAACAATGAATTACCACTATTACCATATCTATTACCCTAGGGTTAACCAGCAACGCCACCAACAAAGAGGAAAAGCCACCATGAAATGTCATTGTCCATCGGTTTTCCCATGGCTATTCCATGATTGGTTTTGTATAAATTTACCCCAGGACCCGCGTGTGTTTTGACCACTATTAACACTTAAACAAATCATATTGAATCCCTAGGAACCTCTATTAATTAGGCTAATAAGTTATAAACCACCATTAAATCATCTTTAAATTAAACATTAAAACACCATTAAACCACCATTAGTCATTGAATCACCATTAAATCACCATTAAATCACCATTAAATCACTGTTGACCATGTTCAATGCGTCGCTGTAAACGCGCCTGTTCTCCAACTTCTCGGGCGTCAACTCATCCGAGCCGCCGCCCAGCTTGGAGAGGACCAGGCAGCGGCTCAGCGGCAAGACTTGCTGCGCCTGGCAGTGAGATCCCAGGTACCCAAGGGATTCCATGGATGAATAGTGGTTACTACCGGTTGATACTGATTTTAATAGTGGTTACTAGTGGTTGTTAGTGCTCAATAGTGATTAATGGTGCTTAATAGTGCTGAATTGTGGTTAATAGTGATTTAATAGTGGTTACAAGTGGTTGATATAGTGCTCAAGTACTAGTGCTTAATAATGGTTAATCCAGCCACTTATGGTTAATAATGGTTGATATATTGGTTACTAGTGGTTACTAGTGCTCCACCATTACTAGTGGTTACTAGTGACTAATTAATGGTGGTTAATAGTGCTTACTAATGGTTAATTATGGTTAATAGTGATTTAATAGTGGTTACTACTGGTTGATAATGGCTAATAGTGCCCCACCATTATGATGATCTGGGTGCAACCTGGGCGAAAACTGACCTGCATCTCCGTGGTTTGTTGTGGTTTGCTTATCTAAGAACCTGATGAAAGGAAGAGTTGCAGATAAAAAACTGTATAATCGAAAACACGCCATCGCATTTTTAGCCTTCAATAAGGACAGATGGTTGGTAAGTATCCACCATGTGTTGGCCAAAAACTGATAACGCCATCGTGAATCGCCAATATTACCTCCAATCCCCATGTTTTTCTTCGAGAACCCGAAGAACCCAGTTCTATTTGTTCATATCCCCCTTTTTGCACATGTTATACCTCATATTACCTCATTATGCAATAACACTAACTACAGTATTGACTCATAGTATTTCTCCAAGTTGAGTCACCCTGACGCCTGGTCCAACAGTTGCGCTCCAGCACTCAGCAACTGCAGCAATTCACCATGGCCGCGGCCACTTTCAGCGGCGCGAAAAACGGCATCGGCCACACGGGCCTGGCTTGGAAGAGCAACGAAGTGGAGACGCCAGGATGTGTGTGTGTGTATCCCAGTTAGTAAATGGAAGTAAATGGTGTATAAAGCCACACAAAATTCCATACTATATATAATAATGATAGATAATGAATGATAATGATAGATAGATAAATAGATAGATAAATAGACAGAAACAGAGACAGAGAAATACATACTTGAAGATGCATCATATGTGTCACCCAGAGAATTGGTATTTCATGGTATTTCAAACATGTTCAAACCATTTCAAATCGATGTGTACATTGGTGATGTTTGGTGAGTATCAGTGATATTCCCTGACGTTGATAGTCATTCTGAGTCATTCTGAGTCATTCTACCCAACTGACTATACCAGCCTGGGTGAAAACTGGAGTATGCCCTAAAAATTGGATTGGAATGAACTGGTGATGTTTGGATCATGTTTGGTTCCCTGAATCTAAAGGACTGATGACTCTGGAGATCTGCTGGACCCCCCAGAGTTCTGAACCGTCAGAATAGATATGGATTGGTTTCACCGGAGCATGGTTTGATCATGAAACCAACATAAAGACTTTCATTGAGGCGTTACCAAAGTCATGCAGAGAACATGATTAGGTTTGCTGCATTTGTTTTGAAAGTGTGTCTCCAAATCTACACAATGATCCAATCAGTATATCACAAAATACATAATCCTAGACAAACAAACGAACATAGTAATTATATACTATATAATATAATCTATATATATATATATACATATGCGAGATATAAATGTCATTGCTTCTACATTACATACATCTCATATCCATAGCTGGATCAACATCCACCCAGGCACCTCATTCACCTCGTTGAGTTGACCCAGCTTGGTATCAAAGCCAAGGCCCCCCTGGCAGGTCTTGGGAAGTCCCGAAGTCCCGGGTTTTCCCACATCAGTTATAGCAATTTCATGAGGTAACATGGTGATTAATGAAGATTAATGGTGATTAATGAAGATTAATGGCGATTAATGGTGATTAATGGTGATTAATGGTGATTGATGGTGATTAATGGTGATTCATGGTGATTGATGGTGATTCATGGTGATTCACGGTGATTAATGGTGATTCATGGTGATTCACGGTGATTAATGGTGATTGAAGGTGATTGATGGTGATTCACAGTGATTCACGGTGATTCATGGTGATTAATGGTGATTAATGGTGATTAATCAATGGTGATCAGTGGTGATTAATGGTGATTCATGGTGATTAATGGTGATTAATGGTGATTAATGGTGATTAATGGTGATTAGTGGTAATTAATGGTGATTAATGGTGATTAATGGTGATTAATGGTGATTAGTGGTAATTAATGGTGATTAATTGTGATTAATGGTGATTCATGGTGATTCATGGTGATTCATGGTGATTAATGGTGATTAATGGTGATTAATCAATGGTGATTAGTGGTGATTAAGCAATGGATATTGGGGATTATTGGGGTACCATATGTTCAAACAAACCCAAATGATCTGCAAATGGGACCAGGGTTCCACACAATTTCTAGCCTGCGTCTGATTTTTTTTTGCCGTTTCTACTACCCTCTGGTAATTTCACCTATGGAAAATCACCATTTCAAACAGCTAAATGATCGAACTAAATGGTCCATTTTCCATAGCAAACTGTTGGATTAGCAGTGCATGGCGCCTCAAGCCATCCACGCAAATGGCTCACATCATCTGTTACAGAGAGGCCGAAGGTCCTGAGATGCGAAATTCCGGGGCCCGGTTCTTCGATTTCCACATCAAAAAACAGAATAGAATGGACATATAATGGAGATATAACCAACTCTATGGGGATATCATGCCTAACAAAATTAAAATGTTGGGTGTCTGAAAATTGGTTGTAGTACCACCCCGAAAATATCCGATTTTTGGAGTACAGTATAGGACATATCAAAAGAAACAACATATCCCCTTCACTGCAGATTCCCACTGCCGCCCAAGCCAACCTTTTGGGATGCGGCAGTGTTCCTGCATGCGTGTGTTTTACGTATACTCGCTGGGTCGTTCGTGCTTCAACTTAGTTCTGGTTCAATTTACAGCTCTGTAGGACTGGCAGCTGAGTTTCACTAACAATGAGGTAAACTCGTGAGATGACTTTAGCTTCTTTAGCTTGAACACATAAGGGTCCCTTCAATTTGACGTGCAAATCCAAACAAAAGGTCTATTAGCTCCAGACTTCGTGGTATTGAACACGTCCTTTATCATACTGACACACTGTCCCTAGGGGCAACTGGATTTGCCAGTCAACTGCTGTCTAATTGATGGTAGCTGTCTGACTGCTGGCCAGAACAGTTGCCGTCACACCAGGCCTTGCATTCTCATCGCCAGGGTGGATCATCACACAAACTATTCATACAACAAAGCAGAATACATGGATATAAAATGATATAAAATGATATTTTCATGGTGCATACGTAGCAAAATGTCCTTTTTCCCCACCTGCCAGGTGAGGGTTGTTAGATTTTATGTCAGTTGCCTCCTCCTCCTGCCTCGTCCTGCCTCCTGCCTCCTCCTCGTCCTCCTTGTCGTCCTTGTCGTCCTCGTCGTCCTCGTCGTCCTCGTCGTCCTCGTCCAACTGCGACCCGCGATCCACAGTGTTCGCTGCCGGACCTCAACCACGACCATCCACGACCAGTGTTCCCTGCCGGACCTCAACCACGACCAGCCACGCCCAGTGTTCCCTGCCGGACCTCAACCACGACCAGCCACGCCCAGTGTTCCCTGCCGGACCTCAACCACGACCATCCACGCCCAGTGTTCCCTGCCGGACCTCAACCGCGAGTATCCATGCCAAGTGTTCCCTGCCAGACCTCATGTAGGAAGATAAAATGTCAGAAGAGTGCCAGAAGATTTGCCAGGTAGAATGCCAGAAAATATGCCAGATAGAAATGCCAGAAGATATTCCAGAAGATATGCCAGATAGAATGCCAGATAGAATGCCAGATAGAATGCCAGAAGATATGTCAGAATATATGCCAGAAGATATGCCAGATAGAATGCCAGATAGAATGCCATAAGATATGTCAGATAGAATGCCAGAAGATATGCCAGATAGAAGGCCAGAAGATTTGCCAGATAGAATGCCAGAAGATATGCCAGAAGATATGCCAGATCATATGCCAGAAGATATGCCAGATAGAATGCCAAATAGAATGTCAGAAGATATGTCAGATAGAATGCCAGAAGATTTGCCAGTAAGAAAATGTATAAATGTCATGGTGGGGATCACACGAAGTAAAGTAATTTTGAATCTCTAGCAGAGATATCCATAGATATCCTCCATTGAACCAGACCCTGGTCATCCCTGTGTCTACTCATTGGACTGCATATCTCCTGACCAAGGCTCGGGTGCCAAAACAACCAGGCGCGCAGAATGCTCCGCCCCGCCGGGCAGAGCCACTGCACCGCCTTCACCGCGACGCAGGCGTCCTGCGGCGCCGGAAACAACGTGGTCCGTTGAATCAGTTGAATCGTCGAAAAAACCATGGGACCCAACCAACCCCAAGGTAAACCATGGTAAACCCAAGGTAAACCAACATATTCCAAAAGAAAAACTTTTATATCCTCAAATTGAGTTTCAACTGGTAGCTTGCATGATGCGGCCACAAGATTTCCACTGCATCTGTGCTACTTTAATGTGGCAGAGCCAGCAGTCGCCAAGGAACCGCCAAGGCCAAGCCGTGTTGGCGAATGAAGTCCCGAAGCCACATGCGAGGTTCCCGGGATTCACCTGCGGGGCCAGGACCTTGGGAACAAAGATCTAAATCCTACCTGTCCTAGGGATGTTCAGCTGCTTCATTTACCTGGCTGGATAATTTTTGATGTATATAACTGTATATAACTGTATATAGATTAAATATACTACGCACGTATGATCTGCTGGAATATCTGGAATGGCGGTAGGGAAGCGTGTGTCCAAACACAATGATCCTCGAACAAAACGAAACACACGACTTAAGCAGTGCCCAAGATCCTTAAGTCATCCCCCCTACTGACTGGTTGGTTCATAAGGGCTCCATAAAAACGTCCCCAGCATATAGCGGCTATGTGTTTCAGGATCCCAGGTCTTCATAGTTCACCATTTACCATGATTTGGAGGTGCTTTCCTCAGCTGTGAATCTTTTCCATAGCAGCTACAAGATATATAGATATATACAAATCTATACATATATACAACCATCCTCTTCTACTGCTTGCTTGATAAGGGTTCCCATCTTGGACTTGTGAAAAAGGGGCTCCCATGAAACTATTTGGGTACGGCTCAAAATTGACCCGAAAAGAAAAATGATGTTGGTCATTTGCGGTTATTTATGGAATATTTATGGAAACTACTGGTACGTGCTCAAAATTGCATGATTCAAACAACTAACCAGCATCCTCCAACATCCACCAGGTGTATCCAACGTCGCAGATGTTAACCCCGGCCTGGACGCAGTGGTTGCTCCACCCAATTCAGGAACCAGGAATGTGCCTCAGACAACATACAACACACATGGGTTACAATGTTACAACATATTATAATATGCTACAATATTGGTTTGCATGGGCGGAGGTTCAATGTAGTTTCAACATATATATTTCAACCAATTATATTTCAACCAAAGTTTGAGTAAAGTGAGTAAAGTCCCTCTAAGCACGCTCCACATAGAATGAGGTCAAATATTTCTGATGGGGATTCTCCATCCCCATGGATGTTTCAGCAACCCAGGGGCCGCACATCATGCCAGCCACTTTTTACAGATCTGTCCACCCCTTGGACTTCCAGATGCTGCCAAGAGTCCCAAAAATGGCGACCAAGTGTGATGCTGGAGCTGCCTGGTCAAGAAGATTCAACAGGAGTTTAGTGTCTAGGACATCAGGTGTCATCAAATAACGAATTTTAGACTTGGTGATTGCGCTTAGCTTCGAACAGATTCCTCGCCAAACCCTCGGTACGAGGTATCCTTTTGCTGTCATATTCGATTCAATCGCCAAAGCGAGGGCTGAGAAGCACCTGCATAACAAAGCTGTGAGGTCATCCTTAAGCCTTAATCCCTGAATATGTTGTCTTTTATATAATAGAAAAAAAACATAGTAAAGCCCATGGTTTCCTGTAATTTCATCGTAATTTCATCGTAATTTATCCAAGATGATCCAAATTTTCCCATCCAAGCCATGGATTTTCGGCTTGTCAGCCCTGGCCTGATGCCTCGAAGTCTTCGGAGCTGATGCTGGGATGTGAGAAGATGACTGCAGCATGAAGCAACTCCACCTGGCACTGCCCATGAGTCATACTAGTTACATCTAGTTACCATGGTCGTTTGAGAACGTTATCCCTACTTTTATCGGAAAACATATTTTTCTTGGTGGGGTCTGTTTGTAGGGATGATCATTGGATTCGTACTCGCAGGTCGTAGGTTTCCACTTGCATGTTGCTTGGATGCAACTTTGAAGGACAGCCCTGGTGGAAGTGTCACGTGTGAGGTCTTCAAATATCTTCAAATCACATAAGCCCAACAGCTTTCCACTGATTTGATACACAAACATCCCGAAACATGACTACCTTCAATTATAGTGTGGCACCTTGCCTGAGGCATATCAAAAACCCCCTGGGTGACTAGCCCAGCCTATCTAGGTGCCACAAACCGATGCTTCCAACCCACCCAAGCAAATGCGTCAACTGAGCGAGCCTCCAAACAGGTCAACTGAGACAAGTGCATGGACGTACGCAAGATGTCATGCCAGTGTTCCGCTACAAAGCGGATGGCATCGAAAAGCCTCGCAGAGTCAAGTAAAGCATCTGGCTGCAGACTGGGGGTCAAACAGCCACATCTTTGCTTATCTTTTGTCGGGGTGCTCAACCCATTCCATCATTCCAAGAGTATACAGCAGTCAATTGGGATCATCATCATAATCATCATCATCCTCATCCTGATCATCATCATCATCATCATCATCATCATCATCACCATCACCATCACCACCAGCACAATCACCACCAGCACAATCACCACCAGCACAATCACCATCACCATCATCCTCATCCTCATCCTCATCCTCATCATCATCATCATCATCATCATACATCACCATCACCATCACCATCATCATCATCATCATCATCCTCATCATCATCATCATCATCATCATCCTCATCCTCATCATCCTCATCATCCTCATCCTCATCCTCATCCTCATCCTCATCCATACCACGTAGGATAGAACATAAATATCTTAAAAACTACCAGACCAACAAGTTTCCCTTCACTTTGTATGACACCGGGGGCTGCCGAAGAGGAGCGCGCGATGCTGCTGGGTGGTTGGGCCAGCTTCTTGACTTTAACATCATATGAAAGTCCACTGGGGCATCACCATCTCAATAAAAACAATGCAGAAAGGGACATCACACAACTTAGACTTGTTGTTGAAAAAAAATATATAATCACACAACTAAGTTTGGACTTCTTGATCTTTTGTCGGACAATTGTTGAAAGAAGTTGAAATCTGCCACCACGGGGCCAAGTACGGAGGCACTGGCTCTTGCTCTTGGCCACACCATCCTCCTGCATTGGGCGAAATCCCTGTTGTGATCCCTGTAGAGATCCCTGGGAAGCTGGTTTTATTGGATTTTATGATGGATTGTCACTGGAATCTCCCGTGATTTCACAAACCACCACTGAAACACTGGTTGTCGTGTATAGCATATCACTTCAATCATGTCATAGCTATCATACTGGTGATATCATGAGGTTGCCCACCACATTTGCTCGTCATCTCAAGGAATCATCCCCCTGGTATGGTTGAACCAAGGAAAAAAGATGTGAAACTCCCGGCCAAAATACCCTCCAGCAATAAAATGGAGGTTTGAGCGGGATAATCATCGAACTCAATGGGATATTTACCAAGCGACACCACATCCAGGGGCCCACCAAGCGCCTCTTTGAGGTCTAGGAAACTGGAAACCGCCAAACTCTCCTGTGACCGACGTGCACTCAGACAAGGTTTGGGGCCAATACTGTGGCCTCTGCTGATGAGAGCTTCAATGTATTCAAAGAAGGACATATGCGAGCATGTTCAGACACTTCCGAGACATACCCACTACATCTTTTCCCTCAAAACAAGACTAATCCCTTGGACTAAATACATCTGATACGCTTTGTGTGCTGAAAAAGGATGATTCGCAAATGCTTCAAGCCGTTGCGGGAATGCGGCAATGAAGGCCAACCATGTCAATCCTGTCCTCGGTCATAACCGCATCCGCTCGGGAGTCGAGGGATTGAAGCCTCAGCAGTTTCACCAAGTGGAACGATGCAGGTTGTGATGCACTGACTAAGTATGAAAGGAAGGTATTGTGCAGCTACTGATCCGAGTCAACATTGCAACCATCTTCCAATTGGTTGTTTCCAATATAGACGTGAGAAGCAATGGGTCCCTAGCCTAGACAACATCATCCATCCATCTTTTCATTCGGCGAGGAAACGTTGGACAAAACATCGGAAGGGTTTGCAGGGTTTTCTTTCTCCTCAACTGCCTGTTCAATTAGTTGCAAGCGGAATCAAAAGATCGCAAAATCTGGGTCTATTGAGTCAAACTTTGAAGCCTTTAACCGAAGAAATTGGTGGTGGAACAGTGTGGCAGTCACGTTTGTTTTCTACGATGTTCACGCTTCAATAGGCATCAACACATCAACGCACTTACTTGTGATGGGAATCTGCGCAAATGTGGGGTGCAACCACCAGATCAACAACAACTCATCCCAAGAAATCCATGGGGATTTACAACATGACTAAATCATGCTCATTTGATGGAAGCAGCAAAACTGGCCAATTATTTCACTGAAAAACTCTGCCTAGCTTTGGGCTCAATGTTGTCCAGAACATGGATGTATCACGTTGAGATCTCGTTCCAACCTACGTTTGGATATGCTTCCGAAAAAGGTTGAAAGCTCAAACACTCAAAATGCCGGGCAGATTTTTCATTAGGAAAACCAGAAAAGCAAACCCGCTGGAAACAGGAAACATACGCGACCAAACTATGCGTGGTTATCAAAGATCAAATGCTACCCTCTGGTGACCAAGCATGGCGAGCTGAAACCGGAATCCTACACGCGAGTGATGTTGGAGGGTATAATAAGTTGCTATCCCTCTTTATGCATGATCCGATCATTCTAAATCCACATATATTGGTTTTCATGAACTCCCCATTGTTCAAATAAGTTTTCGGCGGGTGAAATTGCCATTTTGTGCGCTGCAAATATCATGTTTCCCTTACCTGGCTGGAAAATCCCCACATTTATAGATAGACAATTAAATCCCATAAAAAAACGGTGAAAGGGGGAAACTAGGACAAGAGAGGTTGGAGGTTGGTTGGGAGGTTGTTATGTTTTTGTTCAATATTGTAAATCTAAATGTTTGACTGGTTCTTTTTGATTATCTTGCTAAATGTTTGTTGAGGTTGATGCAATATTGTTTGGTTTGGATGAGGGTAGGTTTTGTTGAGGGTGTTTTTGCTGTTATGGCTTTTATGTTGTTGTTCAATGTGTGTTCCTTGGTTTTGATGATTTACTGGGACATTGTTAGGGGTGGTTTAGGGTCTTAACTTTCACTGTTGATGTTTGGATTGAATGGGGGTAGGATTTGTTTAGGCTGTTGGGGTTTTATGTTTGGATTGAGATTTCATATGCCTAACATTCCAGTTTCATCATCTCCATTTCTCACAACTTTCGGTTTTTCCTTTCCCTTCAGTCTGGTTTGATGCTTGATGCTTTCTTCGTGCCTTTTGACCTGATATTTGTTTATGATACTTCCGCACACGGGACATTCAGTCTTCAATTCATTAGTGTCTTTCTTTTCCTCTGTTGTTTGTTCCTTTCTTCTTTGATGATACTGTATGGCATACTGTCTTAATTTGTCCCTGTTTTTCTCTCTGTATCGTTGCTTTGCTTCTAAACAGTTTTTACACTGCTTACATTCATCTCTGTAATAGTTTAACGGTTGAAAGACTTTACATTTAGAACACTGCTTTTTGTCAGTCATTGTACCTCTACAAGTTTAAGGGGTTATGTCTTTAAGAGGTTTTTAGGGTGGATTACTTCATAATATATTTTGTTAAGATATTATGAATTAATCTTTTATGCTTTCCATTCACCTACCTTCTACCATTTTTCCCATATATATATACTGTATATATATATACAGTTATATATATATAATATCATATATATATAATTATATATATTTAGGCAATTATATAGACAGTTATATACAGACAATTATATAGACACTTCTATAGATTTTATAGACAATCCCATATGTATAGATTGAATCATAGACCATTTTTCTCATTAAAACCCTCCATTTATTCCCGGTGGATTTCCAAGTGGCAGCCATCTGGAGGGGGAGCCACCACGAGGCCAAGGCTTTAGCAACCTGGAGATGCTTGGCATTCGATGCTACAACGTGGGTAAACCAATGCCATAAACCACCCATGACTGGGAATGGTTTATACAGTACCACCATGTACCACCTATAAAATGGTGATGACTGGGGATGGTGCAAATGGCATTGTTTTACTCACCATGATATGTTTTATAATTACACAATAAAATGTTGATTGATCATGATTGATCTATGTTTTTGTTGATGTATGATGTTAGTTTTTTCTTGGTTGATGCTTTCGATTCATATTCCATGGCTGCAACAAGGCCCAGATCCTAACGGTTCACTAACTCCGAGGATCAACTTAAAATAACTTACTGTATAGTGTTCCAGGTGTGACCCGTTTTCCAAACTATTTCTATGATAGATACCCAATGCTATCTTAAGGTAGATATATGTAGATATGGACAATCATCACTTTAATTAATAATCCAATGTAATTCAATGTAATTCAATGTAATTCAATGTAATTCAATGTAATTCAATGTAATTCAATGTAATTCAATGTAATTCAATGTAATTCAATGTAATTCAATGTATTAATTCAATGTAACTCAATGTAATTCAATGTAATTCAATGTAATTCAATGCAATTCAATATAATGTATATAATTCAATGTAATTCAATGTAATTCATCTGATAAGTCATCTATAAATGGGCTATGTTCCATAGCAATGTGTTAAATTACCAGAGGGTTAGTGACCTGCTCAAGGTGCAGGACCATTGCCTCACCGGGAACTGGGGCACCCAGCATGGCTCGAAAGGCTTCCAGCAGCGCTTTGGACAACGCATCACCTTCCACCGGTGATGCTTCCTGGCGCAGACCCAAAAATGCTGGGAAGTTTGAAATGATGGAACCACCCTCAAGCCAGAGATAGCAACAAAAAGGTCTGATGTTTATCTAGTTGGTGGTTTCAATCCCTCTGAAAAATATGAGTTCGTCAGACTGGATCATCATCCCAGCTATGGAAAATAAAAGCCATGTTCCAAACCACCAACCAGTTATTGATTTGAACTGATTTGTATTTGGATGATGTCTCTTGAATCCAGACATATCCCAACAACGATGCTCCCGCAGGAAATCCTCTCGCCTGTTGAATACTGTCGTCCTGGCCAATCATTCTCTCGGTGTTGAGATATCCGTGGTCAACGTCTACCCAGATACTAGCCAAACACAACAAAAGGGAAAAATTGCGCCAACAAAATACTGAAGCGATCCAGAATGTCAGGTCTGGGTACTTCAAAGCTCTGATAAGTATGTCAAAAAGTAGCATGCATTTGTTTCCATCACACTTTGTTGATGCCACTGTGAAATTGAAACAGTGCAAAACAACTTGAGAGTTTCAGAGTGAAGGGTATTCACATGACTTTTCGTATACGTTTCGTATACGTTTCGTATACGTTTCGTATACGTTTCGTATACGTTTCGTTTCCCTGAGTTCTCATCTCAATACTGCCCCCAAAGGTTTGCAGTAAGCCACACATTGGCCAACACTAAAACTGGAGAGAATGTTTGTGGACAACACACCATGTGCAAGCACAAGGTGTCCTCCTTGGTAAAGTAGAAGTACACTTGCCGAAAAGGAGGAACAGCTTGTGCTGCCTTCCATTTCCATTCGAATGCAAACAGCTTGTGCATCCCCCCAAGTGCAAACACCCTTTCTGTGTCTCCGACGCTGCCACTGAGCTTCCCAGCCATTGTCCGCAAGGATTGGAGCAAATCCAAAATGGTCAGGCGCATCAAACAGTGACCCTGGTCGCATCGTTGGTAGCAACGTTTCAGCAATCGAAGCAACCAATGATGTGTTGCACAAGAGTCACCCAGCACGAACATTCAACACCTCTGAAAAGTCATCATACACAAAAGTATACAAAAGTACAAACAGAACTTACACTCCTGAACCAACAAGACCTGGTTTAAGGATGTTTAAGGATGTTCTTGATGATTGCCCAACAATAACCATCATTTCGTGCGGTTTGACCTCTTTCTTCTCCAAATCTGATAAAAACGAAGAGCTCGTTCAAGCTGGTTGGAGAAAGGCTCCAGCAAGTTTTGGTTTATATCGGAAAGAACTACAAGACCTGTCACTTTGTCGATTACATTCCGATTTCAAGTCAGGAATTTCTGTGCATGTCTATTGACCTTTGATACCTTTGATTCTTTCTGCTTTTTCTTAAAAAATCAATGAAGTTCTCAAGTGTTTTTCCCAACAAAGGTCAAGAATTCAAGGTCACGGCCACCCTTCAGGGTTCCTGCTGAGATGATCACTTCGCTAATTTGGCGACAGGTCAAACTTGCCATGGGATTGATGGAGAAAATCCTTCGGATTTGGGGTTCCGAACATTTTGAAAAAGCAAAAAAGAGCATGGGTCAAAACGATTTTCCACCAAAAATGGATCAACATGGATTGGTGAAGACCCAAACATTGGCCCACACCGATTTGGATCAGCTCTAGAGCTCATCCCAAGGATTGGTTTTGAACCCATCATGGATGCTTCAGTCGGGACGATCTTATCGCCGCAGTACATGACATATCCGGATGTACATGACATTATCCTATTCATTCAGGTGACTTTGTGGGGCTGGCATGTACTACCTAGCTATCCATCGAGTCAAAATTAGCTAGCGCCCACCCCTTTGAAGACTGGATGATTGAGTGTGACATGGACTGGATGATTGAGTGTGACATGGGTACACAGATGGATAGAATAAAGGGTGGACTATCCACTACTTGGATATATACAAGCAAAATTAATCCTTGCTTCCTAATGATTTTTTTTACCCCTGTGACTCATCATGACTCGGCCCCCAAAATGATTTTTTATCCAGTAAATCCAGTAAATCCGATACATTCTACCAATACTAAGCCAGGGCTTCTTTGGGGTATCTGACATTAGGGCAAAGGGATTACGTAGATTCCTTAACAAGAAAAACCATAAGATCATTATTCACAATCCATTTAGCATTAACCAGAGTTATTAGGGTTTAAGATGGGGGTAAGGCAGTATCTCCATATACTGTGGGTAAAACAATCATCAACCACCCAGTCATCACCATGTTTATAGGTGGTATATAAACTATTCCAGTAACTATTCCCAGTCATAGCTGATTTATGGCATCGTTTTAGCCACATGAATCCAGGGTAGCCTCCGGCTGCGCGCCACGATGCATCGGTTCCCGTGACTTGGCGCGGCGCCGCTTGGCGCGGGCCAGGTTCAGGGACAACAGCTCTGCCTGAGGATTCATGGCCCAGGTTGTCTAAGATACCTGACATCGTGTTTTTCTGGGAATAAAAATAAGCAGGAACTAAAGCTACAACTATAATAACATAATGTACTGTATATAACTGGATTGATAACATGTTATAACTACGTATATGTAGTACATCAAAAGACATATGTATATATTATATAATTGTAATTGCAGTTATAGTCATATATGATTTAACTCTAACTGTGAATATCTCATGAAATCTCATGAATATAACAGGGTGAAGTAACCATGATTGAGTGGCACCTGGTGTATATCCCATTTATTGCAGTTGCAAGGCCAGTAAACTTACATGATTTTGTAAGTGAATGGTGCCACATATCTTAAATATGTTCGGATATATCGACTATAGACCGGCCACAAAAAACACTACCTTTTCAAAGCATGGTATCTACAATGTGGGGCCCCCTAGTTATAAGTTGGTTTATAAGCCCCAATAACTATAGTTATAAGTACCATAAACCATAGTTATTGGAGTTATAAACCAACAACAATTGTATAGCCGCCATAAACCAATTTATGGCCAACAATGAAGGGCCGCAGAAAACGTGACGTAACCGTTGATCCTCCATGTATGGCCATGAGTCCATTCCATTCAGCAGTTGACCGCTTACCCTCTAAGTGAACAACTACATCAGGAGTTTTAACTTGACACAAATATTAACATGTATATATATATATGCTTAGTATGATATGTGCTTGATTCTTTTCACATGATCATCAACGAGACAAAGAGGAACACATTTTTAGTTCCTCGTTTTTGTTGCTGTTCCAGAGCTCACAAGATCCCATCATGGGTTTCCCTCGGGAAATCATGTTTTCCATTTTTTTCCCGTATGTATGTGTTATGGGAGGATGCACTTCGCCATAAATTGTGAATAACAATTGCTTTACCATTAATTCCAATGAATAACAATTGCTTTACCATTAATTCCAATGAATAACAATTGGTTTACCATTAATTCCAAGTATATCATAGTCATATCATAGTCATATCTATCTTTTTGCTCCATCTTTTCCAGCGCATCGCCATGCGCTAAACCAGCAAACTTCAGCCGCCTGGCGCAGCGCACCTCCGGACCTGACTCCACTGCTCCGCCGTAGAAGGGCAACTCGAAACGCCGTTTCCTGGTGGAGCCAACAAAACTCCAAGAGGTCAAGGGGGGGGAATGGATTGTCCCATGGTGAGAACTGGAAATTGGATGAAATTGGATTGAAAATTGTTGAGAACCATCCAATTCTAGTACAGTTATGGCCCGAAATACCAGTTACCATCTGGTTATTTGACATAGCCATGGAAAATGAACTGGAAATTGGAAAAGAAATGGCCCATAGAAATAGATGATCTGCCCAGCGAACGAAACCTCCATTGATTTTGGGGATTTTCCATGGCTATGTTAGTCATAACCAGAGGGTAATACACGACTTAGTAACTACTTGAAAGGAATAAAAGGAATAGATTCACCCAAGGATTTACTGATGATCACAAATTCACAGGGCCATTAGCTGAAGGTGGATTGATCCCTTTGCTCCATTACCCGACATAGATATGTTCAATTGACATCCAGCAGCAACGACGAGAACTGTTGGAATCATTCTTTATCCATGGATAGATTGACCATGGCGACAGCAATTCCAATGAAACCGGAGTTCGGAATGACTCTTCCAATAACCCATAGGATCCATGTATGGCTATGGTAATGTTACCATATATAGCATACATGGATCCTATGGGTAATGATCCGTTTGCAGGTGATCTACGTCTCCCAAAAACTGCAAAAAACCGCAGATCCAGGAACTGCGGCATACTGCGGCAAGTGTCAATCGCAGCTGCAGCCACTTTTCGCGATCATCAGCATTCGCCAACTGGGATAAGGCTTGATGAGACCTGTCAGTGGCAGCGACTTGGACATGGGGTGTCCATTCCTGGCCATGTTTGTTTAGAGAGTATGTTCAAAATGTGAAAAAAATGGTGGATTGGTCAGGAATCATAGTTTGGCCTGCAGTCCCATTATCATTACATGGTCGGGCTGTGTTCCTTGCCAATTTCTTGGACAAGATCCAGGCCCCTATGAAACCACAAACGCTGGATTCTCTGACAACAATTCATCAAAAATCAAAATCACTAAAAAAACAAACAGTTCCCAAACATCTCCCCACACAAAATCTTCCTCAAAACAAATATGATATTCCCAAGTTTCTCCCCAAAAGTGTCCCAAAAGTCCAAACAAAGCCTCAACAAAAAGCATGGATTCGTCTAAAATCCCATGGTTGATGTTGAATAGTGCATATGTTTATTCCGAATGTTGAATACCCATTGTTGAATACCCATGATGAATACCCAATGGTATCCCATGATTTTCCGCGTTGAATACCCATTTGGGGGTCATAAGGCGCCTGGGAAGATCGCCCAAGCGCAAGGCACTCTGCGCCAACGCTCGAAGCAGCAAGGCCTCGCCGGGCCAAAAGCGCAGGCACTGCTGCAGCGCCTGGCCCCGCAGAGTCGGGATTTCCCATGGGTTTACCATGGCTTTACCATAGATTTACTGATTTGCTATATGATTTACACTTAATTTGTATATAATAAGGACCAACTGACGGGCTTAGTTGCTAGACTATACTTTATATATATATACTTTACTATGAATCTAAAGTTTACTAAGTGCCAAACAGCCAAAACTAGGGCTTAGTTGGGGGATTATTGACCATCAACAACCACAAATAAGGGCTAAGTGCCAACCAAAAAATATATGGTGACTGTAGTTGGAGCCCGACCCATAGACGGCCGTGGTGTTTTAAGCATTTTTTGGCAATTTTGTGTTTTTTGATGGTCTTTCATGTCAACTAGCACACAGACGTCATGCTACGTTATGGTTATCTTGGGGTGGGGTTGGGTGGGGTTGGGTGGGGCAATGACGTTCATGTCAACTTGCACACACACGTCATGCTACGTTATTGTTATGTTCTCTTGCACTTGCACACACACGTCATGCTACGTTATGGTTATCTTGGGGTGGGGTGGGGTGGGGTGGGGCAATGACGTTCATGTCAACTTGCACACACACGTCATGCTACGTTATTGTTATGTTCTCTTGCACTTGCACACACACGTCATGCTACGTTATGGTTATCTTGGGGTGGGGTTGGGTGGGGTGGGGTGGGGCAATGACGTTCATGTCAACTTGCACACACACGTCATGCACACAGATTATATTCCCAAAAGCTTTCCAAGACGGTTGTATCATGGAGTCAACACAAAAGAACACCCTGAATTGGAAAAGTTTGTCTTGGGTTACTGTTGGCGAAAATCTTTGGGACCATTGACACCTCACCGATTTCTCGAAGAACTTTGCAAGGCCGTCAAAGCAATGAATGAAGCGCTTCTGAGAAGAAGGAAAAAAGTGCTGCATCCCAAAAAAACACGAACTTATGTCAAAAAACGAAGTAGTTTTGGAGATTTTCAAAACCCTATTTTTCACGTCAACATGAGAAAAAATGACGTTTCGCTGTAGCGAAAACGACATTTTTGTTGATGAAAAACTCCTAAAACCATACGGCCGTCTATGGGTCGGGAACCCTGTAGTTACATGTAGTTACTATACAACGATTACAACAAAAGAATCTATGTTTGTTGGCGGTGAGTAGAGTTCTTTTTAAAGATACTAACTGCAGCAAAACATCTTTGATAGCCGAGTAGTACCAGCATCCCGGTGGATCGCCGTCATGTTGAAAGTAGAAAGCAGGAAAACGATGGCGAAGGACTCATGGACAGCAAACATGGACTACTACAGTTTTACTACAGCTTTATATGTGTATGATTTATGATTTCTGATACACAACAGCTTCTGAACAATCAGATCATTCTGATGTTTGCTGAAGTTTGACTTTCTATAGATGCTGCTCTACACATATTCCATCATAGTACTAGGCCACCTATCAGCCTGTCATATCGGCTGCATTCTGCCAGATCGTCCAAGTCGTTCCTCTTTGGAGCAGCTCAATCATAAGGCTCCTTGATGATCAGAAATTAAATAGTATGAAAAGGAGAGCTTGTTACATCAGAAATCGATGATTAAATATGATCATGGAATAGATCAGCCGTACGAGCCATTTTCAATGTGGACTTCAATTATGCCAAGTAGGATCATCATCCCATTTTCATGTATAAAACCCTGCAACAGCAAAAGTTGGCAATACAATTATGCCTCTGAGATTGTCTAAATCAGATTAATTAGGGCATGTTACACCCCATCAATTACTGTATAGTAACACCTAGAGGGACCTAGAGTAACACCCACAAAGATAAACACAAGTTGGAAACCTGAAAATTGTATAATAAAATATGAAGAAAAAATCATCAACGCCCTTTCCTGGAAAAAGCTGTTTGGCATCTTTGTGGGTTCCCTTCTCCCCCGCCTGTGTGGCCATTTCCCAGTCTCCAGCAGCCACAGAGGCATCCGCCAACTGGCGCCACAACGAGACGCTGTGAAACTCTCTGGTCTCCTGGTGCCAGCGACCAATCAGCTGGGAATTCAAAGTGCAAAGACATGTGCTTTGAATAAAAGGGAAGGGGATGGAAATGATTGAACTAACAAAAAATTGGTTCCACAGAAATACAGCGCGGAATCCAGAAATGGCCATTTCTGATAGAAGGATGGAAATTTGATCATTTTGATCTCATGGTGGCGGTTCCGTTTTACATCCCACAAGGGCAGCCAATATCAACCCAGGATCAGGGATTGTCACGATTGTCACCCATCAGAATCTGTGAAGAAAACCGTCCTTTCGAGCGCATTTGAACAAGGCAGCCTTCAGGCATTCCAACGCCTGCAACTGTGATCGTTGGCAAGTTAATTCCGAGAATTGGAAGGAAATTTATCTACCTGGACCCCCGAAAAGTTCGATGAGTTTCCACCAGTCTTTCCAGCTTTTATCTTGGACTTTCAGGTGTGGTTCATTAAGTGGCTAGTCAGGGGAATTGTACCCATCATACCGCAATAATCCGCAATATCAAAGGGTATTAATGAACTACTGATGTGTTCTCGCGCAATTATTTTGAAGTAGTTCACAGATTAATTATGTCGATCACAGAAGATACAGAAGTGCCAAAAATTGATGACTGCAAACCAACTGTATCATTCATCTAGTGTATAAATCTATGCATTTCCATGTATTTACCATATTTCCACTCAAATTCCCATGGTTTTTAGTAGCCAAGTAGCCACTGATTCACCATCCACCCGCCTGCGTCTGCTCACCCAGTGCCTGATGCGCCACAGCCAGGTTTCGCCAGCACAGCAAGCGGAAGCGACGCAGCCAGACCTCATCGCCTGAGGGGCCATCGATAGAATTGAAGTGTATTGAATTCTTGAAGTGCGATGTTTGGGAGAGTTTACAATATGTATATATGTATATACATATAATTATATCAATTTATATTATTAATTTATATCATGTGATTATCACTCTATGCATTCACTATGTATATATATATATGTATATTATATTATATTATATTATATTATATTATATTATATTATATTATATATGTATGTATCCATCTTGTAAGGTCTCTTGAAGGGATCGTTGACCACCATTCACCCACCGTCAACCATTCAATATGCGCGCTTATCAAACCACTCTTTTGGGGGTTCGGCCCTTGGAGGGCAGTAGGAACCCCAAAGAGTATGACCTAGTCACATTTTCTTGGAACGGCTACAAAAAAATTGCCTTCACTTTCCTAGCGGCTACGCGTCTAGAGCCGAGGTGCTCTCATTCAAGGGGCAGGCAAATACAAGGCCTGGAACAATTTACCATTGCCTGTGAGTTTGTGGCGAGCATTTCACAACTCTGACCTACTTTATATAATACCATATAAATCCATATAATAATATTGCTTTACAATCCCTACTTACTTAAAAACACAAAACAAACATCCCACAGGTCTTTTGGAATCGTTTGGATTTCTTCCAATCCCAGAACATCCAAAGCCGAGCCAAGATGCGCGTGGCTGTTTGGTCCTCCCCCGGCGCGACGACCGTAGCCGCGAGCTGCTTCAAGAGCTCCTTGGACTCCGCGAAGTGCTGCTGCTGCAGCAGCTTTAGGGCAGCCTACGCAACGTAGAGGAAATTTCTGGATTTTTGAACGAAATGTTGGATTTTTTAATGAAATGCTGCTGTCTTCAACTTTGATATCTGGCACCTGGAAGGTTTGGAGTCTTCAACTTGGGCACCAAATGAACTAAGAATACAAAATAATATCCGAGGATGAGCATCTTGATGTGGTCTTATAGTGGTGAAATTTGATACTGCGAAGACATCCGTCACTTCAACAGTCAACTGTGCCTCACTTCAGCGGGGTTTTTAGGGTTCAACAGTTTCTGACTGGAGGAGAGGCTAATAAACGGGAAAACACACATTTAAAAAACAGTCTTCCAGTTATATACCCTCTGGTTATTTAACATAGCCATGGAAAATGGCCCATTTATGGATGATTTTCCCACTAAAACCTCCATTTATAAGGGATTTTCCATGGCTATGTTAAATAACCAGATGGTATATAGATTTAACACTTGCAAACATCCGAGGACCTTTGCCTAGACACATATCCATGGTGATTACGTATATTCCTACCAAACACCTTGTGTGTGAATCAAGCTCACTTTGTCTGAATACCGTGCACGACATGGGCATTGCCACTTAAACAAATGCTGAGTACGAGCAGTGCATCCAAGGGTCTATGGTGTTTATATAATGGTGACAAGCCACTTTGACTCACCAACTGTTGCCAGTTTCTACAGACTTTGGTGGATGGACTGATCCTTTCTCAGGTATCTGGCAGCTTTTCCAGTAGATGTAGTAGTGTGTTGGTAGTAGTAATTACCATGTATTACCACCGTTGCCCACGCTGCAATGCGCATTGACAGCCGGGGATGTGTGGTCAATTCCATTGGAATGCGGATGAAGATTCAGAGCTGGAAGCTATTTTTCTGTGAAAACCAGGGCGTCAGGGTAGACCCCTAGCTCATCATCATTTTTCCTCATCAGAATCAAAATGATGATGATAGACATGTCATGTCATGTCATGTCATGTCATGTCATGTCTTGTAACGCAATGCAACGCAACGCAATGGAATGGAATGTAATGTATAATGTATATAATGTAATGTAATGTAGTGTAGTGTAGTGTAGTGTAGTAAAGTGTACTCTAAAATCCGCCCGCACCGAAGGTGCTGGGGCGTGATCTTCCGGATGGCACTCGTAAAAAGGTTACAGGTTTACCTGGGGGGGGGGGCATTTTTCGTCCAAAACCTCCTGTTTTTGATAGGTCGTGACGCTCGCCTTCAAAAAACACTGTAAAAAACAGTACGGAAGACACCTGTTCGTGAACGCGCCCGTCCAAAATCGGCAAGCGAAAAGTGAAAAAAAACCCGTGTTTTTCAACTTTTTGACCTCAATTTTTTGGTTTGCAACATCTTTTTTTGCGGTTCCGCAGGTGGCCTGGCCCGGAGGCGGATTTTTGAGTTTTTGGACCCGTTTTCGGACTGATTTTCGTCGTTTTGTGATAGCAGAAACACTGGTTTTTACAGTGTTTTTCTGTTTTCTGCATGCTTGACGGCTAGCTTCAAAACTTCCAAAAACCTCGTAAATTACGCTGTTTTATGTTACGGTGTGAATGAAAACATCGTAAATACCAGTGTTTTTTGACGTTGGTTAAAAAACACTGTAAATTACAGTGTTTTTGGCCACCTGACCCTCAAAAACCATGGTATTTGCAGTGGTTTCTGCTTCTCACCGCGCAAAAACACTGTAAATAACAGCAATTTCGCCGTTTTTTCATGTTTTTCGTTATTTTTTGAACTGTGTTGGTCCGCTATACATGGCTATCAAATTCTTCGCGTTTTTTTTCCAGACAATCAGTACTTTCGGATGTTTTTGGTCTCAATGGCCGACATCATTGGCAGTTACGAGCGGCTGCCCAACGATGCGGTGCGGGCGGTTGCCGTCGCGAAGCGACCTGAATAATGTAATATAAAAATATGTGATGTAAGAATATGCCATATAATCTCTTGTAGTGTAGTGTAATGTAATGTATGTATGTAGGTATGAATATGTGTACATATGTATACATACGTATATATAATTATACCCGTAAATATATACAGTATAATTATATATGTTACAGTATATCAATACAGTATGTGGGTAGATCCATATAAATCCCCATTTGAATCCACTTGAGACAACCACAAATCGGGATAAATAGGGTACATTACCCTGCACTGCATTGCAGCTGCCTCATAGTCCTCCCGAAGCTTTGCTCGGTCTAGGCCGCTGTCTAATGACTCGTCTGCCTGCGAGGAGCGACTTCCGCTGGAAGCTTCCAGAAGAAACCCACAGACCAGACAGACTCGCAATGTTAGTATGGATCAAAGTTGGATATTCCCCCAAATTTGATCATGCCTTTCATTCATTTCATCCACACAATCCGGGTTTTGACCCACCAAAAAATGGACCAAATTGTCAGTGTCCCAAGCAGCCTCTGGAGGCCCAAGCTGAGCAAACTTCAGCATTTGCCATGCGTTTTGTTGTCGTACGCCCAGTTTTCGCTGGGGATTCTGTGGTGGATCTGATATGATCTGATGGGAATTTTTCAACATCTGCTGGGGATTCTGATGGAAGTTGATGGATTTTCTAATGGATCTGATGATGGCTCGAGGGCATGTAAAAAACCAGCAACTTCCAAGCATCGTTTTTGGCAGCAGGGTCCCAAGGGCGATGCGCCACAGTGGTCAGAACAACTTCTGGTTTGTCTAAGATCTGACGCAAAGATCAATCCCTGAGAGGTTTCTTCATGATCCTCACTATCAATGGGTGGCCAAAACCCTGGTACCCTGCAGTTCACATCAAAATGTGTGTGTCTGAATGGATGTTATTGATGTTCATCCACCAAATTTTGTGTTTTTTTTGTGGTTTGTCTGAAAATTCTACATTGTACCCCCCGAATCCCCATGGTTTAAAGCCTCCCAAAATTCCCTACGATTTCATGGCACTGGGTCTCGATATCTCCATAAATATCCCCGTTGTCAAAACATAATAACGATAACGTGCAGTCATATATTTGCCACATCATTTTTTTTGATATCATATTTATAAATATTTATAATATGTACAAATTATTGTGTGCTGCTGTATCTATCTTAGTAGTATGATTTACATCATTCAAGTATCTTTATGTGAAAACTATGCATGTATGTGACCGTATTCAAGTTATTGCTGTCGGGCCGCTGCAGCAACTCTTTGCTCAACCACTACTTGCTGTGTCTCACCAGTTCGGCAATGCAGCCAGTTTTTGGCCACGGAAAATGCCAGCGAGATCAGCATACTTTTGTTGACAAATTCATGGGATTTTCTATCTACTCCAAGATACTTATCTCTGGGTATTTTCTATCTACTCCAAGATACTTATCTCTGGGTAAGCACACACACACATTGGCATACATCGTCCATGACATCCTAAATCGATTATTTTTGTGCATGCATGCTTGTGTGAACTGATATTGAACTTCCATCCTATGTCGCATTTATGCACGACAACAGGAATCTGCTACAAAAATGGATTTCCATGCCCCAAAGAATTGATATAATTACTTTACTTCGTGTGATCCCCACCATGACATTTATACATTTTCTTACTGGCAAATCTTCTGGCATTCTATCTGACATATCTTCTGACAATCTATTTGGCATTCTATCTGGCATATCTTCTGGCATATGTTCTGGCATATCTTCTGGCATATCTTCTGGTTCTATCTTCTGGCATTCTATCTGGCAAATCTTCTGGCATTCTATCTGGCATATCTTCTGGCATTCTATCTGACATATCGTCTAGCATTCTATCTTCTGGCATTCTATCTGGCATATCTTCTGGCATATATTCTGACATATCTTCTGGCATTCTATCTGGCATATCTTCTGGCATTCTATCTGGCATATCTTCTGGCATTCTATCTGGCATCTCTATCTGGCATATCTTCTGGCATATCTGGCATTCTATCTGGCATATCTTCTGACATATCTTCTGGCATTCTATCTGGCATTCTATCTGGCATTTTATTTGGCATTCTATCTGGCATATCTTCTGGCATATCTATCTGGCATATCTTCTGGCAGATTTTCTGGCATTCTATCTGGCAAATCTTCCTACATGAGGTCCGGCAGGGAACACTTGGCGTGGATACTCGCGGTTGAGGTCCGGCAGGGAACACTTGGCATGGATACTCGCGGTTGAGGTCCGGCAGGGAACACTGGGCGTGGATGGTCGTGGTTGAGGTCCGGCAGGGAACACTGGGCGTGGGTGGTCGTGGTTGAGGTCCGGCAGAGAACACTGGGGATCGCGGGTCGCAGTTGAGCAAGGACGACGAGGACGACGAGGACGACGAGGACGACAAGGACGACAAGGATGACAAGGAGGACGAGGAGGAGGAGGAGAGGAGGACGAGGCAGGAGGAGGCGGCAGGAGGAGGAGGAGGAGAAGGAGGAGGAGGAGGAGAAGGAGGAGGAGGCAACTGACATAAAATCTAACAACCCTCACCTGGCAGGTGGGGAAATAACAAATAACGAATCATATATGTGAATATACAACTATATGTAGACATGGTTTTTATTGTTTATATATAATTATATATATATATACAATATACACAAATCAGATATAGACATTTACCGCATGTTTCTGTCTTTAGTGTGTGATATCCCAAGTGCACTTTATACTGGAAACTCATGTGGTGATCGACTCGCACAGAGTTCGCGGGTTCCTGGCAACCTGCAGCTCAAGGGGGCTACCAAATGCTGTTTCCCAAGATCTTAATGGGACAGTAACGGGTAAATCAGTAAATCATCTATATAAATATGTTTAAATCGGGATTAAACCACCAACTAATGATATTGTAACCACAAATCTGATACTTGGGTGTGTGTGTGTGGGGAATTGGGGTCAAGTGCTCATGTCATGTGGAAATTGTCAACAACTGGACTTGAGACCCAAGGGGGGGGGTGAACGAAAGCTAAGGTTCATATGAGCCTGCAAAAAGATGGGCTTTTGATATGCTGAATACCGATTGCCTAGAGACCTGGCAGGATTTGAGCTCGTGACCATCTGCTTTCAAGACCGCTTCAAAATGCCCTGGGAGCTTGGGGGGCTTCGAGTGAAAAATCACTATATATCATTGTGCCCCTCCCCTTGCTGAAGCAAGAGTAACTCCAGCTAGCTACCGCTAGCTTTCGTGATTTGGGGGTACCACATTTTCAGACAAACCCACGTGATGTTGCCTCGCAAAGAGATGCAAAAAGGTTCTGAAATCTACAGCCACCCACTTGCCGGCTTTTCCCTGTCGCAGTCCCTATTTCACCGATCCACTGCTTCATATGGCTTTAAGCCTGCAATCCTCAAAGAAATCTTTACAGATCTAGACAGAAACGTGCAAAAGCACAGGCGTGTTAGCAAAATCATAGAACTATGCCACTATGCAAATGCCATTGCGGGTACTAGTTGGTGGTTTCAGATCCATGTGAGACATTCAAAGCCATTCATAGCCATTCATGACCATTCATAGCCATTCATAGCCATTCAACAATTCCACATAATTACTGTATATCATATATCCAACAAAAATCCATTAAAACATATCTCAAGCCACCAAACAAGTCTTGCCTTGCAATGCTAAGAGGGAATCTTACGGGCCAACGCTTTTGATCGCCATTTCGCCCCTATAGCAGTTTTGGGAAACAAATTCTGCAGAGGCTTCACTAGCTCTCTGCAATAAACACATAAAACCGAAACCATCCCAAAGTCCTGAACCAAATGACCAACAGCACTTCTACATTACAGATGCACGTAAAAAGAAAATGGTTTCGAATGCAAATGAATTGGCTCCGCACTTGCCTTTTGTCACAAGTGAATTGAGTTGCTCTGAAAAAAAGGAGTACTGTATGTATGTCAGAATTGCGCCCTTGTAGGTCATGCATTACATGGCATTACATGGCATTACATGGCAGTATATATATATATAAATATATGTGATCAAAATCTGCAAACTGCTTACCCGAAAACCTCATGCGACTTTGTTGAGTATGTGAGGCTTGTTCTGATACATCACCTATACCGTTCACCATGGCTAATCTAAGACCAAAAATACTAAATTATTGCTGATTGATCACTTAATTTTGCAGACAACTATAGCATACAGTTGCGTTCTCATACATAACCATGTATGACCCATTGACATACCAAACCAAGATTGAGACTGTTAGGAAACTGCACATGCGCTTTTTCAGAGCAGCTCACGTGGAGCTTTTCGTAGGCACCACGTCGCTCACCCATGTGATAGCCGTACCTCAGGTGGGCAACCTATGCACTGGCGATGCCACTATGCCATGGCTATGCTATCGTCAAACTGACCTACCGGGGAAACCGGTATCATCACCGTGATCACCGTCATCACCTCATCATGGCTCCTCCGCCCCTCAGCACATGAAGGGCCCGTGATGGCCCTGGCAGAAAAGATCGTGTGTATTCTCCACCAAAACACCACCGAGGATTGAGCCCAAATCACCGATGAAGGAGGCCACGGAGTAGGCCGCGAGATTGTGCTCGCTGGGCACATGGCTATCCACGTGATTCGCGGTGAGGCCGAAGATAGTACCGTTGCCCCAGAAAATCATAAAGATGGCCAGAGGAATCAGAATTGCAATGGCTAAAGATTCCAAGTAGAGACCTGCAACGATCAATGCCAAGGCAAAACTGAGAAACACCAGCCTCTTCTTCACTGAAGGTGTTGACATGTACATGGCAATCCAACGGCTGATCGCATCGCCAAGGAAAGTGAAGCCGTAGGTGATGGCAAAGAAGAGGCCCCAGTCCATCAGATGTTGATCACTGTGTGGGTCGAACAACGGCACCTGACCAGGCCCCCAGGGCCATTTCAATGGATCAAATCTTTGGCCTGATCTGATGTCCAGTGAATGGATAGATATTTGAACTAAAATGGGGGTACCACCAAAACATCCAAATCATTAGACCATGACTTTGTATTGAAACCCATGGGGCCTTGGGGATTCGCCATGACTTAAGAACCCCCCTTAAATAACCAATTTGAAAGCTTGACCTTTGGTGGCCGGAACATGTAGAAAATGGCGGGCCAGTTCTCCATGGCAAAGTGACCGAAGAACGCAGCCAGGAAGAAAGGCACCATTGGAGGCATCCAGCTGCCTCCTTGTCTCAAGGAAGTGCGGAAATTGGCGGGGCGCTGTTCCGCCTTGTCATGCGGGGCATACTTCCAGAAGAAGTAGAAGCCAACAGGCAGACAGGCCACGATGTACCAGTAGATGTACACCACTGGCATCTTGAGGGAACTTAATGAAAGGCCCAAGATGTTGATGGTCGCAAAGCCAGCAGGGCAACCTACAATGGCCCAAGACTTGGTGGCCTTTCCCATGGGTGTGATCACACTCATGAAGGTTGGGGCAAAAATGCCAAGGCCTAAGCCTGACAGCATGTAAGACACAAGGACTGAGTACACCCAGTGAAACTCCAAGGTAAACACTAGGAGTGGTGGAATCAACACACCCACAAACATCAGGATCATGGCAATGATCACCCGCATCCGTGGGCTGAGGCAGGCGAAGAAGATGTTGTGCCCCAGCTTGGCAATCAGCTTGCCATGGTGGACACCTACAGCTGCCTGGGTGAAAACATGGGCCGCAGCTGTGCCATGCTTCACTCCCAATTCATACTTGTAAGCAGCTTGAAGAGGTCCCACCATTGATGCATAGCCCTGGTACACGCTGAGCATCACTAGGAGCATGTACCACTTGGTGACTGGTGCACATCCCTCTTCGGCTTCTGCGACGCACATCCCTTTTTCCAGATCATCTTTATCCTCCTTGGTGTTTCTCTGAGTCTCTTCCAGATCTGCCACTCCAGTGAAAGTGGGTTCAGTTGCCATGCGTTGTAACACTGGAAGCAAGCAACGGACCCAAGCGTCGAGTGTCTCTGGAGCAGGATGGCCATGATGATTGTTGTTTGTTCATAATTATGATCTCAATCACAATCATGATACTTGTGCAAGTGTAAACTCAATCACCAACCAGCCCCAATGGGTGGTTTAATACTACATCATACTACCCTGCAAAAATGGAGGCAAATTATTGGGTTTACCACTTGAATATACATAGTAATTACATACTTATACAGTTATACATTAGAATTTGTTGAAAGTTATATAATGATGACGCCAAAAAAAAAATACTTTACTTCGTGTGATCCCCACCATGACATTTATACATTTTCTTACTGGCAAATCTTCTGGCATTCTATCTGACATATCTTCTGACATTCTATTTGGCATTCTATCTGGCATATCTTCTGGCATATGATCTGGCATATCTTCTGGCATATCTTCTGGCATTCTATCTGGCAAATCTTCTGGCATTCTATCTGGCATATCTTCTGGCACTCTATCTGACATATCTTCTGGCATTCAATCTGGCATTCTATCTGGCATATCTTCTGGCTTCTGGCATTCTATCTGGCATATCTTCTGGGACATAGCTTCTGGCATATCTGACATATCTTCTGGCATATCTTCTGGCATATCTTCTGGCATATCTATCTGGCATATCTTCTGGCATATTTTCTGGCATTCTATCTGGCAAATTCTTCTGGCATTCTATCTGGCATTCTATCTGGCATATCTTCTGGCATATTATCTGGCATTCTATCTGGCATATTCTTCTGGCATATCTTCTGGCATATCTTCTGACATTCTTTCTGACACCTTCTTCTGCACATTCTTTGTCCCATATCTTCCTACATGAGGTCCGGCAGGGAACACTTGGCGTGGATACTCGCGGTTGAGGTCCGGCAGGGAACACTGGGCGTGGATGGTCGTGGTTGAGGTCCGGCAGGGAACACTGGGCGCGGATGGTCGTGGTTGAGGTCCGGCAGGGAACACTGGGCGTGGATGGTCGTGGTTGAGGTCCGGCAGGGAACACTGGGCGTGGGTGGTCGTGGTTGAGGTCCGGCAGAGAACACTGTGGATCGCGGGTCGCAGTTGAGCAAGGACGACGAGGACGACGAGGACGACAAGGACGACAAGGATGACAAGGAGGACGAGGAGGAGGAGGACGAGGCAGGAGGAGGCGGAGGAGGCGGAGGAGGAGGAGGAGCAGGAGGAGGAGGAGGCAACTGACATAAAATCTAACAACCCTCACCTGGCAGGTGGGGAAAAAAAAAAACACAACTCTTCGACCCTTTCCCATCCGCCGCACCGTGGACGCAATGGACGCAATGTCTCAGCGCAGTCGGCCTCCCGAGTTGGACCTGAGCATCATAATGGATGGCAATATGATAATATGATGGCCACATCATCCATTATGACATATTGTATGTATATATATATATATACAATATATACAATATATATATACACATACATATATATATATATATAATATACATATATAATGATGACATGTAGACCCGCATGGATGGCAATTGGTAGAATTAGTAGAATTCATGGCAAACTCAAATCATTGAACTACCTAAACAGTTTTGCCCTAAATAAGTTGGCAACAAAAAAACTAGCAAGGGGGCAAGGAAGATCTACTGCATGTTCTTTCTCACTGAAGTACTTCGTGACCATCGCCATCCATTGCCCACAGTACAGTACAGGTTCCCTGGTCGGAACACGTTTGCAACCACCATGCTGCAAGTACTGCAACCACCATACTCGCATTGCAGGAGAAATTTCACATATCAACACGGTCAAATGGGGTTTGTTTAAGAGCAAGGTAATACCACCAAAAAATTGCCAATGTCATGGGAAAACATATGATCAACCATGAGAATTTAAGGGCTTTCCATGGCTTCCTCACCATTTTCCGTCTGCTTCACGGCTTCCCCAGCCTCTGTCGGGGTGGAAATGCATCCTGCAAGCTACGGGCCATGTCTAAACCCCGATGCTGTTGTTTCTTGGCTAGAAAATCGAGTCTCAAAGCCAGGCTTCAGTCTCAGGTTTAATAGTTCAATAGTTCAATAGTTCAATAGTTATTGATAGTTCAATAGTTAAATAATGTTAAATAGCTAGTTCAATTAAAAATAATTAATGGATTAATAGTTTTTCAAAGGTTAAAGAATATAGTTATTCAATTTCCCAATGTGTTCTCCATTGAAACAACTAGTCTCAGTGTTGCACATGCTGCTTCTCATAATACTTCGACCCCGATCACAGTATCTCATAGCAGCATCGTTCCAAAACATTGATGTTTGATGTGGTAAGTGATGTCAACCACCTCATCACTTGGGTTCGTTGCTCGAAAACACTACGATTCAGTGTTGAGTTAACACCAACAAAAACACGCTGTAAATTGGGTTTACAAACATTCAAGGGATGTATACAAAAATAAAGAAAATTGACACTAAAACAGTCAGCTCAACACACTCGTTAAAAATATGTATGGTTATGACCTGGTTTACCAACCATTCCGCCCGAAGGGATCAAAACGTAGTGACTGTTTGTATGAATCTTGAGACCATTCTAATTCCAACATTCCCATCATTTCCATATTCAATTCAATAATCACCATCATTGTTCAACATAACTCATATTATCAGTGAATTATATCATTAATTGTCACAACCATGATGAATTATCAGTTAATCCACCATTGTTATATACTGTACAATGTTAGTGTCACTAGCGCATTGTCACTATAATCATTAATGAATCTTCTGAATGGTGATAATCACTATAGTCACTACTATAACATACTATAACCAATAGTGCTAATCATTAGTGAATTTTCTTATGAATAGTTTTAGTGGATTATTGAATTTCCTTCAAATTTGGCATCAAGATCCCCGGGGAGCTGCACCTCCAAGCCTCCAGTGAAGCCGCTGGCCGCCTCGACTCCGAAGTGACTGTGACTGACCCGGGAATGTACGGTGCCATCGAACGTGGGGAAGGCCGGGAAATCCTCGAACGAAATGGATGTGAAATGGAAAATGATCGAAAGATGATGGGGTTTGTCTGAATATGGTGGGAATACCGCCCAAACAATATCAAACAGGTCATATTGTCATCATTTTCCCTGTGAAAATCGCCAGAACTGGTGGTATATCATACACCCATTTACGAAATAATTAATAAGAAGGAACACATGTTGAATAAAACCACAAAGCAACAAATGTAATCGCAACAAATCCTACCAAATCAGTGTCACATCTCCATCAGGTTCAGGAACTTCAGGTTGTGTCAAAGAGTGACGACGAACAATGTGCGGCACTAGACTCAAATGACTCATTCCCATTCCCAGAAACTCCCACATCTACCCACGAACCGGGATTTCCAAGAACTTGGAACCCCAAACTACAGTTTTTGCCATTTATCCGCCGACCCCAGCCAATGGCAGGGGGCGTGTCAGGAGCAGCGCTTTTCGTTCTTGTTTGTGCGAGGACAGCGTTTGGGAACTGCTTGCTTGGGCTGTAGCCTGGTTTTAAAGGTCCCGGCGGCCTCTGCAGCGCCAGCAGCGTTTGCAACCTTTTGGTGGCAGCATCTCGTTCCTCCAGGGTTTTTTGCATCCGTTTTAATTTTTTGCTGGCTCCAGAAAGCATCGTTAGCCACTAGCTTGGCTTGAAATCTAAGCAGCATCCCGTTCTTCCGGCACCGCCATGCCCCGTCTGCAGGTTTTTGGTGGGAGCATCTCGTATCTCCAGGGCCTTTTGCAAGCGTTTGGGGCCACTAAGGTCGCCCTGCGCAGTACTTTGCCCATTTACCAAGTGCGTTTCGACAAGTTTTTTGATGGCTTCAGATAGCAACGTTAAGCACTAGCTTGGCTTTAAATGCCTCCGGGCGCCCTGTGCAGCCTTTGCTGCTAGGCCGGTGGCTTTTTGACTAGTTTTTCTTTGCGTCAGAAAGCAACGTTAGGCACTAGCTTGGCTTCAAACGCTCCCGGGCGCCCTCTGCACCTCTCCCGGCGGATGTTGCGGGGCTAGGCCGGGAACTGTTTGATTAGTTTGTTTTTCTTGGCGTCAGAAAGCAATGTTAGGCACTAGCTTGGCTTCAAACGCGGGCGCCCTCTGCACCTCTCCCGGTGGAGTTTGCAACGCTTTGGTGCGCAACATCCCCATGACCAGATACAGCCCATTGACATTGCCCAAGCTGTTACAATGCTGCAATGTGTTCACAATGTTTATGGCTATGGGCAACGTTATCCCGAAGTAGCCATCCAACACTCCATTTTCACGACGGGATTTGGAGGAGAATCAACATCCCATGATGTTTTGTTTGGAAAAAGAACATGAGAACACATGACAGGGCTGAGCAAACACATCAACTCATTCTAAGGAGATCACCTGGCACCACTGTGTTGGCCAGCGCATTGTCACTTGGATGTTGGATATCCCATGAGCTGGTGCTGATTCAATGTGATTGATGGGGATTGATCGAAATTTACGGGAATCTATGGGGATTTATTGTGAATAAATTCATGGTGATTCCTGAGGATAGCAATCAGGTTATTGATGGGATATGAATGGATATGACAAGTTTAAACATCAGGTCTGGAACATGATGGAACCCGATCTTTGCCTTCAAAATGGTGTTTTACACCGTTTCCCTGTCATTGCCCTGGAGGAAATGAACGAAATGAGCCCCCAGGCAGCCCTTAATTAGTTATAACTGGTTATAAATGGGATTTTACATTCTATAAATGGGGTTTTAGATGTTATAAGATGTTAGACCTACTTATAACTGGTAAAGGGCCGTAATTGTAAACCAATGGGGTTTTCGTCTTAACATTTAAAAAACACAAAAAAAAACACCATCAAAACGGCTGCCTGCGAGGCTCCAGCGCTTCCAACACCTGATTCGCGAAGCCCATGGGAACTTTCAAACTCTGGGGTGATAAGGGCGCCACGATGCATACGAACGTGTGTAATTATATATATATATATATCTATATATAGATGATGATACTAGACTATACATCAAATATGAGATTAGGTAACTACAAATATGAGATCAGGTAACTACAAATATGAACATAGTTGATACATTTTGATACTATAATTGTACGTTATATGCACCAGATCCGTTACTGTCTTCACAACATTTTGACCCAGCCTCGGGGTGGACGCGGCGGGAAAGCATCTTCCAGAGATCCTGGTGCTTTTTGCTCAAAAAATCCTCCGTCTGCAGAAACTACCAGGATTCAGCAACAAAAATGGTGGTACAATGGAGATTTTGTATGATTTCATTGGGATATAACCAACATTAACAACCGGTGAGTGCCAGGACGTCCACCAAGGCAACGGGCCTTGGTAAAGCCACAGCCTGCACTTCATGGTATGACCCCCTGAAATATCACCCCAAAACAAATGGAGTAATATTGCGATAACAAATGGAATATCTTCAAACTACTATCCCATGAATAAAATACCTAACCCTGAGGTACATAGTTTTCGCCGCCAAGCAATCCAAGCAAAACTAAGATGTTTCTTGCCATTTCGTTGATTTTCGCCGTTTAACTCCTTCATGAAGTTGAGATATATGATGCGTGTGAGTTTTTTTCCCTTTCACACCATCATGAACATGTCAAAAGGGGAAGGCTTGGAAGAAATAAGTATATAATAGGAAGACACATGCTTCTCGATTGCATGTCATCCCCAGGTGGCCAAATGTCAGCCTCTAAGTTACTTTCCAAATGTCTGCCAAGCTGACGATGCAAAACATGCATCAAAGTTGTGCGATTCATCCAAAGGCTCGGGCCATTTATATATTCATAGGACAAGGAAATTCAAGTAACTGGGTTGTCTCCGGGTAGCTGTAGTTGCATTCAGCAAAAACAAGGTTTCAATTACGGTAGAAAACTTTGCAAAATTGTTCACCGAACAAAGTTGGAGCACAGCTGGTGCTTAGGCGAAAAGGAAAGTAAAAAGATTTAGTGTTGGATTGGTCATCAAAAAACATGCTGGAACAGTGATTGGTCAAAATCGCCGGTTGGTCGGGAAAATTTGCCGTTTGATTGGGAAAATATGCCGTTTCATTTTTGCAAATCGTAGAGACTTAAGAGACCATCCAGTGATAGTTTGACTGCGTTGCAAGGCATCTTCAAGGATCTTTCTCACCACGTCCCACTTTTAGTGTGGGAAGGGTAGCTTTGTCTTGCTATCAGTGTTGCATTTTGCCACCAGTAAAGGAGCACATCGCCAAGTTCAGTTTTCCCTAGCCAAGCCATTCGAAGATCCAAGTGCCATTGGCAAACCAGATTTCAAAAATTAGTGAAAGCTCATGGTTCACTCTCAAACTAGATACAAGGTGCAGTGCAGGGGGAACTTGCCAAAAGGATAGAATTCCCACATCATGCTTCTCCTATGTGACAAAAAGACCAATGATTCTTTCAAAGACTTTGAAATTCAGTCTTGAAACATGTTGAAACTTGAAGGCCACGCTCCAAGTCAAAAGCCACCACAGTCAAAGGCCTAGTGAAACACTATATAATCAGGATAAAAACTACAGGGGAGCCAGAAAGCGTGAAAAAACAAAATATGAAGAATCGCCGTTTCACTTAAAAAACATGTTTTTGGAGAAAAAAAAATTGGACCCATAGGAAGACCCAGGTATACCCTTTTTACTGTATGTCCTCCATGATATCCCCATAATATACCCGTAATGAACAGGGAGTTCAACCCACTTCTTGCCGAAAAGGGAGGTCCTGTCCTTGACCTCCGCCGCGCGAATTGTTGCGGCCATAGTTGGAACATCGCTCCTGATGCCACGAAGCCAATAAGAAATTGCATGGTGTCTGAAAAGGGTAGTATACTGTCACATCCCCTAAAAATTGATATAATAATTATATATATATATGATATATATATATATATATATATTATATATATATATAAGTATATGATAATATGTGTGCGTATATATATATATATACATATCCGATATATATATATATATAACCATTTAAGAGGAATAATGATTCATAATGATGATCAACCATCAAAGTGAGGGGTACCCTGTTTTCTGACAAAACCATATAATGACATGATGCAACAAATGTGTAGTTTCAACGCGAAGCAACATGGTTTGCCCCACTAACATCAACCATCAACTGGGGGATTTGGGGTATATATTTTCCCTTCGAGGAAATACCTATCTGATGAAGGAGACTTATATACATTCTTACACTTCTGCATGGGCAAGAGGGATTCACGGCTGGGAAGTGCGTTTCGCAGGTATAGTTACTGTACCGCCCCAACAAAACGATGCAGAATCCAGTCAAATCCTGCTGAAAATCAATGGAAAAATGATGATGATAAATTTGTCTTTTCCCTATATCTGTGTGTGTGGGATACCCCATTTATTCCTAGATTTTCTATATATACCAGTAGTACCGCTTAAGGCGGTGGCGGAAGTTTCAAAAAAAGGGAACCTATAGGAGGGGTTGGTTGTGGTGAATCAGGGATGGCAGAGCGAAGCCACTGATGGATCGAAAGGTGATTGATCTCTCTCACTCTTTCTCTCTCTTTCTCTGACTACCTATCTGTCTATCTATTTATCTATCTATCTATCTAGCTATCTATCTATCTAGCTAGCTATCTATCTATCTATCTGTCTATCTGTCTGTCTGTCTATCTGTCTACCTGTCTATCTGTCTATCTGTCTATCCATCTATCTATCTATCTATCTATCTATCTGTCTATCTGTTTACCTCTCTATCTGTCTATCTGTCTATCTATCTATCTATCTATCTCTCCCTTTCATCTGTCTATCTGTCTAGCTGTCTAGCTGTCTATCTGTCTATCTATCTATCTATCTATCTATCTCTCCCTTTCATCTGTCTATCTGTCTAGCTGTCTACCTGTCTATCTGTCTATCTATCTATCTGTCTACCTGTCTATCTGTGGTGCGGTGTCATTCAGTTTAATGTAGTGTAGTGTAATGTAGTGTGGTGTAGTGGAGTGTGGCGGAATGTAGTGTAGTGTAATGTAGTGTAGTGAAATTTAGTGTAGTGGAGTGTAGTGGAGTGTAGTGGAGTGTAGTGGAGTGTAGTTGTGCAGTTGTAGTTGTAGTTGTAGTTGTAGTTGTAGTGTAATGGAGTGTAGTGTAGTGTAAGGTAGTGAAGTGTAGTGGAAGATAGTGTAGTATAGTGGAATGTAGTGTGGTGTAGTGTAATTTAGTGTAGTGGAGTGTACTGGAGTGTAGTGTAGTGTAATGTTGTGTACTGGAGTGTAGTGTAGTGTAATGTCCTGTAGTGTAGTGTAGTGTACTGGAGTGTAGTGTAGTGTAATGTGATGTAGTGTAGTGAAGCGAAGCGACATCTGAACTTCCAAAAGTGGTCCGAACCCCTAGTGTTTTGAACATTTTGACTTCGAAATGTGCTTCACGCCACAACGGCATGCACTTTTCGACATCTGAACCTCAAAAAGTGGTCCCAACCCCTGGTGGTTTTAACATTTTGACTTCGAAATGTGCTTCGCGCCACAACGGCGTGCACTTTTTCGACATCTCAACTAGTTAAAAGTGGTCCGAGCATGGTGTGCTTTATACATTTTGACATCGAAATGTGCTTGGCGCCACAACGGCGTGCAATTTGTCATCTCTCATCTGGCCAGCTGGCTCCGCACCCGCCGCTTTAGCGAGCCTACTTTTCGACCCTCCGGAGCCACAAAACATTGGAAAAACAGAGTGTTTCGCGACTTTCCCACCTTTTCGCGCATCTGCATCTTCTTTCTTCTGACTCTTTCTCTTCTGATCTTCTCTCTTCTAATCTTTCTCTTCTCTCTGCCTCTGCGCTGCTCTGCTTTTCATCTGTCCATATTGTCGGAAGTTTGACTTCTAAACTTCCTTCGACTAAAATATATAATATATATGTGTATATATATATGTACATGTTATATTTTCTATCCTAAGCTTCCATGATTCCAAGGACGCTGCCTGCATCAACCGCACGGATCGTTCGGGCTTCGATCGATAGGGCAGGGACCTGAGGATCCGGCCACAGGGAATCCAATGGAAAATCCAATGTAAAATGGGATTGTATAATCTATATATATATGTATGATATGTATATGTATTAATTATATATATATATCATATATATATATATATGATATATATATGATATATATATGATATATATATATATGATATATAACAAATATATATATATATATGAGATATATATGATATATATCATAAATATAACCCTTTAAAATATATGTTATATAGAGCCACTATATCATTGAGATGTGCGTACACAATGTACATACATATGTTTGTCTCTAATATCTAAATTCACTATGAATAAATCCACTAGGGATGTATATAAAACCACTATTGCTGTTTGTGTTAAAATATCAACCAGTTTTCGGTTCATTTTACATCCAACATCATCCAACAAAAAATAAGAAAACAAACCCAACAAACCACTGATGGGATATGAAGAAACAACAAATGTAGACAATGACAAGCCACGATCACTCATTTCTGAACATATTTAAGTTGACTGGGTTCATCATCCCAGGCACGATGAAACATGTAAACCAGCACCAAGACATCTTCACTAATTGCTAGCAATGTAAATATATTTCATCATGCAACATTGAAAATCGAAAAACTATGAACAACTCAAATGTTCATATCATTCATATCGGTCCATAGACTTTCACACATGTTTCGGAGGCATCCAGTCCCACCCAAAAAACATCGGTTTCAGCCCCGTGGCGCCGCTTGAGGCCCCGCACCAGCCCTGGTCATCGCTGAGTTGCGCTGGGGTCTGCAGGACCATCTGCTGGATCTCGGATGACCACTGCTGGGCATCATCCACCGGTTGTTCCAAAGCCCAATGAGTTTATCAATGAGGATCATGACATATCATGGCCCGGGGAGAACTTCAAAACTGGAAATGGACAGTACAAACCACTCGAGGAACTGGAACTGGATTGCATTTTTCACAGCTAGCGGCTAGACAGTGATTGGACGTGATTGGACCATGTGAAAATGTCTTTTGGATTCGATGCTGGGCCACCTGCAAGCAAAATTGCTCTCTACAGTAGGAATCTAACCTGGCAATGGAACATCAATTTCCCATTGCTGGATTTCCATATGGTACAATTCAATATCGCTATCACCCGTGCCATCATTCCATTGCCAGGGCACATCTGGTGTAGAAGCCAATGGCATGAACGCCTCGCAAATACTGCATAAAAAAAACATGCCTGGGTTTGATGCAAGAATTGAGGGGTATGAAACCAACATGAACCAACAATCATGGGGTGGTTTCGAGAGTATGCATGATACTGATAGAACATAATGGGACACAACAACCAACCATGTGGGGTATATGGCTTCGTCCAAACATGGAGAATGGGTCTGCAATATATGGCCAAGTTTTGAATGCGGAAAATGATGATCAGACATGATGGAGTAATCACTGGGTCGTTTCAAACAATAACTTCTAGACCATATTTGGGCTTCCGATACACAGACCCGCAATAATTATATAATTATATAATTATATATTAAAATATATTGACTAGTCATGCTGACACGATGCTGATACCAGGAACAGACCCAACTATACAGATTGAATTTCTTTTCCCTGTACTCTTCCAATCTTTTCCAAGATCAAGTATCATCAATCCCAGGCAGAAGTATCCAAGACTCCCATGGCCGCCGCTCCCACAACATGTGCAAACAGCCACCTGACCTGTCCAATGGGTTTTCCCAACAGCCGCCGTTCTTCCTCGTTCTCCCAGAGGGACTCGTGGTCCTGGTACAGATCTTCCCACTTGATTCAAGTGTCATGGTATGTCATGCTACATCATGGATCATGATGGGAGACTAGCTCCAAGATCTTCGGGGAAAATAGATATTACAGGAAGTATTCCATGTCATTTTCATTCATTTTCTGAGTAAATATGGGTCCGCCAGAAACTGAAATGACGCCCAGTATCCCCTGTCCTCCCACTTCCCTTCACAGGTGATGCATTCCCAGGCCGAGCTGAAAGAATGGCAACCACAACCTCGCATCTGGCTACCCTGGAGTCTTGGATACTTCTGCCAGCGGGGATTGATGATACTTGATCTTGGAAAAGATTGGAAGAGCACAGGGAAAAGAAATTCAATCTGTATAGTTGGGTCTGTTTCTGGTGTCAGCAAAGTGTCAGCATGACTAGTCACTAGTCAATATATTTCAATATTAGTTATTGATGGTCTGTGTCATTTTGCCGGGTAAAGCAGGTTTCACCGGGTTATACTCTGATCCGATTCAGTCGCTAGGGCATCAAAATGACTCAAAGTGCCCCTTTCCGAGCCATTCACATCTGCAGGACAAAGTGTTCGGATCGTGCTCCTGGCACATAAGCATAGAAAAAAAGTAGAGAACCAGCCCACCGTGGACTTCAGCACCTGATCAACGTCCATCTGTTTCAATGCGTAGAATCAGATCTCCGGCAAGTTGGCGTATCTCACCAAGACATGAAGAGACAGCACGTGTAACTCACCTTCATATGTGTTCCCACCTTCTCACCTAAGTGTTGTCCATCAGTCGACAACAAGTCACTGGAGTGTGTTGTATGTCTTTCAACAGAACCTATCACACCCCCGCAGTGATCTGACACCCGCAAGTGTCATGTATTTTCCACAGGTCCTCGTGGCTGTGCTGACATTTGCACTTGGGTCTCCAAATGCGGATGTCGAAACCTATCCAGGCACCATGGCTGCATGGTTCATGTGTCAATTTTTGCAGCACACGAAAATCCGATTGGCATGACGCAGCGGCACCTTTGCGTCTAGGCAGCCACCATTCGCCTCGTGGGGTAGAGCTCTGATGCCATTTGATCAGATACAGTACAGGAGATGATAGGGTTGTTCGTATCAAGCAAGATAGTCAGCAGATTTCCCAACTTGCCATTCTTTCGCAGGTCTCTTGGTGTCAAGATGTGTCAAGGAAGAAACACTGGAAAAGTGAGCCGTTGTGTCCCCAAATTCGCCTTTGGCTGGTTCAAGACAGACAATATCCAGTGAAAACATGTGAAAACTCTTGTGAGTCGGGCATGTCGTATGGTGATCCCACCTACAAGATAACTTTTTGCAATTTGATATACTTCATCATGTTGGACACAACATGCCGACAACGGCATCCTGATCCACACATAATAGACTATACAAATAAGAGCCGTATTTATTCTAGAGCGTTCTCTAAGATCTCTAAGTTTTTCAGTACTTCATAGCTACAATACGCTACAATTGATTCAATTTGGGGAATGATTGGAGCCTCCCTCTGGCTCTACTGGGCCGTCCCACCAATCTCTTCAGGCCGCCGAGGGATGTAGCGAAAGCTGCGGCCGACGACCACAATTCAAGAACGCTTCCGCACATCAGATGACATGTCCAGGATATTCCAGGATCAAGACATATTAAAATAATGCTACTGGATGTTTCCGGTCAGTGCCTCTGGTCAGTCCAGGACGAACTTTGATTGCCGGTGTTGATAGACTCAAGCCGAATCCTTTGATGCTACCCGCGATGAAAAAGTGACTTGACAAAGACAGTGATCCTACCAGAAACGACCCCGGTCCATGGATGTCCATGGTGATTTCAGTTTCCATCCATGTCCATCCCCAAAATCATGTTTGAAATCACAAGTTTAGGTGGTCAAATCATGTGAAAAATCCCCCAGTTTTGCTGGTGAAATCCCCTATTTTTGCTGGTGAACTCCACATCAAAACCACCGCACCCAGTGCAGCTGCAGCTGCCACAGGCTGGTCGAAGCTCCTGGACGGCAAGGAGAAGAGATATGTAGAGCGGGTCATTATTCTATGGCCTAAATAGGGATGCAGTATAGTTTAAGAAGTTAGAGATAAAACCCGCCTAAGATAAGGATGAGATTATATGATGTAATGTTCTGTATTGTTATATATCTATCGACCGATCTACTTGAATACAGCACATAGAAAATCATAGAAAGGTACCACAAAACAAGAGGATTCAGCACCAATGTGGGAGTATTGCAACTTTGCATCATAGTTCATCCAGATTGGGACATGTACTATTGTAGCTGGTCCAGCCACCATTCTGCAATTTCTGCACCAGGTCCCAGCCACTCTTCAGCCCAAATTCCGCTCGCCTTGCGACCCTTGGACCACACCTGGACAGAAATGAAATGCCCTGATGGCTGAGCGGACTTGGAACCCGTCAAAGCCCACTGATTATCTAAGGATGTCTGGGCATAATTCGTTCAATTTATGGCTAGTATAAAGAAGTAGTTGCAGTACCCTCCGGTAATCAACGAGGCTTGCTGAAAATCCCCAATTTAGGTCGATAATTTTCCCAGCTACAACCTCCATTTGTAGTGGATTTCCCCTTGCCAGCCGCATGTTTTGATCACCCCATGGCCGCCATCCAAGCTCTCTGTAGCGGTCTGAGCCGCGGGCATGGCTGCTATACTCGTGACCACAGAGGCACCTCAAAGCAGAGGGAACTGAAGGGAACTGGAACCTTAGAAACATCTGCAAACTGAACTGAATTCATCAGCTGGGTATGGCTCAACATGATTGCTGATTCGATTTTCTGATATTGTGTGATGGTTCGATGCAATGACCCCTTTCGTGCACCTATTGGTGCCCCCAGTTGAGCCATACTCATACTCATATCCTGATGCTCCAAAGACTCTCGGAACCAAAACTGTTTGTACTGATGATACTGGGATGATCTGTAAAGTTGGCAAATGGTATTCATCAGGGTGTGACCCATGTCATTCCCATTATGAGTTGGCTCTATAGCAATGTACTACTCACTTCACTCACAGTGATCCCAGTTCAGAGGCACCCGCTTGGGGCTAGCATTCTTCTGGGTTCTTATTCTAAACTGTAAACTGGAGTAATGTAATCTTAATTCAATGACACTTCAATATTGGACAGGAACCGACAAAATCGAAGCTTGGAAAGGAAGATGCAATATAACCATACAATTTCAGGAGGTTCTGAGGCATTCTGAGGGTATACAAAACACTGACCCACAAGCACATAGCATGACCCGCTGCCTTGAGGAGGGCCCTATGCGGCCACAGAAATCATGCCCACTGGCCGCGTTTCTCCAAACCTCGGTTTCCAGGCCCAGGCTGCGGCTGGGAAGACTTCTGGATTTTTTGCTTGGAATTTGATGGGGATTCCCAGGAGACTGTTTGCTGGGAAACCGCTGCAATTGATGGGGTGGTGAGGTGGTGAGCCGAGGACTTTTTTTTCGCAAACTCGACATGTGACTGCCGAGACTGGCATAGACTGGCAGTCTTTGCCACCAGCTGCGCCAGCTCCTCTGACCTCCAGGCGGATCCACTGCATCCAGGGCCTCACCATGGCGCCGTGAACGGCCAGGAACATCTGAACACAATACCAAAACGGTTTGGAAATGAGATGCTGAAAGGTTTGAACACTTTCGTATTTTCTCCACCATCTTCACCCTGGTACCTGGTTTTCACACTTACTCTTCACATCTTTCGACTGGTTGCTTTTGAGTCCGGGTCTTTATGGGAGTGCGCTAAGTGTTATGTATTGAATAAGTTTTAAATGAGTCACTTCAAACATTTGCTTATGTCTGGCTTAGTTTTAAGGCTTAGCAGTTGTAGAGCTTACATAGGTTCGTGTTGTGGAAAAACTTTTGGCTTCAAGTCTTGCGTGTATATGGTATGTATCCAAGTTTGCACATCATTCAACAATAAACTACATGGACCTGAAAACAAACTCGTCAATCAGCTGGAAAACTAGTTTGGTAGACATATGCTGCAAAACAGCCTTTTTGCTATAAACTATTGTTTTAAGCGAATGAATATCAAAGAGACATGGAATTCAAGTTTGACCGGTTGCGCCACGCTCAAACGATAGGGTGGTGTTTGCTTATATGCTTGATGTCTTTATAGCAAGCATGAACAAGAGGAAACGGCACGTTTCATTGACAAGAGATGTCACTTTGTCCCCAAGCAGTACTGCATCTTCCTGGCAGAGTTCCTTGCATCATAAAGAGGTATGGAACGTTGTGTAAGGATGAGCATGCTATTCTCTTGAAAGGCAACATATTTTAAACCATAGTGCTAGTATCAAGCCAGATTTTAAGGGTAACATTATGCTTCTCTCAAGTCGTCATTCAAAAGAATGTGGCATTCCCTCAGAAAATTGTGGCATACCTCCATGCAGCATTCTGCTACAGAGAGGGCAACATTCCTCTGACAACGTGTATCATTACTTTGAAGCAGGGCGCTGAGATGTGCACAACATTCCTTGAGAGGGGTGCATCATGTCTTCGATATGTTTTGGAACAAATATGGTATGTCTTCCATAGAGGTAGTGGTCCTTTCAGAGAAGGGTCGCATCTCTTTAAGAGAAAAATTGAATATACACAATCCGTTTTTCAAGAGCGCGGAATTTCTTTAAGAAAGTATTTGATGACTTCATTGTATATCTACTTGAAGAATGGTGTTATGCAATCTTCCTTTGAAAAGGAAACAAGTTTCATTTGAAAACATATACCATCATTAAAAAAAACAACTCACTAAATAATATTGCATTGAAATATGTTAATTCTTTAAACATGTACACACAGCAGTCCTTGTGAAAGAGTATGGCATTTAAGGGTACCCTTTTATATGTATAATATATATAATTATACATAGAAATGCTGTTGAAAGAGGGTGATGCTTCTGTAAGAAAATGCAATATGGTTCCATGAAATTGACTTTTGAACAAGCAAAATATTCCTTGCAGAAAGCCGAGCATTATTTTGAAAAGGTATTCTTCAATAAGCAGCTGCACCTGAGGATGCCATAGTATTCCTTGAGGACAGTGCATGCAGCATGCCTTTTTGCAAGTTTCCTTGAAAAAGATGCAATACGTGTTTATTCCTTTGAAAAGATGATGGTTGAACTTCTCGTTGCGTAGACCGAACTGTGCAACAGGCAGGAAACCACGAACCAAGCTAACCAAAAAAAAAACTTGGAAAAAACAAAGAAAACAAAATATTCAGGGACTCTTGTCTAGACCCCCCTCTCTCCAGGGAGTCTGGAAATATTATTTGTATTTATTTGTTTTGTTTGTTTTGTTTTCTTGCTTTTTGGGTGTTGACCCCCTCCAAAGAGTATGGCGACATGTCCACGGAAGTAGAGTTCTTCATGGTACTTCAGGGCGTCCAATGTAAACACACACTTGCCGTTGATGAACATGACACCTATGAAAGTAATGCGTTGGGGCTGTGTCAAACTGTTGTGTCAGAATGAATCTGGGAGTGCAGTAGAACCTCTTAAAATATTAGCTTACATCATGGGAAAACTGCACTCCCAGGGGGTCCCGTTCTGTTGTTTTTCATGTTCATACTGTTATCAACCGATGGGAAACCCTTGGAAGAACACTGAGGGCCTGCAGCTGCGTCACGATGGAAAGTTCTTCGGGTCCAGTGCTGCTCCTACAGTGATGCTGGTGAAATCCGATGACTCAAATAATTTACGTTGATTTTTTTTGAAATCAAAAATTCAGAGTTTTGGTGTCTTTGAACCAGGAATTGAAGTGAAATATCATAACATATCATAACCTCTGGCAATTTAAGTTGGCTATGACAAAATCTTTGTGTTAAATCATCCGGGGACCATTGGATTCCCATCCGCATCGCTCCTTGTCCGACCAGAACTCAACACCTCATCCTGAGACACACCATGTGCGGCGGATGTGGAGGGTACCCACAATGTGAACTTCTGGTTGCTGGCTTCAACATGTTTCAACCACCTGTTTCAGAAAAAAATGTTCGATCCTCATGCCAAATATATATATATATATATGTATATAGATATATGTATATATATATAATTATGTATATATATATATGTATATATATATATATATGTATGTATATATATATATATATGTATGTATATATATATATATGTGAAAATACACGTATATGTAGAGGGGATTTGTTTGAAAATAATTACTGCTTTGAAACCATCAACCAGGCACTGGCCCAAGCCCCAAGTCTTCAGGTAGGTGAAGAAAGGCTCTAAAGAAAAAGGTGCCACAGATACGGCTGCAAATGGTCCCTCTCAGAACTCGTGCCATATACTTGTGCGTCCACTAGATAGATTATTTATGTATATATACATGACAGTACATGACATGTAACATATATATATATACACCTAAAATTTACGTATATTGTTTGTGCATGATGAAGACCATATATCAAAAAATCGATATGATATGTGTTTAATTATGTAATCTTGTAATTACGTCATGTCCCCTTGAAAAAGTAGAAAACATATGGCCTATTTCCTGTTTGTTTTTCTACATGTTTGGACCCCTAAGCTACAGAATGTAGAAGTCTACATCATCGCTCTACTCTAGCAGCTACCAGTAGCACAGTGGGGCCATTTTTTCCCTGAACGCCAAGTATTTCTCCGGACGCTGGCAGGGCATGGACGCTACGTGGAACGGGGGGGACATTCGTAGGTCAGTTTATGCGTCAATAACAGTCCCATGAAATCTATGGGGTCTCACCCACTGATGAATCACTGATGAAGCCTTGGAAGATACGTATAGGGGATACGTGGCGTCAATGTTTTGTGGCCAAGCGCATGATCTTTCAAAACAACCCGAAACAACAGCAAGACTTTGGAGGGCCAAAACTGTTCTGGGAAACTTTGACACCATCCCCATCTCAACATGGAATTTGAGTAACCTGAGCCCCTGCTTCAGCTAGAGGTGTGCCAAAACATCTTACCATTTTTGTGCGCAAAAAATGTAAAACCGTTGGCTCAGGTTGGTTCGTGCAAGTTCAAAATCAATGCTTTTCAACACAAGCAATGGCGGATTACGCGAACGAAACCTATGGCGTCAACGTCCACATAATCACATATCTCACAATAAAACCTGCACTCAAGTCTTGAATACACCAAATAAAACATGACAAAAATGGCCTTCACACGCAAATGCCAACAAACTTCACGTGCCCTTTGAAACATCGCTGCCGCAACACAGGCGGTCGCGAAGCGCCACGGGCACCGGGCTGGTGTACAACAGTTGCATGCATTAAAAGCCATGGGACAACCATGGCCACTGTCAAGAGTCTCCACGGCTGCCAGCGTTTGGGCAGCCGAGCTCGGGCAGGGTGGTCGGAACCTGCCAATTTCCCATCTCTGCGATCTCTTCCGGCACCGTCTGTACCGGAACGGCCTCAACTGCAGTGGCTGCACAGAATCTTCGCAACCACAAAGGTTGGCTCGTGGTTTCAACATGTTTCAACCTAGCCGTTGCTTTTTGATGTTGAAACCACCAAACAAGATCAAACAAGTATCTACAGCCATGCATTCAGGCGGCCAGGCTCTTTTGAACCTGGGCCACACGACTTTAAAGATCTTTAAAATACTTTAAACATCTTTAAACAATACATCCGAGAAATCCAAACACATGCTGGTGAAAGGAGCGACACTCCCGGCTACGTCGCTGAACTCATCCCAGCATTTGAATTATGCGGATTCTACAGCTCTGGTGCAAATGGGTACATCGGATGTCGAAGAGCACCAAACGCAACTGCAGGTGTTGCTTCCAGCCACAAGCGGCGCTCGTCCATGATGCTGGGATTGGAACGACTCGTGCAAAATCCAAATTACTTGAACAGTTCTGCGAGCTGCGGTGGCACCATGGATGTCTGATATACAATGATGCTCTGGAAGATTAATTGCAAAGAAAGCAACTGGCACTTCATAGCTGAAACTGGGGGGTTCTGATCTAAGGACCTGACGGGGTTCTGCAGAGTACGGGTGCATCTATAGACTTGGTGACATCAACACAATCTGTATACGGGTACACGGATATTTCGAAAAAAAAAGAGGTATCCCCTCCAAATGGCAATTCTGATAGGGATAATGATGATTAACATTGATTAACCAATGGATTTAGAGGTACCTTATTTTCAGACAAACCCATGGGGCGTCCAGTTCAGCTGTGCTGCTCACAACTTTCGGCTTGAAAGCCACGGGCCCAGCGGCTGCTGTTCATCCTGGCCGCGAGCAGTTTCCAACATGAATGGATTGATTTGGGTGGCCATAAGATTTTGTATAAGTTAAATATCAACACTTTGTTCTGCGGATTTAAGCAAGCATATATCATGTCATTTTGGGGATAGAATCGGGAAAAATGTGGAAAAATGTGGAAAATCATGGGCTGTGACTAGCCATGTGGCATTCTTCTTTTCCAATTCAGAGAATTTTTTGGGTGCCAAACAATTCAGAGCTGCCAACCCCAGTGGCATCCCAGGTCATCCTGTGCAGCAAAATGCTGCGATCCGTACATTGCTTGGCAAAGGTGCTCCTTTGTGGCCGAGGGCTGGACCCCCATGGAGCTCAGATCTCCCATGGGATGAGCTTCAGGGATATCTCCATATCTCCATTGAAACAACTCGACCAGTGAATAGCAGTGGCAATTCAGGTCTTGGGATGTCTTGGGTGCATCTCTGAGATCTTTGTGTGTCTCTACCTTTGTTGGCAAAAGCCAAGCATACCGTATTCCTCATGGTCCCTTGTTGGCAGGGGAAACCCCGCAAGTGAGGCGAGATTCACAGTATCTGGATGATCATGAAAAAAGCCATCGTTCATGCCTCAGTTCCACACATATGTTTTAAGCTTCCACCGCAAAATCACTCTAAATCGATCAACTGATGCGAGGAAATTGCCATGAAAATCATGAAAATCAGGCATACTGGACAAAGATCTACTCATAGAATTCTATTATGCATGTCACAAAAGAAAGGGAATAGATCCGGGCTTCGAAGCCAAAACACTGAAACTTGTGAATTTATGCGAAGTTGAGTAGCCCGGACATTACCTGCGAATCAATATAGGGCCGTGGCGGCCACGGGGCATGTTTGTTGTCTATCAAGCCCTGGATCAAAATGGTGTCAATTTGGTCATCCTCATGATGAGCAGTGCTAAATAGCACATGATGCAATCAGGAGTTTTGCAATCAGGCTAAAAATCATACATTTATACAGCTCGAAGCCAATAAACAGTAATAAAATGTAATAAACGCCTTCCATCCCCTACTTTTGCGATCATCTCAACTGATAGAGTATCAATCCCCAAAATTGTCAGATCTTGTTTTATCAAATCATCATCCCACATTTGAGATATATCAACTATACATAGTCCCATAAAATCGTATTTTGAAAAACCAACCCCACATTCTGCCTGCTGCCCAGGTGCTCACAAATCGCACACCCTCCAAAGCTGCCAGCCAAAAGCCCAGGGAGACATCAGCAGCACCTGGGGACAGGATTGTGGAGCCTCCGGGTGATTGATGTCATACTACTGGTAACTGGTGACTTGGGATTGAAACACATCAGATCTGATGTCATACTAACTTCAGATTGATGAACTCTTAATTCATCACATAATTATTTGATTTCCGGAAAAAAAAACAACTTAAGCTTTGGGAATGGATTTGGGTCGTTCTTTTTCGAGGCCGTCAAAAACTTCGAAGCTCCATCCAATCAACCAAGTTTGGTAATTTCTGTAAGACCGCTGGGAAGTGATGCCATTCTGACCAGCATTATCACGAGAGAAATTATCCTGCGCATCCGGTACTGCCACGCGCCCACACCTCTACTCTTCAATCGATGGGCGTTGTTGCCCAAGAAGCGGACAATCCTGAAAAGCAATCTGCTGACGATCAAGGATCAGCCTTTGACTTGGGTAGCGTTTCTGGTCCTTGCGGAGCCAGTTTGGACTTCCAAGTCCATGGAATTCCATCTGCTCCACATTTCATCGTTTTCAAGCAACCAAAACCGTAACTCATGCTTTAGTAGGACTACAAGGTGAAGAGGCATGAGGAGCAACCCTTTCCCAATCAAGGGGAAACATACGGATAGACCTGGCTATCACATGGAACCTTCATTGAGCCACTTGGAAGTAAAGAGAAGGCTTCCTTGCTCAAAAATCAGGTGTATAATACTTCAAAGCTTTTGGGGGACCCAAAGGCCGAACTAACGCCCAGAGCCATCTGCAGCATGGAAAAGTTGAACCCCAAACCCAAGATATAAATATACCCGCAGTTTCTATGCAGTGATTAATTGTAGCTCTTCCAATCACTTCCAACTCAAAAATCATATCAGGTTTTCAAAGATAAAAAATCTCCGATGTCTCCCAGTCCACCATTACGTAGGATCCCATTCAATCCAATTACATCAACATCACCTTTAAACCACCGTTTAAACACCATGAAATCTCGATAAATCACTAATTTGGTCAGTTAACTCCCATTAAATCACCATCAAATCCCATTAAACCATATTAAACCGCCTTTTTAATCATTCCCCAATGCGCCAAAATCCTCCAGCTGCCAGGTCTCCTCTTGCCGAAGACCCATCCCATCCCCAGGAACCAGCGCGGAGCCGCCTTGGCGCCAAAGTAACTGGCCACCCTGCGGATCTCCTGGCGGTGCGGCGAAAAACCATGGACCAAAAATGCACACGCCGAATGTGGAAGACGAAAAAATGAGAAGATGAGATGATTATAGATATTGATCTACAGTCTAAATATGTCCTATTGATCTTTACAATGTGTCAGAATGTGTCCTATATTAGAGACATTACATGGTATACATTCAGATCATCATCATATACATATATATATATGTATATTATATATATATACATACTATTATATACCTGTAGCATGAACTGGGCATGAGCAGTTTTTCGCCGGAAGTCCTGGAGCTTCTGCGCCACGCAAGACGGGAGCTCTGGGCTCGTGTGGTTCTGGGGCCGTGGGGCCACCAAGGAAAACTGGTGCTTTGAGCCAGCCATCCCACAATAGCTGGTGGTTGGGGTCATGATTCCAGGTGTGGAACAACCCTATCTTTTTCAAGCAACAACGGATAACGTACTGTAATCAGACATAACCCAAAAAACACCACTTTTTTGGATGTCCTGAAAAAATCCTTGCAGAAATCAAGTTGGAATTCGAATGTCTCTTGCCGGATTTGAGCTGGCGATCTCTAGCGTAAGCCTCTCAGGACCTTTACCTCAATTGGAGGTCCGTCAATTCCATGGCTAGTCCTCAGCCTCTAGCAGGGCCTCATTGACTTCACTGTTTCTAAGGGAAAACCTGACAAGATCCAATCATCTGGCTGTTAATCAGAAAGTTGTTCCGGAAACAAACATAGTCGGCTGCGAAAAGTCCATATTCACATAGAAGCTGACCTATTCTATTGTCCATTATTATAAGTATATACATGTAAGCTGGCAAGTTTGCCAGACAAAGTCAGTGTACTGCAGGGTGGCAATGATCAACAAGCATCCATTCCATCGAAGATGTCACAGTTCTCAATGGCCATCATGCAACCTCAGAGGAGTGAAAATGGAGTTCCGAATATCTCAACCAGGTTTTCTACATATTTTTTTCCGAAGATTCCCATTGGGGAAACATGCTGAATTGCTATGAATTGCTACCGTTCAGATCCCATTCACAACGATGTTCCGCAGGTTTTGGTTCTGTCCGATGGCATTGCCGCAGCTTATGGCCCCACTACAGTATAACCATCCAGATCCTTCAATATCCATCCAGTCTTCTGACATGGCAAGACATTGCCATTCCCTCCTATCACAGTCACAATCGCCGCTTCGAATGAACGAGGAACCACCCATGGACAACCCAGGAAATTGGTTGCAGAAGCTCTTGAGCGTCTCCTGTCAGCAAACCGTGTGTTTTGGTGGCAAGGTGAAGGAATGAGAAAAACCAGGATAATTACCATTTACAGCTGGGGTGAACCAACTACTGTACCCTTCTACCTTCTACCCCTAATTATTAAGGTATGGCAGCAAATCATGTTATACTTTTAGGTTCAATCGGCTTTGGTGGGCCCTTGTTCTGCCAGGGAAGGGCACCCATCCGTTTAGGTATCTACACATGTCCATATCCATATATATATAATATCTACGTAGTATGCAACTAAGAAACTTACCATTTTTGAATGGGATGCACATGCAAACCGTCAAATAAATGGACTACTCTGAAATACATGTTTTACACAAAACCGCTGGGAAATGTGTATAGTTGATATAGGCTTTCCATGGCTTTACTAGTAAATGATACCTTTTATATACTGGTATATTTATGAGGTTTGGAAATGCAGCATCGTCGTTGCCTTCTATCTTGCCAAACAAGGCAATGTGTTGCAAATGGTTCTTCTTGTGCACTGCCAAATCTTGCTACTTGACACTGACAGCAAAGTGGCAGGCCAGGGCAACGGACAGGGAGAGCACCGGCTTACATGTACCATCCAATTGTATGAACTTGTAGCAATCAGGGCAAATTCATTATTTAAAAAAAATAAAGGAACACGTGCTCTGAAAGTGCACACTTTGAAGAACAATTATATTTAGCTGGAAAAATGAACGTTGGTAAATGTACACGGTCTGGTTTTCGTGCGTTTGTGCGTTGTAAATTCACTACGCATTGGTAATCTGCCCTGGCTCCTCCTTTCGACAAAGTTCACATGGTTTGCAGAGCTCACAAACCTCGTGTTGATGACTAACATGGCGCCCCTTGATCTGGATCAATGTCTATCATGTGTGCCCTACAGTGCGACAGGAACCACACATTGTCCTACCAAGGGAAATGTCGTTTGTGACTCTAAACACGGGTGGGGTGGTGTGCATGCTGCTCCCTCTGACTGGGGACTGACCAGCAATCTTGCAAGCTTTGAACCTGCCTGCAATGCAAGCGAGCATGCTTGAAAAGATCCCCAGCAATATTCAGAGTTCAGGGAAAAATCGGCGGGTCTCAAACTTCTTCGGTCAATAATCAATATTCCTAATGTTCCTCGAACTGGTGCTGGGGAAGTGTAGACTTTTTCACCATCTGGAAAAAGACACTTCTTGACCTCTTTGCCGGGTGTTGTTCTTATTGAGTTTGGCAATTTGCCAGGCCCAAGGGTCACCTGGCGTTCAAATGACGTTCAAAAGATGTTTGTCAAAAAGCGTTCAAAGGCGTTCAAATCGTTTTCACAGGTTTCGCCTACGTTTGATAAAATTGGTTCAGCCAACACGTGCCAGCAGAATCTATTTGATTTCCCGACCAGGAGTGAAAATAACCGTTCATAAGTGTCCAAAAAGGCTCACTTTGGAAAGTTTGATGAAGCAACTAGACCTTACCAGATATCTTCTCTTCTTCGAAATTCTCCAAATCATGTCCAGAAAGCTATGGTTCCGCCTATATATGCAAAACGACAGCGACCCTACCCAAGCAGAGCATTAGTCATTAGGGTCAAATTTGGATGAGTGAGGTACTGTAGGGTGAAATGCGACCCCCTTGTCTGCATCATTCTTTGGGATTCGGCTGGGCTACGGTCAAAAAACACGTGACTCCCTCGCCATGTGCAGTGAAGGGACGTGGGTCTTTGACCAATCCAGCTCTGTCTCCATGACATATCCTAGGCACAACACTCAACGGATGGCTCAAATCGTGTGCAGTGGGATGACTTGGACACCTGAAATGCACGGAAAACGCTCAACTACAATACATTGCCATACATTGCCTCTATCTGCTTGTATGCTGCTGAAGAATAGCTAAAGCAATTTGCGAAATCTCCTTGACCGGAGCCACCTGCCCCAAGAATTGCCATTTTCGAGAGGACAGTTCATCTTTCCAACCCCTCATTTTTGTCAAGTACCCTCAGGTACTCCAACCTAGCTGGAAACTCCCTTCATATCCATCTATCACCATCTATCAATGATCTTTTCCATCCACTGTTTCCAAATGTATCTAATCAAGATAGGGATTTCAAGCCATCCACTTCTGAGAAGTCTCCCATGGCTAACGACTCGGTCTGCTGCAGCTGAAGATGATCCACCAGCTTCGGAAGGTTCAAAAAACCTCAGGCAAAGAGGACGAGGACAAGATAGGACCAGGGCATTGTCGATGATTTGAAAAAATCATGGTATATCCCGAAGTCTGTTGGCAATGTTTAGTCATGTGTCCTTTGTTTGTAATATGTTGAGAGTGTTGATAAATTTGGCAATCCGAAGGTTTTTGGCAACATTGTATAAGCAGGTCATTGTTGAACTATTTTCTGATATGTTCTGGAGGTGAATCCTGGTATATCATCCTCAATCCTCTTGAATCACCAAGATTATGTTTCTTGACAGGGATGTTCAACAAATTGATGTGGATTCCCATGATGATCACATGTTGGGGTTGGTGGTTCTTCCCGATGTTCTTGCATATGTCCTTTTCGTTTCCACAAGAGAGCCAAGAGACTATCATCATCCAGGTACATGACATAGTCCTGATGAGGCCTTGCTCAAATACCACTGATCCCGCATATACGGCAAGCAGTCAATGGTTGGTTTCGTCAACATTTGGAGGTTTCCTAAAATGGGGTTACCCCCAAATCATTATTTTGAATAGGATTTTCCATTATAAATGGGGTGCCCCCATTTTAGGAAACACACATTCCTCATGTTCATGCTCATTGTGGCCAGCAAAAAAAAACAAGAAACAAACGCAGCACACAACCAGCATCTCGTATCAAAGTTCATCACGCATCATCGCATATCAAGAGTTGGTGTGTCCAGACATGGTGTGTACCCAGCGTATTTCCATTTTATCGCCATTTTCGTGCAGACAAGAATGATAAACCATGCGATTTTGGGCTAACCAATTTTCAGATAAACCCACACAAACCATGAAAGAAAACATGTTCACAATCAATAAAACATTAAACTCATTACAATTGTGATTGAAACAATTCACAACAACTAAAAAACAGTGACAGTAATACAATCACTAATTGCAGCATTGAAAACCAATTGTAAGAAACAATTAAAGATCATTAAACAACATTTAAAACAAACGTGAAACACACATATTTATATCACTTTCCCATGTAGCGCACCTGTGTTTCGCCAGCCAGGCACTGCCATGGAGCAATCGATACGTCCGAGCACAGGGCCTGCCACTCTCCGGTGCCGGGAGATGTATTACTGGAGATTGAACCGTGGAATTCAATATGGTGTCAACAAACACTGTTTAATGGAGATTGAAGCACTGTTTATCAGTGTTTAAATATTTAAGCAACAAACATTGGTGAACAATTGGGACTTAGGATGATGATTCAAGCAAAAAAAATTGGTGGGAAAAATTGGGACTTGAGAGTTGAGACTCTTTAATTTACTGAAGCAACACAAATGGTTGATATAACATGATATAAGCACCTCTGGGGGATGAACATCCATCTGAATTCAGCTATTCATTCCATGCATATGAAAACAACAACCAAATTTCATACCGTCCAAAAACAGCTAACAAGGATGAAGAGGAAACAGTGAAGCTAAAAAATGTGTCAAGTTTCAAGTAGTGTACGTACATCTTTGAGGTAGCAAAAAAAAACAGCGCCCATGCGACGCCTTTCCAAGACATAGGTCACATCCCTCAAGACCGGTGGATCGGTGTCGGGACCTCCCACCTGGGTTCCGGGATGGAAACAGATGGAACCAGGCGACTCGGACATGGACACAGCTGAGGGGACGCTCATGTGTGCTGACTATATCTGATTATGGCAGCAAGGCAGCCAAGGGGTGCAAAGGTAGGTACTTGGATAAACTGAGTGAAGTGAATCGCACTTCAAATTATGTGCATCATTGCGCATCATTTTCGACTTTCTCACTAGCCCCAAAGGCTCACCAAGAGCTTTTGGTTGGTGTGGTAGGTAGGGAGGCGACATTGAGTGTCCCAGAAAAAGTGGAATGAAAACATAGACTCAAACGATTTGTCTACGGCATCTGGGCCAAACTAGTTTAGCAATTAATATGCCACTGCTGCCCAAAACTCCCATCCCGACATGTGCATAATCTTTGATTCATCTTTCAAACAAGTTTAACGTGAACACTGCACATTTCTACGAACAATAAACATCTGCAAATACATATACTCGTCGTTACGTATCTGTAACGGATGCAACATCTTGCGGCAGAGTCAAAAATTACCTTTCAATAGTCCTAAGTCCTATCATTTTCATTGTTTGTTATATTTTGTTATCATGACTCCCTGTATCTCGGCCCCTGCGCCTCGATCAAATCTTCGTAGGTGGATTCTTCTTGCCAAGCTATGGCCTGGCGGAAGATCAACCCATGGATTTTACAGCCGTAGATAGTTTGCGGATGTCGATGGAGATCCTGCATACACAGGCGACCAAATAGTGGGGGGCAAAGGAACATCTGTTCCATGCAACTAACCTCAACTGCGTCAGCCCTGCTTCTTTCAGGCCATCTTTTTTCATGGTTTGAAACCAAATTTGTGCTCAACATTCATCCCGGTATGGCTCAACAACTATCAACCAGCGGATGATTTCTTTGATTTACCAAAAACGGCCAAAGTCCGCATGTACTTGGTGGTAACTATCCCATTTTGGGATAGATTTTTGATCCATATCCAACTGGCGCCATCCGCTCCTCCTGCTCCTCCGAGGGATGTGCCATGAAGAAGAGCATCTCCACTTCGCTGCGCGTGCTGATCAGCGACTTGCAGCTGGACCTGACGATGTTGGGATGGCATATTAATGTTCCCCAATGGATGAATGGATAATAGTGGTTAATAGTGGTTAATAGTGTTCAATGATGATAGTTCATGGTGATTCACGGGGAAAGTATCTGTTACCCTCTGGTCAAACGAAGTTGGGAAGCAATTTTCCGAGTTACTGATGATTTTTATTCAAGTGACAATACATCATGAAGTGACTGTATAATTACATCACATAAAAATGCATCATGAAGGGTGGTGTGAGAAGGGTGGTGTGAGACTTAACATCACATAACAATACATCACATAGCATCATCACAATACATCATAAAACAATCGGCGCAATGGCTGCACGATTGTTGTCACGTTTTGCCGTCATGTGCGTAGAGAGATGCGGGTTAGCCGCGTCATGCTGCAAAATGCATTGTAATAGCTGCATGGCTGTTGCATGGGGTTTGTTTTGGGGAGGAAGGGGAAGCACGAAACCTTGCGTTTTTTCCGTGTAAAGTGGCTGCAGCCGGCGATGAAAGGTACCTCCTCTGTGGGGCGGTTGCGGCTGGGGTCGTTTCGAAGTCGAATCGGTTCTCCCTTGGTGTTCTGCAACGTGTGGTTGTTCTCGTGCGCGTAGTTCTATGCGCTTGTTGAGTCTCTGGACGCAGATCGCAGTGTAATGGCTGCATGATTATTGTCACGTTTTGTCGTCATGTGCGTAGAGAGATGGTGCCACGTCATGCTGTAAAACGCAAGGTAATAGCTGCATAACTGTTGCATGGGGCTTGTTTTGGGGAGGAAGCCGGAGCAGGAAACCTTGTGTTTTTCCGTGTAAGTGGCTGCAGCCCGAGGAAAGGTACCTCCTGTGTGCGGCCGCTGCGGCTGGGGTCGTTTCGAGGTCGAATCGGTTCTCCTGCGTAGTTCTATGCGCTGGTTGGCTCTCTGGCTGCAGATCCCAGTGTAATGGCTGCATGATTGTTGTCACGTTTTGTTGCCATGTGCGTAGAGACATGCACGTTTTGTAGTACAAAGTAGTACTGGGAAGTGCTTTGTGCAAGCCTTCTAGTACAAAGTAGGACTGGGACGTGCTTTGTGCAAGCTTTGTAGTACCAAGTAGTACTGGGAAGCACTCTGTGCAAGCTTTGTAGTTCAAAGTATAGTGCTGGGACATACTTTGTGCATACCTTGTAGTACACACTAGCACTGGGAAGTGCTGCTTTGCGCAAGCTTTGTAGTACCAAGTAGTACTGGGAAGCACTGTGTGCAAGCTTTGTAGTACAAAGTAGTTAGTACTGGGACGTACTTTGTGCAATCTTTGTAGTACAAAGTAGTACTGGGAAGTGCTTTTTGTGCAAGCTTTGTAGTACAAAGTATTACTGGGCAGTACTTTGTGCAAGCTTTGTAGTACAAAGTAGTACTGGGAAATGTTTTGCGCAAACTCGTAGGTAAAGGTTCTGTGCGTAAGAGCTTCTGTGTGTAAAAGCTTCTCTGTGCAAAACCTTCCGTGTGTAAACGCACCCGTCTCTAAAGGCTTCTCTGTGTAAAAGCTGCTCTGCGTAAAGCAGCTTCTCTGTGGAAAAACTTTTCTGTGTAAAAGTTTGCTGTTTGTAAAAGCTTCTCTGTGTGCAAAAGCTTCTCTGTGCGTAAAAGCTTCTCTGTGTAAAAGCCTGCTGTGTGTCAAAGCTTCTCTGTGTGTAAAAGCTGTTCTCTGTGTACAAACTTCTCTGCGTAAACGCATCTGTGTGCAAAAGCTTCTGTGTGCAAAAGTTTCTCTGTGCAAAAGTTTTCTGCGCGCAATGGCTTTTGTGTGCAAGAGACTTCTCTCTGACAGTAAAAGCTTTCCGACGTGCACAAGAGCTGAGATGAGTTGAGAAGAGCTTCGGTGAGATGAGACAGGTTGAGCAGTGCTCAGATGAAATGAACATATATAGTTGAGAAGAACTTAGATGACACATGAGAAGAGATGAGATGAGAGGGGTGAGATGAGGTGAGAAGAGCTCAGATGAGATGAGATGAGATGAGATGAGATGGGATGGGATGGGATGAAGTGTGGAGTGTGAAGTGTAAGTGTGAAGCGTGAAGAGTGCAGTGTGAAGTGTGGCGTTTCATGAAGTGCGACCTTTGGAACAGTGCATTGCTGTCGCACAAAGCATGCACGGGCCTGGCTGGCGCACGGCGCATGCAAGTTCTATAGATGAAAAAGGTCTTGTAGTCTAACCCGAAGGCAACTTCCACCCCGCCTCGTGCGAGTACTACTGTAGTAAATTACCAATAACTATTGGACATCACCATTTTGAATGGGTACCCTCTGGTAAACTAACATAACTATGGAAAATCACCATGTTTCATGGGAAAATTCACATGAAAAATGGTGATTTTCCATAGTTATGTTAGTTTACCAGAGGGTAAATCCATGGAACCTGATATGGGCCATGTTCCATATGTGTAACGTATGACAACTATGGAAAAATGGGATATAAAAAAATCTCGAAATCGTGGGATTACATGTCCTCAGCTTTGGGAAAACATGGCGAAAACCAGTGGTTTTTCTGTTGTGGAAAGCAAAATCATATGTGATGTAATCAAATGTTATTATTAGTGTATCATATGTGAAAATATATGTGATATAATCAAATAATAACACTAATATGTGAAAACCAAGTATCAATGAGTGTTATATGTGTGATATATTGCTATACATTGCACAATTATAATTATGTACATGATGTACATTATATGTACTATCATGTACTATCCATATCAGACTGAATGAAAAACTGCGAGCCTCAAACTCATTAAAAATCCAAGTCACATTGCCTTGCGGAGGATCTGGCGACGGTCCAGGGCTGACCATCGGCTTGTGACCATGATACCTGAAGGCTTCCACCGGCTTCAGGAGGTGGAGGAAATGAAGTATCCTCTATTGAAATGGTTGAGAAGCGGTTTTTGATCAATGATGGAATGTTCAATATCAATCCACAATAATGATGTTGTTGATGATGATGATGGTAATAATAGTTATTACACTGATGATGATGGTGGTGTCCACCTCATCACCTCCACATCTGTCTGAAGCACTTCCTCAGTGCGGTTCAGCCACCCAGCTGCAACGCTGCATGGACGCCGCATGGCAATGCCAGCAGCGTCGCGCCAAGGCGCATCGGCAGGGCATTCGGTTGGCAGTAATATCTAGTCTTGCACCCAAAAAAAAGTATCAAATATAAATGCTTAGTATGTTACTGTATGTTACGGTATTGGTCTCCTGATTTTGTTTGGGTCTTACTTGTCTATCTTTTGGGGTGCTATCAACCCAATCATTGTGAACTTACTTATTAAGAATCACTGAACCAGTTGTAGTTAGTGCAATCCAGCGAGTATACGGTATTGTCATTGCTCCCTGGGATTTATCGTTGGATCCTTTCGAGCCTACTGCTCATCAGGGTGGTTTTCATCATAATTTTACAGTATGTGTGCATGGCGCCACTGGGCCTGCAAAAAGCAATGCGCCATGAATGTGGAAAGCAATTTTGAACATTGATCCACGCAAGGGTCTGTGGCAGAGAATGTCCGCTGCTAGGCGGTACTGGTGCTGACATAGACATAGATTATCATAGATCATCATAGATCCCTGATTCAAAGGCAACCCCAGCATTGTGATTCTAACTCGTCACTATTATAATTCCCAAACGTTTGCCTCTGCATCCTGCATGTTGGAAGCACGGCGGTGCCAGGAAAGGCTTATAAACAAATGCATGAGGCTCAAAATTGTACCCTCACACCGACGTGTTGATTGCTGCGTGCCTCCGGAATACACTATTTGTTGCTATGCTCTTCATGCGTGACATTGACTGGGCCACAATTTCTGTCCTCCTGCTCCAGATCACATTTCGAAATGCAATAGGACCAGCCCAGAAAATATCCCCAACAACTGCCATGGACCCTCAAACCTGGATCGGGGGAGGTTGAGAGCAAAAAAAAACAATAGTTGACAGAGGTACAAACCCTAAGTTTTCCTAAAAAATCCCAAACAATCCTGGTTGGTGGTTTCAACCCTTTATGAAAAATATGAAAGATTGGATCATCATTCCAACTGTTGGGAAAAAAAATGTTCCAAACCACCAACCAGAATCCATAATAATCCCAAATATTTCACCAACAAAAGCAATCCACCCACTGCAGATCTGTCCGAGGTCCCTACCCCATAGAGCCCAGTGCGGATGGCTTCTTCCGCAGCCAATTTCTCTGCTTGCATCATTTTCCTGGCTCAACTGAACCAAGGGTAAGATGCAGCTGAGATTGTGACATCAGGATGGATGGGGTAGGATCTAACTTGTACTCTGGAAACAAAGTTTCATTGGCTGCAAAGAAATAGAACAAAGCTGCTGAGTACACCATCCCATCCCATCGATGCATTCGTTTCAGCAGGTTAGAAGCTTTAGTCAAACCAATGATATTATAAACTATACCATTTCAAACAAAATCAATGGCACTTCGATTTTTATTGATCAGGTTCACAAAGTGTATCCCAAACTTCTGATGGATTTTGATGGTAAATTCACCAATGTTTTCCGTTGACCCGTTGACCCACCGGCCCCAGCGGTGCTCAAAAAATCTGTCGGAAACACTTCCCACCAGGTGTGGGGCCAAAGGCTTGAACCGCCTGGCAGAGATTGTGGTATGAATACTCTGTGACTATAAGGTGATAGTGTGTATGAATACAGGGTATAGTGATTACCATATCTATGATTGTGTACTATTCATACTATGATTATGTACTATTATTGTGTATGTGACTATAATGATTACATGAATGTGTATGGTGATTTTGATGATGATCATAATGGCACTTCGGATAATGTGATATTGGTAATGAATATGAATGTGTATGAATGTGTATGATTACATGGTGATCAAACATTGTGACATTGTTTTCTAATTATATGTTTTTCGGGATAATATGATCATATCTCTATCTATCTATATATATACACATTCGTATACATGCGAGAACGGCGATTCTATGGCTGGGAGGACAGGCATCGTGAAATTGTCTCTGATTCACATAGTATTTTATTCAGGGCTGATGGAGACCAGAAGCGGAATGGGAATGAAAACTCACTGAGCAACTACCCAAAGGCTCCATTGCTGGTACACCCAGTGCCTTCGCAATGTTACTTTGAACCTGCTCGGCAGGTGTGTGATTGTGTGTGTGCCACAGAGGATATTTGGGACAATGCTCTCCTCTGCGTTTCACCGACCAAATCCAAGGCGCAGTTTCAAAGCCATGGGCACTAAATGGCACTAAGTTGCATGGAATTCTGATCAATTTTGCATGTGTGATGGACAATGTCCCATGAGGCCTGCTCGACGCTGCCATCGGTGCCAGCCTCGAGAGTGCTGTCGCTGATTTGGAATTTCCAACTTCAAACCGTGAATCTATCGGCTAAATTGCAAGGAGAACTGCTCAGGGCCCATGAAGTAAGGAAGCTCTCACGTTGACTAGCATGTCACAGTCATGCAATCTAAGTACTCTTTGAATTTTGGAGCCTTCCATGTTAGCCCAATCCATGATACAGCGATACAGTCTACTTCTCCGGCCCAGCGCGGGTGATTCTATAGATCGAGGGACCACCAAAGCCCTTTCTGATCGCGCAACGCCACCGCTGAAGATTTGCATCTGCCTTGGAAATAAAGTAAATCAAAATCAGCTGACATGGGTCGGCTGCTATGGATGTCTTTCCTCAATATCCATCATGCATCCATAGTGCCATAGTGGTCCTTGTGTACTTTCACAAAATGGACAATAATATAGACAGTGCTATCAATGAGTCCAATATACAATTCTATAAAATGGACAATATTCTGTAAAATGGACAATATTCTATATACACTTCTATAAAAAAATGGTACTTCTATAAAATGCGGTTCATCAATGTATCAATGGGACCATTGATAATATCCCACAATCAGCAGCTGAGTGGCGCCAGCTGTGCCTGACCACCTGAGGCCATTGAGGTTGGAGGTATCCGACCTATCCGACCTATGGTAATTTAACCACCAAAAACGGATAAAAACGGAGGATTCTTAGCAACAAGATCCATCAAAATATCGAAAATTGGAGGATTAATTAATTACTGCAATCCATAGAGGATTATTATGATTCTTGCAGAATACCTTACTACATTCTACATCCTTTACTTATGGATACTTGATCGTAAAATCCTAATGTTTCACCACCAAACATATAACGGATGTTTGCGAACAATAAAGGACGTCGGCTGACAATCAAAGGATGAATGATATGGGTGCGGGTTTGGCTCATAATTGGGCAAACTATGGCATACCCAAACATCGAAAGCTATCCAAAACAGATACACTGACTGGTGGCTTCAACCCATCCCCACAATCATGCCAAAATAATCCAAAATATCCCAAATACGATTGCAAAAACCCTATTTGAAATGACCAGCAAACACAACTAGGAAAAAACATCAAAAGCTATGAAAAGAACATAAAAGAACCGTTAGAAAATAATTAAAAAAAACAGGTAAAACAATGTTAAAATATGTTTAAAACAACTAGAAAGAAACATATTTCAGACTGACGTTCCACCCTGTCACCTCGTTCCAGCGCAGAACCGCTGCCAGGCCGGCGTGCCAGGGGGCCACCAGACATCATGGTGACGATGGCGTGGGGAACCCCCCCGACAGATGGCTACTGTAAGGTTGGGTTTGGTGAGGTTTAAAGCGACCAACGGATGGTTTTATGGGAAATACGTCATGATGAAACATGGTGGTTTTATCCGGTAAAATGATGTCAAATGAGGGGATGGTGGTGTGAGTCACAGGTGTACCGGTGTTGGGAGCATCATGGATCTCCACTTGATTGCCACGTATTGCAGAAATTGAGGGGATAGTTCCACTGGGAGTCCCCTACTACGGTTTCAGTTCAAGTGAAGTTTGTCACTTCATGTGATAACTTTGAAAACGTCCGCAACTGAAGCCAGAATATGTCTTGTTGGAACATCTCCACACGTCCGTTCTGAGGAACCTCACATCCAGGGTGGACAAGCAGTAGCACTGCAGATATGCAATGGCCCTTGTTCTGTCCCCACAGTGATGAAGGTTGATGGGCCTGTTGATTAAAAAAATGTCAAACATCAACATCTGACTGATTTGAACAGCAGAGATGAACCCTGTGGCATGTCCATGTCTCAAGGCCGATGTTTACCGCCATGTTCCTGCCCAAATTTGGTGCAATTTTGGTGCATCCCCAGACAAGACCAGATGTTTCTATAAAAAAAGGGTTAATTTCTTAAAGAATTCCTGCGTGATTTTGGCTCCAAAAAACTCAGCTTTTTGTCGCGGCTCAACCTCGTCTGAGATCCTCATGGAGGCGGATGGTCATCGAGTCATCCAGATAAGGGATGATAAGAAGCGTGGATCATCTCTAAGTCATCTTGGCAAACGCAGTCCAGCGCACCAGGAGCAGCAAGACCTGTCATTTTTCTTCGGGGAGCATGCTCTTGGGTCGAAGGTCGGGTAGCATCAAGAGGGTATCCCAAGAGGATATGCAAGAAGTTCCAAGAACATATTTTACAGTAACTTTCCACACCCAACGCTAATCAATAAGACAATTGAGCTCAAAAATCCAGTGATGAGAAGACAATCACTTTGTTCAGTCCTTGCAACTCAATTCTGCCACAAAACCATAAGAAAAAACAACTTTGGGTTTGATGCACATCATCACCTGCGATTGTCATGCTGTCACGGAAAAGACAAAACAACAACCACAAACTCGTCTGAACTGCAGTTTTACACACCAAGCAAATAGCTGTACGCCAAAACCCCCAGATTAAATTGATTGTTTGAACTGAAAATGCAAAATAGCTTAATCCCAAAGCTCTTGCATTCACAGAGCCGGTTGGTGACAAAATGGATGGGTTTGTTTTGTTGGTATGTATGAAAAAACACATAATATATATAATATATTAAGGTACAGGATGGTACAGGTATATTTGTTGTTGGAATTCTTTCTTCAGATTTATTCAGGGATTGCGTGTTCAATCAACTCCAAATTGTTGTTGGCTAAACTACCGTGCTGATGAGCAAAACCCTCGAATGCTCATAGTTTGACAGACATTTAATTTAGGCTTGGTGAAGAATGGGTGGATTGATTCAATCCGAGACTGTTCATGTGCCAACAGCACAAACAACAACGCCCACAACAAAGCATGCTGCAATGTGTATGCGAATGTTTTTCCCCCGGTCACTATGGACAGGAATGTGGATGTCGCAGCTCTTTTTGGAGCTGCAAAGGCCACAATCTGCAGGGTATTGCCTGTACTATTCGACATGGATTGTCGTCAGGTCAGCTGAAGCAACCCCAGTAATTACACAGCCTACCCAAATCATTCATGATCCAGGTAGCTAGGTCATGTTGACCTAGCACCAACAGCTGTTATCAGCTGTTGAGCTGATAGAAACTAAGTCAAAATAAATCAAGTAAATATATCCTATACATCCAAGTATGCTCAAATTAATTGTGATTCGCGATGCGTCAGTTGGATTTCATCTGACACTATCTGACCACCTGATTAGAATAGGCCACACGTGGAAAAGCCGTCCTCACGGCTCTCAACATGACCTAGCATTCAAATGGCCAGGCGGCACGCGCCTTGTCCTCTCCGCCCATGAGGTTCAAGAGAGTCTCCATGTCTGCCTCTGTGTTGCCCGGCTTGGGAACATCCGTCGCCTTCTTCAGCTCCTCCAAAGTCTCACGGTTTGCCGCGATCTGAGACAAGCTTTCCTTCAAGGGTTGCTTAGCAGCCGTCTCCTCCTCCGTCAAGCGTCGACGCAAGCCTGACACAGGATCATAGCCTGGGGAATACCACAATTTCGAAAGCTGTGCTTGACTCTTGGGTGTCTTCAAGAAATGGTTGTTCGCGCAGGCCGCGTGCACTGCTGCGCCATAGGGCGCAATGGCCGCTGCACCCGTGGTGATCGCAGCTATGGAGCCAGCACAAAGTGCGTTGACATCCAGAAAGTCCTGGCCGAAAATACGTTGCTGCAGCCCGTCTCAAGATCTTGAGGCAGTTGAAGGCAAAGAAAGACAGAACAGAGCCAACATCACCAACAGTGTCTATTATCATTTATCATTTAATAATTACAATATAATATTACAATAACTCAGTGTTTTTGCTTGGCAGTTAGTGTTTCCATGCCAGCATCTCTAGACAGAACAAGCTCAACAGTGCCTGATGAAGAGTGTTCCAGGATGCTCCAGGATTAAACAAAAACTTCAGAGAGGCAACGATAAACGAGAAGAAACTTTGGCAGCGGAAAAAGGCCGTGCTCAGTCCCATTCAGTCCTTACAGTGAACCACAATGAGATTGATGAAGGTAACAACCTCACCGATGTACGCCACAGCACCACCAATGTCAATGGTGCAAAGTGTCTCTGGGATGCCCTTGAACACGTTCAATGGTGAGCGGAAGGTGCTCGCTTTGCACTTGTGCACATTCACGGCCTTGTTGATGGCAAGACCCATGTTTGCAATGTTGGCTGCCACCATGCCCACATCCACACCACACTGCACACCATTGCCGACAGCGCCTTCTCCAATCAGCAAACGTCGGCTGTCCCGGACGGTCTGATCTCCCAGGACACTGACCTTGGTGGTGGTCAGTTGTGGCGGAGTTCCGGAACAGGCCACACCCAAAGAAGCTCCAGCTGCAATCTCTCCCATGGCTGACACCAAGCCTGCGACACCAGCAGAGCAAATGGCATCCACGTTGAGGCTCAAGGCACAATCTGAAGCTGCCAAGGCCAGCTTGGCAGCAAGGTTGCCCACCCAAGCACCCAGGATGGCACCGTTTACCTGGCAAGCCAACTCAGACTCACCATCACGAGGTGCAGGGCAAGTGCGAATGATGGCATTGATGTCATCACCCATACCCACCACTGAGACAAATGCCTCCAAGATGTTGAAGGAGCATTCTGCCATTCCAGCAAGTTTGGCCTTTTGTCTTTGGCGGAATCCTTTCACCCTTCTGATGGTCATAAGAGTGTCCAATTTGCGGATGTGGTGCTTCTCCCAATGGTCCTGAACCTTGCGACCTGCCTTCACCATGGCCTTCAGCACAGTCTCATCAGCCAGAGTTTGGTTGTTCTTGGTTGCCTGAATCAGTTTTTCACTAGTGCTGCGGATGGCGGAACTAAGGTCCAAAGAAGACTTGCCTTGCAAAGCTCCAACATTGCTGCAGCTGCGGCTGAAGCCATTCGTTGACCAGGCGAAAATGCCAACACAAACGACCATTGCAGTTGCCAGTGCTACAGCCGTCTTCCACGTGGACCGTTTCATTTGAAAAGAAACATCAGCCTCGAGCTCGCTGCCATCCTCCAGGTTCTCCACCTGTTTGAAGCCAAACATGCTGATCGTTAGATGGGATAAGGGTGCTTCACAGCAGCTGCTAAGGGAGGTCGGGAGAGATTTGAGAGCACAAATGGCTTGTTGAAGTCAAATTGTTTCGAGGAGCATGCTCTTGGGTCGAAGGTCGGGTAGCATCAAGAGGGTATCCCAGGAGGATATGCAAGAAGTTCCAAGAACATATCTTACAGTAACTTTCCACACCCAACGCTACCCAATAAGACAATTGAACTCAAAAATCCAGTGATGAGAAGACAATCACTTTGTTCAGTCACTGCAACTCAATCCTGCCACAAAACCATAAGAAAAAACAACTTTGGGTTTGATGCACATCATCACCTGCGATTGTCATGCTGTCACGGAAAAGACAAAACAACCGCCTCAAACTTGTCTGAACTGCATGTTCAATCAAATACCAATTGGCTAAACTACCGTGTTGATGGGCAAAAAAAAACATTGCTGATAGTTTGACAGCCATTTAATTTAGGCTTGGTGAAGAATGGGTGGATTGATTCAATCCGAGACTGTTCATGTGCCAACAGCACAAACAACAACGCCCACAACAAAGCATGCTGCAATGTGTATGCGAATGTTTTTCCCCCGTTCACTATGGACAGGAATGTGGATGTCACAGCTCTTTTTGGAGCTGCAAAGGCCACAATCTGCAGGGTATTGCCTGTACTATTCGACATGGATTGTCGTCAGGTCAGCTGAAGCAACCCCAGTAATTACACAGCCTACCCAAATCATTCATGATCCAGGTAGCTAGGTCATGTTGACCTAGCACCAACAGCTGTTATCAGCTGTTGAGCTGATAGAAACTAAGTCAAAATAAATCAAGTAAATATATCCTATACATCCAAGTATGCTCAAATTAATTGTGATTCGCGATGCGTCAGTTGGATTTCATCTGACACTATCTGACCACCTGATTAGAATAGGCCACACGTGGAAAAGCCGTCCTCACGGCTCTCAACATGACCTAGCATTCAAATGGCCAGGCGGCACGCGCCTTGTCCTCTCCGCCCATGAGGTTCAAGAGAGTCTCCATGTCTGCCTCTGTGTTGCCCGGCTTGGGAACATCCGTCGCCTTCTTCAGCTCCTCCAAAGTCTCACGGTTCGCCGCGATCTGAGACAAGCTTTCCTTCAAGGGTTGCTTAGCAGCCGTCTCCTCCTCCGTCAAGCGTCGACGCAAGCCTGACACAGGATCATAGCCTGGGGAATACCACAATTTCGAAAGCTGTGCTTGACTCTTGGGTGTCTTCAAGAAATGGTTGTTCGCGCAGGCCGCGTGCACTGCTGCGCCATAGGGCGCAATGGCCGCTGCACCCGTGGTGATCGCAGCTATGGAGCCAGCACAAAGTGCGTTGACATCCAGAAAGTCCTGGCCGAAAATACGTTGCTGCAGCCCGTCTCAAGATCTTGAGGCAGTTGAAGGCAAAGAAAGACAGAACAGAGCCAACATCACCAACAGTGTCTGTTATCATTTATCATTTACTCAGTGTTTGTGCTTGGAATATAGGGTTTCCATGTCAGCATCTCTAGACAGAACAAGCTCAACAGTGCCTGATGAAGAGTGTTCCAGGATGCTCCAGGATTAAACAAAAACTTCAGAGAGGCAACGATAAACGAGAAGAAACTTTGGCAGCGGAAAAAGGCCGTGCTCAGTCCCATTCAGTCCTTACAGTGAACCACAATGAGATTGATGAAGGTAACAACCTCACCGATGTACGCCACAGCACCACCAATGTCAATGGTGCAAAGTGTCTCTGGGATGCCCTTGAACACGTTCAATGGTGAGCGGAAGGTGCTCGCTTTGCACTTGTTCACATTCACGGCCTTGTTGATGGCAAGACCCATGTTTGCAATGTTGGCTGCCACCATGCCCACATCCACACCACACTGCACACCATTGCCGACAGCGCCTTCTCCAATCAGCAAACGTCGGCTGTCCCGGACGGTCTGATCTCCCAGGACACTGACCTTGGTGGTGGTCAGTTGTGGCGGAGTTCCGGAACAGGCCACACCCAAAGAAGCTCCAGCTGCAATCTCTCCCATGGCTGACACCAAGCCTGCGACACCAGCAGAGCAAATGGCATCCACGTTGAGGCTCAAGGCACAATCTGAAGCTGCCAAGGCCAGCTTGGCAGCAAGGTTTCCCACCCAAGCACCCAGGATGGCACCGTTTACCTGGCAAGCCAACTCAGACTCACCATCACGAGGTGCAGGGCAAGTGCGAATGATGGCATTGATGTCATCACCCATACCCACCACTGAGACAAATGCCTCCAAGATGTTGAAGGAGCATTCTGCCATTCCAGCAAGTTTGGCCTTTTGTCCTTGGCGGAATCCTTTCACCCTTCTGATGGTCATAAGAGTGTCCAATTTGCGGATGTGGTGCTTCTCCCAATGGTCCTGAACCTTGCGACCTGCCTTCACCATGGCCTTCAGCACAGTCTCATCAGCCAGAGTTTGGTTGTTCTTGGTTGCCTGGATCAGTTTTTCACTAGTGCTGCGGATGGCGGAACTAAGGTCCAAAGAAGACTTGCCTTGCAAAGCTCCAACATTGCTGCAGCTGCGGCTGAAGCCATTCGTTGACAAGGCGAAAATGCCAACACAAACGACCATTGCAGTTGCCAGTGCTACAGCCGTCTTCCACGTGGACCGTTTCATTTGAAAAGAAACGTCAGCCTCGAGCTCGCTGCCATCCTCCAGGTTCTCCACCTGCTTGAAGCCAGACATGCTGATCGTTGGATGGGAGAAGGGTGCTTCACAGCAGCTGCTAAGGGAGGTCGGGAGAGATTTGAGAGCACAAATGGCTTGTTGAAGTCAATTTTTTTCGGGGAGCATGCTCTTGGGTCGAAGGTCTTGTAGCATCAAGAGGGTATCCCAAGAGGATATGCAAGAAGTTCCAAGAACATATCTTACAGTAACTTTCCACACCCAACGCTACCCAATAAGACAATTGAACTCAAAAATCCAGTGATGAGAAGACAATCACTTTGTTCAGTCACTGCAACTCAATTCTGCCACAAAACCATAAGAAAAAACAACTTTGGGTTTGATGCACATCATCACCTGCGATTGTCATGCTGTCACGGAAAAGACAAAACAACCGCCTCAAACTTGTCTGAACTGCATGTTCAATCAAATACCAATTGGCTAAACTACCGTGTTGATGGGCAAAAAAAACATTGCTGATAGTTTGACAGCCATTTAATTTAGGCTTGGTGAAGAATGGGTGGATTGATTCAATCCGAGACTGTTCATGTGCCAACAGCACAAACAACAACGCCCACAACAAAGCATGCTGCAATGTGTATGCGAATGTTTTTCCCCCGTTCACTATGGACAGGAATGTGGATGTCACAGCTCTTTTTGGAGCTGCAAAGGCCACAATCTGCAGGGTATTGCCTGTACTATTCGACATGGATTGTCGTCAGGTCAGCTGAAGCAACCCCAGTAATTACACAGCCTACCCAAATCATTCATGATCCAGGTAGCTAGGTCATGTTGACCTAGCACCAACAGCTGTTATCAGCTGTTGAGCTGATAGAAACTAAGTCAAAATGAATCAAGTAAATATATCCTATACATCCAAGTATGCTCAAATTAATTGTGATTCGCGATGCGTCAGTTGGATTTCATCTGACACTATCTGACCACCTGATTAGAATAGGCCACACGTGGAAAAGCCGTCCTCACGGCTCTCAACATGACCTAGCATTCAAATGGCCAGGCGGCACGCGCCTTGTCCTCTCCGCCCATGAGGTTCAAGAGAGTCTCCATGTCTGCCTCTGTGTTGCCCGGCTTGGGAACATCCGTCGCCTTCTTCAGCTCCTCCAAAGTCTCACGGTTCGCCGCGATCTGAGACAAGCTTTCCTTCAAGGGTTGCTTAGCAGCCGTCTCTTCCTCCTCCGTCAAGCGTCGACGGTGTTTCAAGCCTGACACAGGATCATAGCCTGGGGAATACCACAATTTCGAAAGCTGTGCTTGACTCTTGGGTGTTTTCAAGAAATGGTTGTTCGCGCAGGCCGCGTGCACTGCTGCGCCATAGGGCACAATGGCCGCTGCGCCCGTGGTGATCGCAGCTATGGAGCCAGCACAAAGTGCGTTGACATCCAGAAAGTCCTGGCCGAAAATACGTTGCTGCAGCCCGTCTCAAGATCTTGAGGCAGTTGAAGGCAAAGAATGACAGAACAGAGCCAACATCACCAACAGTGTCTGTTATCCCGGCCTTCGCCAAGGCAGGGGCGGCGCCTGGGACCACCGCAGGTGTGGAGCCTGTTTTTGTTGGCTTGCCACTACCTTGCCTTCCGCCAGCTCCGACAAGGCACCAAGGGCACAGTCACAGCATGTCGCAGCCACATTGCACGCGTCAAACGCTACAACGCTCGCCAGGCCTCAAACCCTTAAAATGCCTAAAGCCCTCCGCGGCAGCTTGGACCAGGCACTCAGGCCACAGCCCTCTGTTGTTAAGGGCGTTTCAGCCTGCCGTTTGTCAAAGCCTAAAAATTCCTAAAACCCTCCGCGACAGCTTCGACCAGACACTCAGGCCACTGTCCTCTGTTGTTAAGGGCGTTCAAGCGTGCCGTTTGCCAGGCCTCAAATGCCTAAAACGCTGCGCGGCAGCTTCGAGCAGGCACTCAGGCCACTGCCCTCTGTTGTTAAGGGCGTTCAAGCCTGCCGTTTGCCAGGCCTCAAATGCCTAAAACGCTCCGCGGCAGCTTCGAGCAGGCACTCAGGCCACTGCCCTCTGTTGTTAAGGGCGTTCAAGCCTGCCGTTTGCCAGGCCTCAAATGCCTAAAAAAGCTGCGCGGCAGCTTCGAGCAGGCACTCAGGCCACCGCCCTCTGTTGTTAAGGGCGTTCAAGCCTGCCGTTTGCCAGGCCTCAAATGCCTAAAACCCTGCGCGGCAGCTTCGACCAGGCACTCAGGCCACTGCCCTCTGTTGTTAGGGGCTGTCTCTGTCTCTGTCTGCCTGCCTGTCTCTGTCCGTCTCTCTGCCTGCCTGTCTGTCTGCCTGCCTGTCTTTCTGTCTGCCTGCCTGCCTGCCTGCCTGTCTGTCTGTCTGTCCGTCTGTCTCTGTCTCTGTCAATGTCGGTCAGTGTCGATCAATGCCGCCTGTCTGCCTGCCTGCCTGCTCAAGCCTGCCGTTTGCCAGGCCTCAAATGCCTAAAACGCTGCGCGGCAGCTTCGAGCAGGCACTCAGGCCACTGCCCTCTGTTGTTAAGGGCGTTCAAGCCTGCCGTTTGCCAGGCCTCAAATGCCTAAAACGCTGCGCGGCAGCTTCGAGCAGGCACTCGAGCCACTGCCCGTTTGCCAGGCCTCAAATGCCTAAAACGCTGCGCGGCAGCTTCGAGCAGGCACTCAGGCCACTGCCCTCTGTTGTTAAGGGCGTTCAAGCCTACCGTTTGCCAGGCCTCAAATGCCTAAAACGCTCCGCGGCAGCTTCGAGCAGGCACTCAGGCCACTGCCCTCTGTTGTTAAGGGCGTTCAAGCCTGCCGCTTGCCAGGCCTCAAATGCCTAAAACACTGCGCGGCAGCTTCGAGCAGGCACTCAGGCCACCGCCCTCTGTTTTTAAGGGCGTTCAAGCCTGAGGTTTGCGAGGCCTCAAATGCCTAAAACGCTGCGCGGCAGCTTCGAGCAGGCACTCAGGCCACTGCCCTCTGTTGTTAAGGGCGTTCAAGCCTGCCGTTTGCCAGGCCTCAAATGCCTCAAACGCTGCGCGGCAGCTTCGAGCAGGCACTCAGGCCACTGCCCTGGCGTTCAAGCCTGCCGTTTGCCAGGCCTCAAATGCCTCAAACGCTGCGCGGCAGCTTCGAGCAGGCACTCAGGCCACTGCCCTCTGTTGTTAAGGGCGTTCAAGCTTGCCGTTTGCCAGGCCTCAAATGCCTAAAACGCTGCGCGGCAGCTTCGAGCAGGCACTCAGGCCACTGCCCTCTGTTGTTAAGGGCGTTCAAGCCTGCCGCTTGCCAGGCATCAAATGCCTAAAACGCTGCGCGGCAGCTTCGAGCAGGCACTCAGGCCACTGCCCTCTGTTGTTAAGGGTGTTCAAGCCTGCCGTTTGCCAGGCCTCAAATGCCTAAAGCGCTCCGCGGCAGCTTCGACCAGGCACTCAGGCCACTGCCCTCTGTTGTTAAGGCCTCAGATGCCAAAGAAGAGGGGGTCGGCGGCACCCGGGCGCTAGCCCATTCTATAATTACAATAACTCAGTGTTTGTGCTTGGCATATAGGGTTTCCATGTCAGCATCTCTAGACAGAACAAGCTCAACAGTGCCTGATGAAGAGTGTTCCAGGATGCTCCAGGATTAAACAAAAACTTCAGAGAGGCAACGATAAACGAAAAGAAACTTTGGCAGGGGAATGCAGGGGAAAAAGGCCGTGCTCAGTCCCATTCAGTCCTTACAGTGAACCACAATGAGATTGATGAAGGTAACAACCTCACCGATGTACGCCACAGCACCACCAATGTCAACGGTGCAAAGTGTTTCTGGGATGCCCTTGAGTTCGGGACGCGGAAAGTGCTTGCCTTGCACTTGTCACATTCACGGCCTTGTTGATGGCAAGACCCATGTTTGCAATGTTGGCTGCCACCATGCCCACATCCACACCACACTGCACACCATTGCCGACAGCGCCTTCTCCAATCAGCAAACGTCGGCTGTCCCGGACGGTCTGATCTCCCAGGACACTGACCTTGGTGGTGGTCAGTTGTGGCGGAGTTCCGGAACAGGCCACACCCAAAGAAGCTCCAGCTGCAATCTCTCCCATGGCTGACACCAAGCCTGCGACACCAGCAGAGCAAATGGCATCCACGTTGAGGCTCAAGGCACAATCTGAAGCTGCCAAGGCCAGCTTGGCAGCAAGGTTGCCCACCCAAGCACCCAGGATGGCACCGTTTACCTGGCAAGCCAACTCAGACTCACCATCACGAGGTGCAGGGCAAGTGCGAATGATGGCATTGATGTCATCACCCATACCCACCACTGAGACAAATGCCTCCAAGATGTTGAAGGAGCATTCTGCCATTCCAGCAAGTTTGGCCTTTTGTCCTTGGCGGAATCCTTTCACCCTTCTGATGGTCATAAGAGTGTCCAATTTGCGGATGTGGTGCTTCTCCCAATGGTCCTGAACCTTGCGACCTGCCTTCACCATGGCCTTCAGCACAGTCTCATCAGCCAGAGTTTGGTTGTTCTTGGTTGCCTGGATCAGTTTTTCACTAGTGGTGCGGATGGCGGAACTAAGGTCCAAAGAAGACTTGCCTTGCAAAGCTCCAACATTGCTGCAGCTGCGGCTGAAGCCATTCGTTGACAAGGCGAAAATGCCAACACAAACGACCATCGCAGTTGCCAGTGCTACAGCCGTCTTCTTCAACGTGGACCGTTTCATTTGAATAGAAACATCAGCCTCAAGCTCGCTGCCATCCTCCAGGTTCTCCACCTGCTTGAAGCCAGACATGCTGATCGTTAGATGGGAGAAGGGCGCTTCACAGCAGCTGGTAAGGGAGGTCGGGAGAGATTTGAGAGCACAAATGGCTTGTTGAAGTCAAATTGTTTCGAGATTTTCGAGGAGCATGCTCTTGGGTCGAAGGTCGGGTAGCATCAAGAGGGTATCCCAAGAGGATATGCAAGAAGTTCCAAGAACATATCTTACAGTAACTTTCCACACCCAACGCTACCCAATAAGACAATTGAACTCAAAAATCCAGTGATGAGAAGACAATCACTTTGTTCAGTCCTTGCAACTCAATTCTGCCACAAAACCATAAGAAAAAACAACTTTGGGTTTGATGCACATCATCACCTGCGATTGTCATGCTGTCACGGAAAAGACAAAACAACAACCTCAAACTTGTCTGAACTGCATGCTCAATCAAATCCCAATTGTTTTGTTGGCTAAACTACCGTGTTGATGGGCAAAAAAAACATTGCTGATAGTTTGACAGCCATTTAATTTAGGCTTGGTGAAGAATGGGTGGATTGATTCAATCCGAGACTGTTCATGTGCCAACAGCACAAACAACAACGCCCATAACAAAACATGCCGTAATGTGTATGCGAATGTTTTTCCGCCCGTTCACTATGGACAGGAATGTGGATGTCGCAGCTCTTTTTGGAGCTGCAAAGCCCACAATCTGCAGGGTATTGCCTGTACCATTCGACATGGATTGTCGTCAAGTCAGCTGAAGCAACCCCAGTAATTACACAGCCTACCCGAATCATTCATGATTCAGGTAGCTAGGTCATGTTGACCTAGCACCAACAGCTGTTATCAGCTGTTGAGCTGATAGAAACTAAGTCAAAATAAATCAAGTAAATATATCCTATACATCCAAGTATACTCAAATTAATTGTGATTCGCGATGCGTCAGTTGGATTTCATCTTCTGACACTATCTGACCACACGATTTGAATAGGCCACACATAGAAAAGCCGTCCTCACGGCTCTGAACGTGACCTAGCATTCAAATGGCCAGGCGGCACGCGCCTTGTCCTCTCCGCCCATGAGGTTCAAGAGAGTCTCCATGTCTGCCTCTGTGCTGCCCGGCTTGGGAACATCCGTCGCCTTCTTCAGCTCCTCCAAAGTCTCACGGTTCGCCGCGATCTGAGACAAGCTTTCCTTCAAGGGTTGCTTAGCAGCCGTCTCCTCCTCCGTCAAGCGTCGACGCTTCAAGCCTGACACAGGATCATAGCCTGGGGAATACCACAATTTCGAAAGCTGTGCTTGACTCTTGGGTGTCTTCAAGAAATGGTTGTTCGCGCAGGCCGCGTGCACTGCTGCGCCGTAGGGCACAATGGCCGCTGCACCCGTGGTGATCGCAGCTATGGAGCCAGCACAAAGTGCGTTGACATCCAGAAAGTCCTGGCCGAAAATATGATGCTGCAGCCCGTCTCAAGATCTTGAGGCAGTTGAAGGCAAAGAAGACAGAACAGAGCCAACATCACCAACAGTGTCTGTTATCATTTATCATTCAATAATTACAATAACTCAGTGTTTGTGCTTGGCATATAGGGTTTCCATGTCAGCATCTCTAGACAGAACAAGCTCAACAGTGCCTGATGAAGAGTGTTCCAGGATGCTCCAGGATTAAACAAAAACTTCAGAGAGGCAACGATAAACGAGAAGAAACTTTGGCAGCGGAAAAAGGCCGTGCTCAGTCCCATTCAGTCCTTACAGTGAACCACAATGAGATTGATGAAGGTAACAACCTCACCGATGTACGCCACAGCACCACCAATGTCAATGGTGCAAAGTGTCTCTGGGATGCCCTTGAACACGTTCAATGGTGAGCGGAAAGGTGCTCGCTTTGCACTTGTTCACATTCACGGCCTTGTTGATGGCAAGACCCATGTTTGCAATGTTGGCTGCCACCATGCCCACATCCACACCACACTGCACACCATTGCCGACAGCGCCTTCTCCAATCAGCAAACGTCGGCTGTCCCGGACGGTCTGATCTCCCAGGACACTGACCTTGGTGGTGGTCAGTTGTGGCGGAGTTCCGGAACAGGCCACACCCAAAGAAGCTCCAGCTGCAATCTCTCCCATGGCTGACACCAAGCCTGCGACACCAGCAGAGCAAATGGCATCCACGTTGAGGCTCAAGGCACAATCTGAAGCTGCCAAGGCCAGCTTGGCAGCAAGGTTGCCCACCCAAGCACCCAGGATGGCACCGTTTACCTGGCAAGCCAACTCAGACTCACCATCACGAGGTGCAGGGCAAGTGCGAATGATGGCATTGATGTCATCACCCATACCCACCACTGAGACAAATGCCTCCAAGATGTTGAAGGAGCATTCTGCCATTCCAGCAAGTTTGGCCTTTTGTCTTTGGCGGAATCCTTTCACCCTTCTGATGGTCATAAGAGTGTCCAATTTGCGGATGTGGTGCTTCTCCCAATGGTCCTGAACCTTGCGACCTGCCTTCACCATGGCCTTCAGCACAGTCTCATCAGCCAGAGTTTGGTTGTTCTTGGTTGCCTGGATCAGTTTTTCACTAGTGCTGCGGATGGCGGAACTAAGGTCCAAAGAAGACTTGCCTTGCAAAGCTCCAACATTGCTGCAGCTGCGGCTGAAGCCATTCGTTGACAAGGCGAAAATGCCAACACAAACGACCATCGCAGTTGCCAGTGCTACAGCCGTCTTCTTCAACGTGGACCGTTTCATTTGAAAAGAAACATCAGCCTCGAGCTCGCTGCCATCCTCCAGGTTCTCCACCTGCTTGAAGCCAAACATGCTGATCGTTAGATGGGAGAAGGGTGCTTCACAGCAGCTGCTAAGGGAGGTCGGGAGAGATTTGAGAGCACAAATGGCTTGTTGAAGTCAATTTTTTTCGGGGAGCATGCTCTTGGGTCGAAGGTCTTGTAGCATCAAGAGGGTATCCCAAGAGGATATGCAAGAAGTTCCAAGAACATATCTTACAGTAACTTTCCACACCCAACGCTACGCCAATAAGACAATTGAACTCAAAAATCCAGTGATCTGAGAAGACAATCACTTTGTTCAGTCACTGCAACTCAATTCTGCCACAAATCCATAAGAAAAAACAACTTTGGGTTTGATGCACATCATCACCTGCGATTGTCATGTTGTCACGGAAAAGACAAAACAACCGCCTCAAACTTGTCTGAACTGCATGTTCAATCAAATACCAATTGTTGTTGGCTAAACTACCGTGTTGATGAGCAAAACCTCGATTGCTCATAGTTTGACAGCCATTTAATTTAGGCTTGGTGAAGAATGGGTGGATTGATTCAATCCGAGACTGTTCATGTGCCAACAGCACAAACAACAACGCCCACAACAAAGCATGCTGTAATGTGTATGCGAATGTTTTTCCGCCCGTTCACTATGGACAGGAATGCGGATGTCACAGCTCTTTTTGGAGCTGCAAAGCCCACAATCTGCAGGGTATTGCCTGTACCATTCGACATGGATTGTCGTCAAGTCAGCTGAAGCAACCCAAGTAATTACACAGCCTACCCAAATCATTAATGATCCAGGTAGCTGTCATGTTGACCTAGCACCAACAGCTGCTATCAGCTGTTTAGCTGATAGAAAGTAAGTCCAAATGATTCAAGTAAATATATCCTATACATCCAAGTATACTCAAATTAATTGTGATTCGCGATGCGTCAGTTGGATTTCATCTTCTGACACTATCTGACCACACGATTTGAATAGGCCACACGTGGAAAAGCCGTCCTCACGGCTCTGAACGTGACCTAGCATTGCCAGGCGACACGCGCCTTGTCCTCTCCGCCCATGAGGTTCAAGAGAGTCTCCATGTCTGCCTCTGTGCTGCCCGGCTTGGGAACATCCGTCGCCTTCTTCAGCTCCTCCAAAGTCTCACGGTTCGCCGCGATCTGAGACAAGCTTTCCTTCAAGGGTTGCTTAGCAGCCGTCTCCTCCTCCGTCAAGCGTCGACGCAAGCCTGACACAGGATCATAGCCTGGGGAATACCACAATTTCGAAAGCTGTGCTTGACTCTTGGGTGTCTTCAAGAAATGGTTGTTCGCGCAGGCCGCGTGCACTGCTGCGCCGTAGGGCACAATGGCCGCTGCACCCGTGGTGATCGCAGCTATGGAGCCAGCACAAAGTGCGTTGACATCCAGAAAGTCCTGGCCGAAAATATGATGCTGCAGCCCGTCTCAAGATCTTGAGGCAGTTGAAGGCAAAGAAGACAGAACAGAGCCAACATCACCAACAGTGTCTGTTATCATTTATCATTCAATAATTACAATAACTCAGTGTTTGTGCTTGGCATATAGGGTTTCCATGTCAGCATCTCTAGACAGAACAAGCTCAACAGTGCCTGATGAAGTGTGTTCCAGGATGCTCCAGGATTAAACAAAAACTTCAGAGAGGCAACGATAAACGAGAAGAAACTTTGGCAGCGAAAAAAGGCAGTGCTCAGTCCCATTCAGTCCTTACAGTGAACCACAATGAGATTGATGAAGGTAACAACCTCACCGATGTACGCCACAGCACCACCAATGTCAATGGTGCAAAGTGTCTCTGGGATGCCCTTGAACACGTTCAATGGTGAGCGAAAGGTGCTCGCTTTGCACTTGTTCACATTCACGGCCTTGTTGATGGCAAGACCCATGTTTGCAATGTTGGCTGCCACCATGCCCACATCCACACCACACTGCACACCATTGCCGACAGCGCCTTCTCCAATCAGCAAACGTCGGCTGTCCCGGACGGTCTGATCTCCCAGGACACTGACCTTGGTGGTGCTCAGTTGTGGCGGAGTTCCGGAACAGGCCACACCCAAAGAAGCTCCAGCTGCAATCTCTCCCATGGCTGACACCAAGCCTGCGACACCAGCAGAGCAAATGGCATCCACGTTGAGGCTCAAGGCACAATCTGAAGCTGCCAAGGCCAGCTTGGCAGCAAGGTTGCCCACCCAAGCACCCAGGATGGCACCGTTTACCTGGCAAGCCAACTCAGACTCACCATCACGAGGTGCAGGGCAAGTGCGAATGATGGCATTGATGTCATCACCCATACCCACCACTGAGACAAATGCCTCCAAGATGTTGAAGGAGCATTCTGCCATTCCAGCAAGTTTGGCCTTTTGTCTTTGGCGGAATCCTTTCACCCTTCTGATGGTCATAAGAGTGTCCAATTTGCGGATGTGGTGCTTCTCCCAATGGTCCTGAACCTTGCGACCTGCCTTCACCATGGCCTTCAGCACAGTCTCATCAGCCAGAGTTTGGTTGTTCTTGGTTGCCTGGATCAGTTTTTCACTAGTGCTGCGGATGGCGGAACTAAGGTCCAAAGAAGACTTGCCTTGCAAAGCTCCAACATTGCTGCAGCTGCGGCTGAAGCCATTCGTTGACAAGGCGAAAATGCCAACACAAACGACCATCGCAGTTGCCAGTGCTACAGCCGTCTTCTTCAACGTGGACCGTTTCATTTGAATAGAAACATCAGCCTCAAGCTCGCTGCCATCCTCCAGGTTCTCCACCTGCTTGAAGCCAGACATGCTGATCGTTAGATGGGAGAAGGGCGCTTCACAGCAGCTGGTAAGGGAGGTCGGGAGAGATTTGAGAGCACAAATGGCTTGTTCAAGTCAAATTGTTTCGAGATTTTCGAGGAGCATGCTCTTGGGTCGAAGGTCGGGTAGCATCAAGAGGGTATCCCAAGAGGATATGCAAGAAGTTCCAAGAACATATCTTACAGTAACTTTCCACACCCAACGCTACCCAATAAGACAATTGAACTCAAAAATCCAGTGATGAGAAGACAATCACTTTGTTCAGTCCTTGCAACTCAATTCTGCCACAAAACCATAAGAAAAAACAACTTTGGGTTTGATGCACATCATCACCTGCGATTGTCATGCTGTCACGGAAAAGACAAAACAACAACCTCAAACTTGTCTGAACTGCATGCTCAATCAAATCCCAATTGTTTTGTTGGCTAAACTACCGTGTTGATGGGCAAAAAAAACATTGCTGATAGTTTGACAGCCATTTAATTTAGGCTTGGTGAAGAATGGGTGGATTGATTCAATCCGAGACTGTTCATGTGCCAACAGCACAAACAACAACGCCCATAACAAAACATGCCGTAATGTGTATGCGAATGTTTTTCCGCCCGTTCACTATGGACAGGAATGTGGATGTCGCAGCTCTTTTTGGAGCTGCAAAGGCCACAATCTGCAGGGTATTGCCTGTACCATTCGACATGGATTGTCGTCAAGTCAGCTGAAGCAACCCCAGTAATTACACAGCCTACCCGAATCCTTCATGATTCAGGTAGTTAGGTCATGTTGACCTAGCACCAACAGTTGTTATCAGCTGTTGAGCTGATAGAAACTAAGTCAAAATAAATCAAGTAAATATATCCTATACATCCAAGTATACTCAAATTAATTGTGATTCGCGATGCGTCAGTTGGATTTCATCTTCTGACACTATCTGACCACACGATTTGAATAGGCCACACATAGAAAAGCCGTCCTCACGGCTCTGAACGTGACCTAGCATTCAAATGGCCAGGCGGCACGCGCCTTGTCCTCTCCGCCCATGAGGTTCAAGAGAGTCTCCATGTCTGCCTCTGTGCTGCCCGGCTTGGGAACATCCGTCGCCTTCTTCAGCTCCTCCAAAGTCTCACGGTTCGCCGCGATCTGAGACAAGCTTTCCTTCAAGGGTTGCTTAGCAGCCGTCTCCTCCTCCGTCAAGCGTCGACGCAAGCCTGACACAGGATCATAGCCTGGGGAATACCACAATTTCGAAAGCTGTGCTTGACTCTTGGGTGTCTTCAAGAAATGGTTGTTCGCGCAGGCCGCGTGCACTGCTGCGCCGTAGGGCACAATGGCCGCTGCACCCGTGGTGATCGCAGCTATGGAGCCAGCACAAAGTGCGTTGACATCCAGAAAGTCCTGGCCGAAAATACGATGCTGCACCCCGTCTCAAGATCTTGAGACAGTTGAAGGCAAAGAAGACAGAACAGAGCCAACATCACCAACAGTGTCTGTTATCATTTATCATTCAATAGTTACAATAACTCAGTGTTTGTGCTTGGCATATAGGGTTTCCATGTCAGCATCTCTAGACAGAACAAGCTCAACAGTGCCTGATGAAGAGTGTTCCAGGATGCTCCAGGATTAAACAAAAACTTCAGAGAGGCAACGATAAACGAGAAGAAACTTTGGCAGCGGAAAAAGGCCGTGCTCAGTCCCATTCAGTCCTTACAGTGAACCACAATGAGATTGATGAAGGTAACAACCTCACCGATGTACGCCACAGCACCACCAATGTCAATGGTGCAAAGTGTCTCTGGGATGCCCTTGAACACGTTCAATGGTGAGCGAAAGGTGCTCGCTTTGCACTTGTTCACATTCACGGCCTTGTTGATGGCAAGACCCATGTTTGCAATGTTGGCTGCCACCATGCCCACATCCACACCACACTGCACACCATTGCCGACAGCGCCTTCTCCAATCAGCAAACGTCGGCTGTCCCGGACGGTCTGATCTCCCAGGACACTGACCTTGGTGGTGCTCAGTTGTGGCGGAGTTCCGGAACAGGCCACACCCAAAGAAGCTCCAGCTGCAATCTCTCCCATGGCTGACACCAAGCCTGCGACACCAGCAGAGCAAATGGCATCCACGTTGAGGCTCAAGGCACAATCTGAAGCTGCCAAGGCCAGCTTGGCAGCAAGGTTGCCCACCCAAGCACCCAGGATGGCACCGTTTACCTGGCAAGCCAACTCAGACTCACCATCACGAGGTGCAGGGCAAGTGCGAATGATGGCATTGATGTCATCACCCATACCCACCACTGAGACAAATGCCTCCAAGATGTTGAAGGAGCATTCTGCCATTCCAGCAAGTTTGGCCTTTTGTCTTTGGCGGAATCCTTTCACCCTTCTGATGGTCATAAGAGTGTCCAATTTACGGATGTGGTGCTTCTCCCAATGGTCCTGAACCTTGCGACCTGCCTTCACCATGGCCTTCAGCACAGTCTCATCAGCCAGAGTTTGGTTGTTCTTGGTTGCCTGGATCAGTTTTTCACTAGTGCTGCGGATGGCGGAACTAAGGTCCAAAGAAGACTTGCCTTGCAAAGCTCCAACATTGCTGCAGCTGCGGCTGAAGCCATTCGTTGACAAGGCGAAAATGCCAACACAAACGACCATCGCAGTTGCCAGTGCTACAGCCGTCTTCTTCAACGTGGACCGTTTCATTTGAATAGAAACATCAGCCTCAAGCTCGCTGCCATCCTCCAGGTTCTCCACCTGCTTGAAGCCAAACATGCTGATCGCTAGATGGGAGAAGGCTGCTTCACAGCAGCTGGTAAGGGAGGTCGGGAGAGATTTGAGAGCACAAATGGCTTGTTGAAGTCAAAGTTTGGCTGGTTGGTCAGCAGCTGCCATGATGTTTGGCAACTCATAAGGATAGAAGACTTCCACTACGAGTACATCAGGGAACCTCTTTGAGAGGGCTACAACTTGCACTACTTTGGGACCTGGGCCCCTTTGCACTATGTCAAGTCTTTGAAGACGCATTTTTTGGTACATCACCCAACTATCGGAGAGATCATGTTCACCAAACCAATTTATGGGCATTCAAGAATAGGCATATTTTAAGCTAAATAGACGTTTCGTTTTTTCACCATTTTTTTGGACAAACCGATATTTTGGTTCAAAACAACTTCCACAACTTGCCATGACAAGCATGCAAACGCATACGCGCACACACTGGAGATTTAAGTAGCCTCCACCCCACCTTCCTCACCATCACGACCGACTTGGCCCAGGGGCGCGAAGCAGCTACACCTGCACAGCAATATCATCTCTGCCCATTTTTGAGAATCTATGCATCAACTACCACGCAGCTATCATGGTTTTTGATGGTTCTTGTGGCTCCTGCTGCAGCATCCTCCAACAGAAAAAAGGTTGAAAGCTCATGTTGCAACCAAAAACCGTCAATGGATTGGTTCTATAAGTTCTATACTTAATGTTTAAAGGGAAACTCTGAACCAGAAACTGGATGGTTTGTAGCACCAAACATCGGACCAGATTTTCCCCTCCTGGTGTTCCACGGCAGCTGCGGATGAGGTCCAGGTCTAGCCACCAGGTCGTGAAGGGGTGATGGTTAACACCTCGCCATGAATCAACCAACCAATGGGAGGTATAACATGGTATAACCCTCTATCATCAACCAGAAGTTGGAGATATTCACCAAATGAAAGATTCTATGGCCATATTTGGTATCATGTATCGATATTAATCGCTGGTAATTTGAACGGATGCATCGCCAGCAATACAAAAATTGGACGCTGGCCAACGGGCCAACATTCGAAGGATGAATGATACGGGTTTGTCTCAAAAAATGGCTATGTCATACGTCCCCAAAGTGTCCCGAAATGGCCATTCCAGTTCCACTACGGACAATGATTTTCTAAAACATGGGATTTTGAAGGCTTCCAAATTTTGAGACAACCCCACATTCCAAACTGTTGACACAGATGTTTTCTAGGCCCGGATCGTGTCCCCAAGGCTTGAGATATGCTTGCATCCAAGCTGGTGCAGGATCTAGGCCAATATGTGCTTTGTGCAATTTGTGCATCTTTGTGCTAGTTCTCATTTTTGGGGCACCTACTTGGCAATCTAAGGAACCGACTGTCCGGTCATGCGGGGTGGTAGTCAATGCATCATAGGTATTCATAGGTAAATTCACTGAGAGGGACGTGCGCTAGCTTAGATGAAAAGGTTTGCCTAAACCTTTGCTGCATTTCACCTCCTTTTAGGTGGCGGAAATCACCAATGCTTCCAGAATTGTAGACTCTTAAGATGCCTCAGAATTCCGGCAATGATGGATTCGGAGGTTCATGGAGATCATATCAATTTACACATCGTTTTCCAACTAATGTTTTATTGGTTACGACATGACGACAGAACATTGGATACTCGATATCTGCTATTACTCAAATACTCAGCAGCAGGGTCTCCACATGTTTGCTGCAGGGCTTCCTGGTTGAAGTCGTCGGCGGAGATGGCCTTTTCGTCAGCTGGGTGGCTCAGGGCCAGGAGGCAAAGGCTCCAAGTTCAAGCCAGACATTGCCTGGGAAGGGAAGAGGGAAACATATGGATACATATGGTAGGAGTATGGCATGAAAACATATGAAAACACACACCCCTGGGTCTCAAAACCCCCAAACATTTCCAAACATGGCAATATTCAGCGAGGCAATGATGAGTAACAAGTGGATATGAGGTGCCCCCATGTTCAAACAAACCCATATTAAACCCTACAAAAACAGTGATGATGTCAGAATCTTTGCTCTGACATTTGGTCAATGAACCCAAAAGTATCCAAGAGTATTGTGAATCCTGGAACCTAGTTTGTGGAAACTCTGGGTAAAAGCAGGTACGTGAGACTTGCATCTGTGCAAGTTGCCGCCCCAGCTTCATCACACGGCCAATCAGTGCCCCAATAACGCAGTAAATCTACATTTTTTCAAGCCAACATGTCGTTCAATACGGTAAACACCAACGAATAATTCACACCCCCAATACATATCCCCATCGTATCAACCTTCGAAATCCGGTAGGCAGCCGGCCTCCTCCGCCCAAAGGATGCTTTCATCCTGGGCAAAAAAATGCTGCAACCGGTCAGGGTCCCCACCTGAAAGGTAGCACAGCTATGATCTCAAGAATCTCAAGTGTACAGTGTACCCCCCCGGGAAGCTGGATGACGTCATCCTAAAGTCCTAAAATGACAAACAATCTGTTTCCATCTGTTTCCCAATGTGGGATCCACAATGCCATAAACATCATAAACCATGCCCAATTAGCATATTCTCGGATGATGATTGAATTGACCCCAATTCCTCCAATCCTTCGGCCAAAGCCAGGTCCTTCACTGGCACATCGTCTTCCTCAATGGTGGGCCGCACATGAAAGGCCTAGCTCTGGCCACGCCCGTCGGCTGTTGGTGGTGGATTGGGGGCGGTGCTGTTGTACTGCCATTCGTGTCAAGAGATCAACGTCACAAAAGCTGATGAAATAAAAACAACGATTTGTCGCGGTTTTGTCTGCCCCGTTGGACTTTACCACTGTCATATTGGATATGAGTCCAGAGTGAGGTTCCAAACAATAAGACAGTTGGTCCGATTTCTTCACGGTGATGGGTCCCAAAGTCTGTAAAAATCTCTAAAATATTGACCCATACCCCATAGTTCTTTACATTAGTCCTTTACATTCTACATGTAGCAGTAGTGGCACGGAGAGATCCACTTATCAGAAATCACCAACAGGGCTGGAGCTGGCGCCTCGCCATAGTGGTTGGCACGAAAGAAGTTCATGGGCACATCATCCAAAAAGAACCTGGGTGATACAACAAAGGCCGGGGGTCGAAATTCGTAGCCACCAGGTCTGTCAACAGGTGGAAAAACAAACAGCCAACATCCCATGTTTACAAATTCATCACCAGAAGGTACAGGGGAAAAACACAAACTGATTCCACCTGAGATCAACATATCAGTCCACTTGAATGAAGAAAACATAAGAAAACCATCCTCTCGACACGGCCAGTTAGCGGCACTACCACAACAAAAAAAGAAAACTGCCATCAAATGGGTGTTCAATCGACGCTATTTGTTTCATTCACATGTGCCTGCGCACCCAAGACTGGCGAAAGCTTTGCGGGCATTCGTCATTTCATCCTGATACTGTACGCTGCAACTTATATATCTTACATCCCTCAATGACCTAATGAACCCATTCATGCTTCATGTTGTTCCCAGCTCCCTGTATTGGCTATGGGATGGTTTGTTGGTCATAGGTCAAGTTATCAGACCCCAAAAATAATCCCCAAATGGTTTGTTGGTCCATTGGTATCCCCACCACCAGGCTTGGGGAAGCTACGTGCCGGCGGAGGGTCGCGCATAATGGGCGGAAACCAGGTCACCCACCTGTCGGTGAGGCACACATTCTATGTCCTGAAGTCATTCAAAGACCTCTGTGAGTTTTCCAATGAACCTCTAAAACGGGGCTGCCTAATTTTTTAAAGATTGTCCAGAATTCCATGTGTCCACGCTGTGTCGTCTTTCATGTTTGTTTCATCACGTTTCATATATTAGATGATCTATATAGATGTCAATATTAAATCTATAGTTAATAAATGTTAATAATCTAGGAGGATCCAATATGGTTCAGTGTTGGAAAAGTCTCCATTCGGAACGTCCCATCCAGCTACCCGACCCGATCAGGAACCACCAATGGCGAACCGAAACGGTTCAGAAAGCCAGCAACCTGAGTTGGAGAACCGGGGTCAACGATCAACCTAAGGGGAACACGCTATGCCGCTATGGCATGGAAGATGCTTGGAGCATTGGAGATTCAAACTGTCGCTTCATATACTGAAGATGAAGATCTGCAAACAATTTGTCCACAGATTCCACGTCCATCTCCAAAGAGAAGGTACATCTACTCCAAGCTGGATGATATGGGATGTCCCAATGGTCTGAAGTGTCGACAGCCCTGAGTTTCTGGCTGGGCTTCCCCAGTTCCGCAGTTGGAGGGGCTTCTGGCCAAACGCTTGGGAGCGAAGCCACCATGGGGGAAAGGGGTGGATCCAAATCACTACAGAAACCATTCAATCAAAAGGGCACATATGGTCCGTCAAGAAGGCAACTAAAAACAACAACCTAACAACGTATCAAACAATGACATATCCGGATATCTGCGTCAACTTTCTTCTGGAAATCAAAGAAGACTAGATGGGCTGATGAGGGATGACTTAGTCTTAGTGCGCTCACTTTTCTACATGCATACATTCGCTGTCACTGAAATCGCTTGACCCCAGCCACCGTGAGATTTTGGCGCCCCTACCGAGGCACGATATACGTAGCGACCGAAGAGGTATGGGGAGGGACCTGCAAATGCGCTATCGATGTGATCAGGAATCCCATCTACATCTCAACAGCACCATCGTCCAGGCTTGGGATTCAGAGCGACACTCTTTCTCCAAGCAGATTTTCATATTTTCATAGATGTTCCTACGATTTTCTGATTCTGTTTGCCTCCATTATCTGAAACTTTTGTGCAGAGTCACAGCCTTCCCCACGGCACTGGATCCGCAGCTTCCCATCTTGGGTTTCCAACGTGCCGGGCCGCGCGGAATGGGATCCGCAGAGCGGGTGAAATAGATGGCCGTGACCTGAGGGCCCACTGGAGCTGATTGGCTTGTCCGGTTACCACCTGTACCCAACGTATAAACAAACGCAATGTGGGATCCACAATACCAAGACCCCCCCTATCAAACAGAGGTGGTTCTTGCAAATCATCCGCAGTTGGTGGGGTTATACACAACTTCGTTAAGCACCAATATGTTGGTGATTGCCTATGGCTTGTTGATCCCCCATTGCTGAGGATATCACATCTCCATCACCAGCTGAGCTTCCCTGACATCTAAAGCTGCCAGGCCTTTCTCTCTGAGAGGTCTCAAGAAACCTCTCAAGGATGCGGAGGGGCGATAGCGTAGTAAACTTAAACCGAATGATAAATGGATTGTATCAACCTTCAATAGTGAGGGCATAGCATGATACGACTCGATAAAACCCCTAAATGATGATTGCATTACTTGCTGGAAACGTGGCAAACCCGAAACCAGAAACTATGGAAGTCGGATTTATATTAGATTTATGAACAATCACTTCATTTCTGCGCTTATCACACTACGTCTGAGCGATATCATCTTGGCTGATAGGAATAGGATCCCACCGAAACACCGTTCTTTTCGCAGCAGGGATCTACTGCGAGAGGTACGGTATGGGTCAAACGTCAGTCCCAAAGCAAACAAGACCTATCAATCGCTGGGGTGAGGATGGATGGGGTATATACATTTTTGAATTCTGACCCATGCACGTTTGCAAGCCACGCATACCACGCTTGCCCATTATCCCATTCTTGCAGATTGTAATGTCAAGTTAGGATTAATAATCCCCGCGGTATTAATCAACCCCCTTTGCCCATGTTTTTTTTGTAATTTAAAAAAGGTGGTCCCCCAGGATTAATAAACCCCCCCGATTAAAAAACCACCAGTGCTGAAATCAATTTTTTATCCAACAATTTTTATTTCCAATTCTATTTATTTCCAATTTGTTTTTACCATTTTTTAAATCATCATTGTTATACTTAAGGTTTAAGTTGATCATTGAAAAATTCAAAAAATTACTATTCCCCAAATGATCGATTTCTAATTTAAAATCTTTATAAAAATCATCAGTTTGGATAGCTCCCAAAGGGTACCCCCCATGAGCCCATGTCCCCCATTAATAATAACCATGGTTTGCCCCCGATTAATCAACCACCTTTCTGATCCATGAGATTTTAACAAATCCAATGGAATTCTATTAAGATCTAATTGACGTAAGCCATATCCAAAGTTTTATGGTTCAGAGTTGCTTCTTATTAAGGGGGATCAAGAAAATGAGCTACAAGGTAGAGTTCTGACCTTCTGGGAGGGGGGGAGGGTTGATTAATCCGATGTTGGCATTATCCCCATCGATACTGGTGACATGCCCTAAAAAATGATGGTTTTTCTCCACTGGAAACCTTGTATCCCCAGTGGCATACAGTGGCTATCTCTGCAGGGGCACCTGGCCTAACACCTCTTCCACATGCCGCAAGCCGCGCTCATTGGAAAGATATTCGTCCGGGGAATGTAGAAAGGAGACCTCACGAAGCGGTGCTTCCTTTTGTGACGGGCGCTGTAACTCCAATCAACATTTGGGATACTTCACCAACAACAGCCTAGTGTCTTTGTTTTGCCGGTTGTTTGGATATTGTTCCTTCTATCATCGACAGCATCAGCCACTCATCCCCAATTTGTATCCACTTGGTGTGTTGATCAGTGAAGGGCTTGGAGCACTCCAAAATCAGGATTGAAAGTTCAACAAAATACTCCAAACCACCAACCACTCTGGTACACTGGTACAGTATTCATCAGTATTCGTGATACACGGTGTAGAAAAAACATGGTGCCTCAGGGAACCACCCACAACTAGTTTCATGAGCCCACATGACATAATTTTCACCTCAATTTAGATGTGCAACAACATCCTGCTTTTCTCCCAACCCCTGATTTGAAGCATTCTCCATGCAACCCTCAAAGGAACCGAGTTTTCTCCTGAGGTCCTAGCCCATTCTGCTAAGCCACGTTGCATAAAGAGGCAATGAGAGGCAGCCTGCACAGCAATTGATGGAGGTGGAGCCTCAAATGTTCGAACCGAAGACCAACAAACCTGTGATGGAAAAACCTTCCATGCAAATCAACCTGATTACATTCACAAACTTGTAACAGGTAGGTTTGATGATCCTACAAGATAAATCCAACACTTAAACACATTTTAAGATTTCGTTACACTGGAGGCAATGGCAGGGTCAGGCCAAATTGGGAGTTTGTCCAAGCTTACGCAAGTTTTCGAGGCCTGTCAGTACCTACCGGCAACAAAACAAGAGATGATTCACAGTCAATGTTCTGTTCTGTGCAATGTAAGAATACGCTATTGCAACATGTATGTCAGAATTCTTGACTCGATAAAGGTAACAACCTGTGGTTCGCTCGATAAAAAGAAAAAAACACATCTCTGCCACAACCCTCTGGTCGCATATCAAAGCTATGAAAGATCACCCTGTTTCAAACATAAATCATCTATAAATGGGCCACGTTCATGCATTTTGCATATCATTGCATATCTATGTTGAGTTCCCGGAGGGTACGTAGGTTTTCCTGTGAATGGGGAAGAGGACACGCCACCAAGAAGCTCTGTCAGGTACGGAAAAAATATCCCCAACAGTGAAAATCGGAGGTACATGCCTGTGCATCTGGTGCCGCCTAGCAGTGGCCCAATGAAATGCACATCAAATAGCAAGTCAGACCCAATCAATTGAAGTTCAGGGCACATGTGGCATGTCAAGCCGCGGAATCCTGCACTCTGCTTGCTGGCATTGCAATTTCCATGACCTAGATTGAGGGAATATGGATCAGATATCAATCTAAAATGTGCCACCAGCTTTGAAGAAAAGTCCATGTTTAGGCCATGTTGAGCCCATGTCTTTTGATTGAAACCTTGGAGGGACATTGGAGGGGCTCAGCAGGGGATGCTCCAATGTGTACGAAAAACTGAGGGATCAGAGACATGACCTGCCAATCTTAGGCCCCGGACAGCAGATGGCAAACCAAGCTTCGCGTGGACTGCATCGTGCTGCCTTGGGTTCCAAGCTTCGCTAGGGACACACTGGGATCAGATAGGACAGGCATATCATTAGTAGTTTACGGACGTTGACCTATAAAAACCACTCGGTGCCGCAAAAAAAATCTTGCATTTTGAATCATGTTACCAGTGTCTAGATCCTGGCGCACGATTTTCCTGACCGGGCAACTGTCTGTCTTGTGAATCCAATTCTTCTTCCCAGCCGTGGTTTCCCTTGGCAAGTAGTGCCGTCACAAAAAAGGGTCATGATCTAAAATTAAAATTAAAACTGACCCTGGCTCACAGCCGGAGACATCAAAGCTGCTACGAGTAGGAATCGATTTCAGCATCTGCACAGACTATGCAGCGCCCCTTCCGGGTCAAATTCCTGCGCTTGTTGCAGAAACACATCCAGTAACTACAATAGTAGGGGGACCCCGTGTTCCAAGATCCCTTTGAGATCTGACAATGGTCAGTCGGCTTTGACAACTTGTGCGCCCGCAATCAGGGACGAAAAGGCACATGAATCGGAGCTCTTCTAGGAGCCAAGCCTGGCTGCGTCTTGGGTCAAAGAAAGCAGAATCTGCCACATCAAGTTCAACGCCCCAGCTTCGCCTCAGAATGTTTATAAGATTTTGTAAGCATTTTGCATCAAAATGCACTGCAACACTTCCGGTCTATTGTTACTGTAAGATGCAATGGGGAGATGCAAGTGTGCAAACTCTTCAATTCTGTCAGTGAGTAGAAATATATACTGAGAATGTTCTTGTCCTAAAACATCCTAAAACCATTCTGATAACTATTTCTATGATGCTATCATCTATATATATATAATATATATATATATCATATAGCTTCATTACATCCAATCACATCCTCAATGTGTAAACATGTCTTGAACCAAACTTTGTGGCGGGCCCTCCCACCTCCGCTTTCTGAAAATCTGCATCATTCTTGTCTTGACACGTTGCACCTTGGACTCAACACTTGTGGTCATAGCTGTAGCATGATGTAGCCAGATTTCTGTCCAACCGTAACCAAAACATGTCAAATGAAGTGCCAAAGCGTTCTCTATGACGCGCACAGTCGCACACTGAGAATTTGGATGTCCATTTCCGCTGCTCTGTCTCTGAGCAGGTGTGGTTTGCGGTGCGGTAAGCGCGCAACACGTCAGAAAGTCTGATGTCCCTACGGCTAGCGGCGAGCAGGATGCAACATGACCGCAGTCGATATAATTTCGATTAATTTTGACATGTTTTCTTGCTTTTGATTGCCACACAAATGGTTTGCTGGCATTTCCTGGAGCAAACATCCTACAGTAGAGTTAGGCAGGAACTTTCCCAAGGAAGGGCCAATAAAATTGTCCAGGAGTGCAAGAGTACCAAACTCATCTAAATTCAAGACCGCTTGAAACTTGCCCTTCTTAATCCGTTTGGAACCAGATTGTTTTGTCAAAAAGGCTCAATGGCCTGCCAAGTAGCACTTTCTGGTTTGAAAGATTCACACGGCGCGCTTGTGTATGATTGGGGCTGGCAAACAGCCATCAGAAACCAGAATCCGTTGCCTTCTTGCAGGAGTTCATTCATGATGTTGTCCGCGGCATTGCCAAATTGTTTGTCATATCATATGCAGCAAAAAGGAAATCTGAATTTGCCCAGACAAGTTTCCAATGTTTTTGGAGGTGGCTCTAAATGGCTTGACGTAAACAAAAAAAGTAGGACTTAGGAAGCTGCATGGAGATCGATAGTAGGCAAACACATGACTCAGTCCTGAGCCCCCAACAACGCCTCCCTGGAATGGAAGCTGCGCCAGGCCATGCAAAGCTGTTTCTGCACGATTTGCATATGGATGGCGGTGCTGCACAAAGAAAAAGTAGGACTTAGGAAGCTGCATGGAGATCGATAGTAGGCAAACACATGACTCAGTCCTGAGCCCCCAACAACGCCTCCCTGGAATGGAAGCTGCGCCAGGCCATGCAAAGCTGTTTCTGCACGATTTGCATATGGATGGCGGTGCTGCACAAAGATGTTCAAAGCACGCTCCACACACTCCTTTGCCCGGGAACAGTCGCCCGTATCTTGATAGGCAAGGCCGAGGTTGTACAGAGTAACTGCTACTTCAGGATGTTCTTTCCCGTAGTGCTGCTCATTGATGTTCAGCGCGCGCTCGAGCAGGTCCTTCTGTTGGCTGTATTCGCCTAAGCTTCCATGAGCATTGCCCAAATTGATCAAAGTAACTGCTACTTCAGGATGTTCTTTCCCGTAGTGCCATTGATGTTCAGCACGCGCTCAAGCAGGTCCTTCTTCAGCCTGTAGTTGCTCAAGCTTCCGTGCGCGTTGCCCAGATTTGTCAAAGTAACTGCTACTCTGGGATGTTCTTTCCCGTAGTGTTGCTCCAGGACATTCAACGCACGCTCAAGCAGGTCCTTCTGGTGCCCGTAGTCGCCCAAGCTTCCATGAAAATTGCTCAAATTTGTCAAAGTATCTGCTACTTCGGGATGTTCTTTCCCTAAGTGCTGCTCTCTGATTTTCAGAGCACGCTCGAGCAGTTCCTTCTGTTGCCCATAGTCCCCCAAGACTCCATGCACATTGCCCAAATTTGTCAAAGGAATTGCTACAAAGGGATGTTCTTTCCCATAGTGCTGCTCCGTGACCTTCAATGCACGCTCCAGCATGTCCTTCATCAGCCTGTAGTCGCCCAATCTTCCATGCGCATTGCCCAAATTTGTTAAAGCAATTGCTACTTCAAGATGTTCTTTCCCGTAGTGCTGCTCCTTGATCTTCAGCGCGCGCTCGAGCAGGTCCTTCTTCAGCCTGTAGTCGCCCATGATTCCATGAGCATTGCCCAAATTGATCAAAGTAACTGCGACTTCAGGATGTTCTTTCCCGTAGTGCTGCTCGTTGATTTTCAGCGCACGCTCGAGCAGGTCCTTCTTCAGCCTGTAGTGGCCTAAGCTTCCATGCGCATTGCCCAAACTTGTCAAAATAATGGCTACCTCAGGATGTTCTTTCCCGTACTGCTGCTCTTTGATCTTCAGCGCGCGCTCGAGCAGGTCCTTCTTCAGCCCGTAGTCGCCCACGATTCCAGAAGCATTGCCCAAATTTGTCAAAGTAACTGCGACTTCAGGATGTTCTTTCCCGTAGTGCTGCTCCTTGATTTTCAGAGCACGCTCGAGCAGGTCCTTCTGTTGGCTGTATTCGCCTAAGCTTCCATGCGCACTTGCCAAATTGGTCAAAGTAACTGCTACTGAGGGATGTTCTTTCCCGTAGTGCCGCTCCTTGATTTTCAAAGCACGCTCGAGCAGGTCCTTCTGTTGGCTGTATTCACCTAATTTTCCATGGGCATTGCTCAAATGTGTTAGAAGGGTTGCTACTGCGGGCCCTTGGGGTATCGTCCTCTCCATTGTCTCCAACAAATCCTTTCCAAGGTTTTTGGCCCTGGCTGCAAAGCCGGTCTGGAGGTAGACTAGAAGCAGTTCATGTGCACTAGCCATCGCCTTTGCACTGTTCTCTGCGAATGATTTTTTGGCAAAGCTGTAAGCCAATTGTCGAAAAGGCAGCTCGCACCACGCCTGGTGTTCCTGTTCCTCTGCAGTCTCTGCCATCTTCTCGAGTCGCATCAAGGTGCCTGAGGTTGCATCCTTGGAGGGATCTTCTGCATCCAGGTTGGCTGGAAACATGTGATTCAAAGCCTCTCGGAAGGGTTGCCTGCATAGCTCCGCATCATCCATCAGCTCCTCCCATTTGACGATTCTACCAGGAGACGCGTCACCACCAGGCACATAGACGTGCACAAGCTCGGGCTTTCGCACGTAGCCAAACTCCCACCGGCAGGCTTTGGACCTGAAAAACTCAATGAACAGCATCAAACAAATCACATTCAAATCCTGTCACATCATCACATCCCCCAATATTCCCTAGTCACGCAAATTGGCACAGAAAACAGCTCGCCAACTCATCTCAGGAGCTTCAAATAAGAATCGGTTAGCTGCAAAATGAGGAGTCCATGTCTCGTTCTTTCCGCGGCCTTTTTGTAATGCTTGAACCATGGAGGATATTCTCCAGGCTGCCTGGGCTGATCTAAATCAGCAAAAATGGGGTTCCAGCGCTTCATATCTTGCCCTTCGTTGATGTGCAGCCCCATCCCAAGTGACTTGTCGGTGCAGAAGGTCACAGGTCCTCATGCACTCAGACAACACTTCGTGGCATGTGGAAGTGAAAACTGTGTTCAAAACCCACTATCAAGTTTTACGGCAAGAGGCGAAGACTCCCATCATAGTAGACTCCCGTCTTGAGTTCCTGGAGGATCCGATTGTTTTCATCTCTGTCCGGGCTCGCAAAGGAGATCAGAAAGTCTGCATCTGCTGCTATTTTCTCACCTTCAGGTTCTCCCCGCGCGTTGTAGCCGACACACATCCACTTCCGCTGCCGTCGCAGCTTGATCTGTGCTTCAGCGTCATGCATCGTCAACGCATCTGCCACGCTTGCATCGTCTGCAGCATCTTCGCCTGTGAAATAATGTTTATTGGTATAACATGGTATAACCACCCCATGACAACTAGTGTTGTTATAGAGGTTCGCAGCTCATGGATTATGATAATCACCAAATATCACCAATAGTCCCCCAAATATCCACCAATATCAACGCTACATATCGGTACACAATGTAGATCATAGTATTACCATGTATTACCCCCATGGCCCATAGCAATATATAACATTCTTCCAACGCGTTGTTGGTATTTTGGGGCTTGCTCACCTGCGATTTGTTTGCCGATGCTCCGGTTGTTGTACGCTTCCGCGAAGTTCTCGTCCAGCTTGATGGCTCGGGAGAACTCCTCGATGGCCTCCTGGCAGCGTCCCTGGCAGAGCAGCTCCCAGCCGTGCCGAGTCAAGGCTGTTGCATCTGCGAGTGTCACCTGGCCGAAACCCATTGAAAGAGATCTGTTATGGATATGATGGGGGTTATTATGATTCTACCTAAAATTAGTGTAAAGTTGATATTATATGATATTATGATATACCTTTTGGTCCATCTAATCACACACCTTTTGTCTAGAGCACTCTCTGCAAGATCTGAAAGAAGAACAACTGGAAGACCGCAACAGAAAAGGGATCGACCATATATAACCCCCAAGAACATACTTGATTTGCTCCACCATCCACCACCCCGGTTGGTATAGGGTTTGCCTGCGCTGACGACATCTCCACCAACCACCTGACATTCGCGAAGAATGGGTGAACGTCTTTAGTTCGAAGCTGGGTGCATCAATAGAATGTCAAACATATATCTTAATTATACAGTAACTTTCACGATCAAAACGGGTTTTTGTCCACACGGGAACAAACATGTGGAGGTTTGCATCAGCCCAGAACCAATATATAATATATAATCATGGGCCGTGTCTGGGACAAATATGTCAAACGAAGATCCAGTTTGGATCAGTTTGGATATGATATATATATATAATACATATATATATATAATGTTCATCCAGATCCGGCCAGGCTTCTCAGTCTCCATGCCTCAAAGTCAGTTGCGTGTTGCCAACATGCGGCACACACACAAGGCCAGCTACACTAACTACGCATCAAGAGCTGGGCCCCAAACACCTTTGCGACGACAGGGGTGCTGTACTAGTGTTTCGGCAAGTCTGGTCCGCTGTATGTAAAAGCTGTATTGGTAACCACGAACCAGCAGTCAACACTCTTAATGAGAAGCATCTCGCATGCGACTGGTAAAACGTAACCCCGATGTGGTTTTGGCGCTGATGCATTCAAACCTTACTTCCATTCCATAGGTGGAACGTATGAATACACTTGCCTTGATATGGTGGCAATGGCTGCAGTGATGTTCCAAAATGTTCCAAACCAGCATCGCGATGGTGTGATTAATTAGCAGAACATGGAAGGTCTAAGTGTTTTCACCAAGCTCCAAGTATCCTAGGCCACAAGAATCTGCTTGCCACTTGGGACACCTAATCATCATTCATCTCAAAACTCTGGCCAAAATCAGCCAAAATCCGCAGGTCAAAAAACTCTCGCCATCCATTCCCGGGGCTCCCTGGCTCTGATAAGGCGAAGTAACTGAAGCGTGGGAAGTAGGTGACCTCAATGATGGACGTGATGAACTGCAACATACCAAGGTCAATGCTGGTGAAATCATGCACCATTGTGAATCATGAAAACTAATGATCATATTATGAAAATCATCAAGAGTCTGGTGAAGTGGGTCCCCGTTCATCCATTGTATCCATTTGTTTTCATCGTCTTGTCATCAACTCAAGGGCCCCCGAAAACTGAGCATAGTGGAGACAAAGAATGCAATGCCATGTTGCCATATTCATGCACAAATGAGACCCTCTGGTAAATGTTTACATAACTATGGAAAATCACCATATTTAATGGGAAAAACCACTCTAAATGGCCATGTTCAATAGCGAACTGTTAGTTTACCAGAGGGTAATTTGGCATCAATTTGGATTCATTTAGCCTGGCGATCGGATTCGTAGGTGGAAAAAAAAATCGTTCGATGAATGCCATCGAGGTGCATAGCCATTGAGGATGTAGGGCTGAAGGACACCATCAACTTCCAGAGACCCGTCCTCAGGACATCTCAGGACCACTTGGATATGAGTGAAACATGTGGTTCCAATGGGCGATGGACCCACAAGTTTGCCATGTCTATCTGTTTAGATATTCTAAGATATTCTAAGTATGACACCTGAGCCTGAAACCATCCGTTTTTGGGGGGCAAGACGTAAAACATTCTGACATATACTTGGAATCGGTCTGTGAAACAAATCAAGGAATCCCACGGAGTTCTAGGTGATGATGCCAACTGTACTGGCCTTTCACCATCCATTTTGTGTTTTGGCAGGATGCCTTTCCTGACAGACAAGCACCCCAGTTCCCCTTCGGAGGCGTACCCGGTCATAGATGACGAAGTGGTCCACACCGATCAACCTCATTGAGTATATCGAGTGAGAATGGCTACTCTGAAAACGACTTGTTGAGGGATTCAATCCATCCTCAGAATCCTCAGATCAACTTCAGTAGGCTCTGGTAAATGTTTACATAACTATGGAAAATCACCATTTTCAATGGGAAAATCCACTATAAATGGCCATGTTAGTTTACCGGAGGCTATACGAAATCAAGCAGTCAGGGATCAGATCGTGAGGTGCCACAAGAGTCTTGTGGGGCATTGTGGGGTGATTGAGATGCAAAAACCATGTCCGTATTGGCTTTAGTTCCGAATGTCGTGACGTTTTGGGGGGGGCGAGATCAAAACAACGTACCATGTATGTAGTGTATGGTCGTCCAATCACCAGTTGCGGGGGCTTCCGGTTTCTCATGAATATGGTTAAAAAATATCAAGAAATCCTATTAATGGTGGTGTGACCAGCACGTGATATGAATCTATGCCAAGCATCAGAGCACACCAGTGGACACGGCCCCGAAAAATCTTAGGATCCAGGCCGATGATATTCCAACCAATGCCGCACCAACGCAGACTTGTAGGTGCCCTTCCTGAGCGAAAGATCTTGCGGCATGGCTTCATAGGGGTTATCACCATTTCATTACATTTCATCAGCATCACAATGCATCACATCTAAGTTGGAACTCCTTCTGAATGATGCTGATACTATCTGAATTATTTCATCACATGGGTATCACGTGGTATCACTATTTCAGCCATCATAAGCTATTGAATGATATTATTTCGGATCGCCATTTTCAATAGAGGCCGCACAACTTTCCCAGCCACGGATCGGTGCCAAGTGGCAAGCCATACAGCACCTCGCTGCACACCACCAGTTTCCGCCTTCGTCAACGTGTCAAACTGCTCAGGAATTGATGACAAATTAACCATTTAAGATCATTTAAGACATGAAATGACATGACACTTTGCATTCAACGCCCTTGCCAAGTTTGAATCGCTGTCAAATAACTACGACAATGAAACATTCAAGAGATGACTCAGAAGTCTCAGAAAGGCGATAATGCAGTGGAAATCAATGTTCAAACTCCGTGGAACATCCAAGGTACCAACTCAACCTCTCTCAAGTGAGCAGCTTGCAAAACATGGTACCAGTACGGATTTCTTCTACTGTTTGGTTCTGTTTGGTTCATGGTTTCATTGGATGGAATATATGGAATTGGATCATTGGAATCAGCCATAGTGATAGATTTTCCCATAGGTGGAAGTTGCTTTGCCCGCTTCTCCCAGGGATGAAAATCGAACGACACGTGACGTGCCCCCAGACGCATAGGGCGACCGTGAGGGCCCAGGAGTAGGAACGGCCTGAGGTGAAACATGCTGGGCGAACAGGAGTTGTCCAAAGATGGCTTGATTGGATTGATATACGTGAGACTTGAAACTACAAAATATAGATAGAACATATATATAGATATAGTATGATATAGTTGATAATCATGACAAGAACATTGAAACATATTGAAACTACGAAATTCATAGAACATCATAGAACTATGTATACACACTGAACTTATATATTACAATCCTAACGTTCTACCGCAGTTCCAGCTGCCCACGGCTGTCGGATCCCAGCTGGCAGTGGCTGGAAAGGACAAAGTCGGAGTCCTGTGCATCGGATCGGGAGGGTTTCTCTACAGGGAAGCCAGCTATGGCAGCTGGCTGGTTCCATCATGTTCCATCCAAATATGGGGATGCAATGGGATGCCATGGGATGGCACCTCTGTAAATTCCCCCATCAGCAAATCTGGGATACAAGAAGTGGTGTCCCACAAGCTGTCTGAATGGCGACAATCGCCGCCGTGCATCGTGGTGCATCTGAAAAGTTCATGACTGCGAATGACCAGGCAATGAAAATCAGGAAGTTGTAAGAAAGAAATTCTCGGCACGACCCCTTAGCTCAGCAAGTCAGATTCACAGATTTTCTGTATCCAACAACTGTTCCGCAAGACAGTCCTGACAACGACCATCCAGCAGCTCTCAAAGCTTCGACAGTTGAAGAGACTGTCAACCTCACTGGGAACTTTCCAGTGAATGAATTAAGGATGAAGGACCTGATTCCCCTGAAAGCAATATTGGGTCTAGTGGTTTGAAACACTGAGCACTATAAAAGTTCATGGGATCAACCCAACTCATTGGTAGTTTTGACCCATCCCACATCCCACATCCCAAAATCTCGTTGTTACTTGGGATTGTCATCCCCATTTTTCCCCAATTTTCCGAATGATTGAAACGATGTCCCATGGCCAGGCTAGATGGCATCCTGGAACCCAAGATAAACTGCACCAGCTGGGATAAGCCTTTGGAGTTGACTACTTGTTGAGAGGTCCACTCCATCATCCACTTTTAGGGATGAACCAATATTCGTCATCCAGACGTCCCTTCTCTTGGATGAATCTGCAGCTTTTACCCACATACTAACACCATGTCTATGCCCAAAAAATCGAAAGATTTTGAAATCATCTAAATATATGTCTTGAAGCGGTCCCCAACAATTTAACATCATCTTACATGCCATCACTTGGATGCTAAAAATGGCAAGATCATGCAAGATCTATTACATTCTTTTCCAGGGACAATATAGTAAAACATGGAAAAAAAACATCCCCATCTCAAGTGCAAAAACCTCGGCACCCAAACGTCACCGGCTGACTTCGACTCGGTGCGGATGCAAAGCGGCACCGCAGCAGCGCCACGGTCCCCGAGTAGGACACCGCGCCTGCGCGGCGGTGGAAAACCAGTTGCTTGGGACCTTGCGATCAGCATTTTGACCCTTTTTAAGATGGTTTGAGATGTTGTTGATTAGTAAATCGTTCGATTTTGGGAAGTTGGGTGGCAATCTTCTAAAGTAAACCAGACCCTGTTTGCGCAGCCAATTCCTCATATACACCGAGCTGGCGAGTCCCGCACCATCGATGAGGCCTTGGCTCACGGCCGTGGTGCCATCCTGCATGCTGCAGCTCCATTGCGTCAAGTAGCTCCTTGGAGGCGCTGGCAACAGATCTGCTGAATTTCTGAACTTGGATGAACTTGGATGGCCAGAACCTATTACACCATATAAGGGGATAAACAATGATAAACACTTGAGAAGGGGTGACACGAAAGGTAGTTGTGTCAGACGTTATAACTCTGACTGTCGTTGTGATGTGACTCCAGCTTGGGTGGTTCATGAACCGTGGACGGGCATGAAACTGGACATTCATAGCTGAACGGAGATATCTGGATCCGAAAAGAGGGCACCCCACGATTGCCATGGTTGATCATCACTTAGTCTATTTAAAGAGCCATTTGGAGGTATATTGTCTGACACACGCATCGTGCGGGGAAAAAAAACACCGTCAGTGTTAGCACAAACCCCAAAGTCGCTTTTGCGGTACCTATGGATGCTCGAACCTGTCACTTTCATCGCACCGTTGGGTACGGGGCAAATGGATGTCGAAAAATCCGAATTGCAAGTCGAATGATGATGATGATGATGATGGTGATGATGATGATGATGATGATGATGGTGATGATGATGATGATGATGAGGATGATGACGATGATGCTGATGATGAGACACTGCGAAGGGGCTGCTGCGTGAAGAGACGCACAAGGCATGTGACGAGAGTTCACTTGGGGGGGAGCATGGAACTGGACATTCAGAGCAGAGCGGAGATATCTGGATCCGAAAAGAGAGCACCCCACGATGTCCATGGTTGCTCATCACTTAGTCCATTTAAATAGCCATTTGGAGGTATACATTGTCAGACACACGCATCGTGCGGGGAAAAAAAACACGGTCAGTGTTAGCACAAACTCCAATGTCTCTTTTTGCGGTACCTATGGATGCTCGAACCTGTCACTTTCATCGCACCGTTGGGTACTTGGAAAATGGATGTCGAAAAATCCGAATTGCAAGTCGAATGATGATGGTGATGAGGAGGAGGAGGAGGATGATGATGATGATGGTGGTGGTGGTGGTGATGATGACGAGACACTGCGAAGGGGCTGCTGCGTGAAGAGACTCACCAGGCATATGGCGAGTTCCCTTTGAGGGGGGGGCCTTTCTCCTGGTCGTTCAGGGATAAGGGGTCCAGCCCCCCCCTTTGCTTCGCAAAGTAAAACTCAAGGTAGCCCGCTAGGAGGCTACCTTTCGTGATCTATTTAGTCAGCACCTATTCTGATGTCAATTAAAGGGTAACAGACGTTTTCATGCTTCTGATCCATAGCCAAATGAGACTCGGTTGCAAACATCTGAAGATATCTCAGGATATCTCAAGGACATCTGCTTCTGCAGCTGAGAAATCCAATCTCTCCCCCCACACTTCAGCACCTCCACTCTGCCAAGGTACTGAGGATGTGTCTGGAAGAGCCTCTGACCTGTCATGTCAATGAGTCCATGACGTCATTGTCCTGAAACTTATTCGATAGTTTGATCGAGAAGATCAAGTTGGTACACTTGCGGAACCTTTTTTGTGTTTGGTTTCTCTTAGTTTCCAGCACCTGGTGACCCAGCCCAAGGTGAAGCGGAGACACTCCTATCCCAAGACGAGGCAGGAACGCCGTCCACCAGCACGCAGGGATCCCTGGGTGCCACGAAGAGTGAAAGCTCCACCTCCGATGCTGTGGAAAGGTGAAAGGTGGGGTAGGTCTGGAGATTTCAGTGAGATTGCTGTGGGATATCATGCGTGTATTGTATATGCGAAATACGGTAATGGTGATGAGAAGATAAACAATAATGATGGGATGGCAAGTAACCAAATGTCTCCCTCTATATATGGGCAATCACCTACCAAAAGATATGTGCATTAAGTGTCCAAATGCCCAGAAGACGAGGGATGCGGATGTCCCAATCCTAGGATTCCTGTGTCACATGTGGATCTTCATCCTGCCGAGGTCTCAATTGTGCCATAACATGCCATAACCAGTGAATCCTAACCTATCCTCCCCAAATTCTCCAGGAATCTTCCAGGGATCAAGTTACACGGCCAAACCCGATGACCATGTCATGACCATCCAGTGGCTGCTGACTTTGGCCTCCCAAGCCGATCCATCCTCCTGTCATGACATGGTGAAAGGATAGAAAAGGGCTGGTGATGGTCCCGGTTTTTTGAAACTCCAAGTGAAAAGAAAAAGAATCCTTTTGCAAATGGTGTGGGTCCAATTTCTTGTGAGAATGTGTATATAATATTATATATTCATATGTGTAAATTTATAATCATATATCTCTATCAGCTATCAACCACTTCAAAATTCACCAACCTGAAAACATTGGCTCATTCTGGGGTAGTTCCAAAAATCACCAATAAAAACATCATGACTGGGGTGTTCCCCTTCTCATCCACCCAGAATGCCAGGACTTAAACTGGCCTCCGCCCAGGCGCCAAGCCTCGCTTTTTTTCGGTGCAGGAAAAAGCATTCGAATCAACGAAAAATCACCAATGTAGCTAAGTCATACCACATGACCAATCTTAAGGCTGTATATATAGTATATATATATATTTATCTTGATATATCTTGATATATCTTGATATATCTTGATATATATATATATTGATATATATATATATTGATATATATATATATATTGATATATATATATATTGATATATATATATATTGATATATCTTATATCTTGCATGGGTAAATTCACCCGACAAACAAATGACAAATAGCCCAAGGTGGTCAAGGCTCCCTGGTCATTTGCATCACCATCTCTGCCTCGCCAAGTGACACAGTCGCTTCAAGCCTTCCACCCAGACCCAGATCTCGCTTGACGACATCTCCTGCGTGCCACAAAGCGCAGCTGCCCCATGGCTGGATCACGTAGAAAAAAAACGATGGAAAGCTTGGCGGTCTTGGGGATACTAGCAACATTGATGTATGTATAGATTCAAAACACGTATCCTAGAAGATTTCAGCAGAAGATATCCTGCATTTTGGCTTGCTTAGCCAAGTCTACACGGGGCTGACCCCTCCTCCGAAGAAGGCTTTCGGGCATCCATGTCATACAAAGCAGCTAAAGCAGCTCATCCATCTTCATCCCTCTTTTATATCGGGATCAAACCTGTAGTTTCGGATGAATCAAACCTCAACCCATCAATATGTTGTTCTTGGCAAAAATCACGACAACACCATATTCTGACATTCGTCCTGGCATGCCACAAATGCGCCATTTGTGCCTGAGCAACGCTGAGCCAGGGGTTTGATACACTACATGTCACATCTGGAAGGAGTGGCTACCAACAACCATTTTGACTGGTGAACACAGGATTATCCATGCTTTAAAGTTTCTCAACTATCAAGAAAAAATGTTCAGTCCAGCAGAGTTACGTAAACTCACATAAACTCTGATCCATTGTTTCCTTTCAGATCAACTCCCAACGACTCCAAACATCTCCAAACATCATTTGCAATTTTGGACCATAAATGGAGCATGACTTGATTTCCCAAAAATACGCAAAATAACCCACATATTGCTTTAATTCCCAATTTATAGATGAATTTTGCAAAAAAACAATGGATTGGTTTAAGGGAAAATTTTAACCGGAAACCAGAGTTATTTTCCCATTAAATATGGGGCTATACATTGAAAAAACCTATCAAAAATCAACATCTGAGTGCCGGTCCCAGGTCTGAAGCTCGGTCGCAAGGTGATCCACTTGCTGCTGTCCAAGCCTCGGCGACCGGCCACCGGACGGTTGGGATCCACTGAGGGTTTTGTTCGTAGCTACTGGGTGAGTTGATGGGTGAAATGTTTGGAAAATCAGTAACATTTATGAATTAAACCATGGCTCCACTGATTCATATGGGAAAATATGGTTAAAACATGTTAAATCAGTATGATGAGTAGTAAGGAGACCCTAATTTTTTGTGAATTAAACCATATGGCTCTCCCCCACAAAATGGTTCGAACTCAGCGCCCCAACTCACCATGCTAGCCGCGATGAACGCGCTTGGCATGGCATTTGGTGCCTGTTTCTCCAAGGTTGGGGGCAGAACGTGCCAGTGTTGCTTTCCTAAAGCAATTCTGCCTGTAGTGCTACTCTTGATTCAATTTACAGCGCTCTGTCATTCCATGGACATGGCCAAAATTGACCAAATTTACATTAGTATTCAAAGGTCTCATCAGAAAATCCATTTCTTCATTGTAATTTCATCTATGGACAAACTTCATGATGAACATAGGCGACAAATGGCCAGCCTAAATGGCCTATAAACTGTATAGAGAACACTCATGGCCTACAAACGTTGTATTTTCCCAGCCGGGCCATCTCTATTGCCTGGCACTCCGCTGGAGGATCTCTCCAGCTTTCAAAGGTCACCTGCAGAAGCAGGGACCACCAATGCAAATCATGGGTAAAACCTTCGAAAACCTAAAGCACAAATGGGAAAAAGAATGGAAAAAGAATGGAACATGTGGTCAATTCACAAGTCCGAGTTTCTATACAGAAACTCGCGGACCTAAGCTATGGCTTACCGTAGTTCTACTGATTCTACGTCACCCAGCTGGTAACGGTGCCTCCATCTTGGCCAAGGCATTGAAACAGCTGCGCTGCGTTTCTGTCAGCTGTGCCAGGATCCAAGCGGAGTCCTGGGGTGTAACCATTCAGCCAGACCTACATCACCCATGAACACTTATCTGTGTTATAATATTATACATATATATATATATATACTTCCAAAAACGTTGGGATGTTGGTTTGGTTTTTCCACCAGCCAAGAAAGATCAGACGGTGGCTTTTCAGGGCTCCTCCTTCCAGGCATCTGCCAGGCGCCGCCAAGCCCAAGTGACCACAGCCCAGAAGTCCTGAGAAAAGTGCCACCACGCGACCACGGATGGATCACTGCGATGATCACGCTGGGATGTTTTCAAAGCCAACAAATGGGGGACGGTTTGAAGCAACAGACATGTGGGATGTGGGATAGCTGAGATACCCCTGACAAATCAGGATGGTTCCGTGGGATTTTGGCAAAGGTATGTGGAAAGAATGGGTGAAATTGCCAATGGACCCACAGAAACTGTCAAAAATTGTTCTTTCTCGGTTGTGAATGGTAAAGGATATCCATTAAATCAATCTGAGCCATATAATATAATATAATATAATATAATATAATATAATATATATATATATATATACAGTAATAGATAGATAGCCAATTAAGTTGAAGAAAACAAAACACCCCCTCCGTGGTTTTGCTCCTGGTCTTTCTCTAGCATCGGCAGCGGAGCCAGGACTTGTTGCATTTCCTGCAACCGCCTGGGATTGGCGGGCTATGGATAGAAAAGCAGTAATTATGATTGTAGGGAAGATGATTCGGGGGTTCGAGGTATAACCATAACTTACCTCTTGAATATAAGTCTCTATGGTTATAACCATATATTATCATATATTATAACCATATATCATAACCTCTTGAGTATAAGATAATATAAGTCTCTCGTTCTATCCCACCAGTTGATTGTGGCTCCCCCTCCCGTGGAGATCTCCGTGATCGCTCTCTCAAAAATGGACTCGATGAGGATAAGTTGATGAGTGCCAGGTCCACATACCATCTACCCTCTGGTAATTTAACAGTTTGCTATTGAAAATGGATGAAAATGGCCCTCTATAGTTGATTTACCTATTAGAGATGGTGATTTTCCATAGCTATGTTAGTTTACCAGAGGGTAACACCACTTTAGCAGAAAAAAATGGCGAGAAATTGTCGGATGTAAAGAATCCAGAAACGAATCTCTGCCTCGCAGGCGAGAACTTCCGCCACGTGTCGACCTGGGAAGCTCACAATGGACTCCTGCTTTAAAGAATGGACTCCTTGGTGGTTTTCCTGATTTAAGAACATTGCCATCTACAGGAATCTAAATCATCCTAAACCCGACAGAGTATGACCTTCATCCACAAAACGGCCATGCGAGCAGAAGTTTGGGTCAAGTCCTTGGATGCTTCGTACCAAAAACTCGTGTAAAAATATGTGGGCTTGTGGTGTATTAAATGTTTGACCCAACCCATGTAATATATATATATAATACTATGTGCATATCCACTTCTTTTACCAGTTATAGTTGGGTTCATTGCTTGAGACTCCCCCAAATATCCCCAAAGGCTTTCCAATAATTCGCTATTAGGGGTGAGTTGGACCTATAATGTAATCTTATTAGACCCCGAATCTCTCCAAATGTGTTCCTTTTTTTCAGATGGTTCTAGTTGTGTCAGTAACCCAAAAGAAAAACCATGATCATCATATGATCACCATACTATCACCATATTATGCCACTATCCCATAAAAATTATTACCATATTACCACCATATTGTTACCATTATACTATGATGATACTATGATGATAATATGATTATTTTTGTCCCTTAACATCCCATAACCATATATCACTATAATGACTGTTTCCCCATAACCCCCGCAGTCCCACGTCGGTCATGGCCTCCGCCACGAGGTGCAGCAGCGCGACCACATGGGCACAGGCTCCAGCACAGGCCGCCGAGCCATTGGCAAAAGTCCAACGACTGGAAAAGGTGTGGATGGTGAAGCCATGAGGCTTAGATTCTGGGGGAATCTATCCATCTGTATTATATATATATAATAGATATTGTATATGGATATTGTATATGGATATTGTATATGTATATATATATATAATGTCAGTTGTGAATGATTGTTAGTATTGTTCTTCTCATTATCAGTATTGCAGTAATTGGTGTAATGATTATGATCATTGCTAATTAGTATTACTATCATTATACATGCATACAATACCAGATACAAGACATCATATAATAGTATCATTTGCGGGTCTCTGAAAGTTAGGGTATCCCTATTCTCACCATCGCAATTTCCTTGTGTAAAATTAGACCAATGACCTGGATGCACAAAGATGGGCCCCCGTCAACCCATGCACATTAAATTGATTCTATTGGTTGTTCATAAACCTACCAGTAGGAAAAGGACATCCGTCAAAGAAGTTTATTCTTGATGGGCAGCTACACATTTCTCCACGTATGGCTCAAAATCTCGAAGGACACACACACATATATATATATATAATTATCATACAGAAGATCGAAACCAGCCGAAGCAAGGTTTACCCAGATCAAGACAGTCTCCCACTGGATGAAAACAAAGTTCTTCCCAGTTTCATCGATCAATATCTTTTATTTAAAAAGTTGCAGTGAGTGGATGCAAAAAAACGGTTGCTGCTGGCTAAAGTAACCTAAGTATGACCCCCAAATATCCCTAGTCTTCTGCGTTGATATTTCCATGATATCATTTGATATCCCCATTCTATTTGGTTTAGCTTGTGGGTGGCAAAAAGCCCCAGTGTTTGCTCCTGGCTGTTCAACCCTCTGCCTCGTATCTGCCATAGCGAAGAGACTCCAAATGCTGCCGTAGCTGCCTTGGGAACTCGGTAGGGTGCCCAGTCTTCAGACAAACCCAAGAAATCCCAAGAACATGCAAGCGCTCTGACAGTCTTGGCGCTCACATGCGCTCATACAAAGCAATGCAGCAATACTTATCCAGGTCTATTCAATAGTCTTGGTTTTTTCCAAAATCTCTGCTCCCCACTGGAATAAACCAAGGCCGAGGTCCCCGGCCAAAGACCTGGTGATCTGCACTGAAGGCGGAGGTGGCTTCGGAGCTCTTCAGACCTTTTGGGAGATCAATGGGATCCTTGGTGGCATATTTGATGGGTACAATATGGTGTGATGTATAGTTTTATATGAAGAATGTTTCAGGATCATGCGGATGTTCTGACCAAAGCAATGAACGATTTTTGGCCAACAACAAGAATGGATGGGAATATGTACAGTAACTTGGATTATTGTTGGATATAGATTCATATAGATGGGGTAGAACATCCATTGGTAATGGCATTTTTTCCAGATGCGCAACAGCCAGTGGGATTTCGAGGTTCAGTCCAGGTGGGTTTGACTAAAACCACCCCAGTTGGTTTGCCAGAAATTTTGGTGCTACAAAACCATCCTCAGTTGGAGGTTTATGATTGGGCTTACTGCAGCTGTACATCACATGAAAAAATATATATATATATATATGTATATATATATTAAATATATATATATATAATAATACTTGAGGCCGGGGGTGGATGACGAAAGCTAGCGGGGTAGGAGAAAGAAGGAAGGGAAGAGGTGAGTTGCGGAGGGACTGTCATCATCGTGTCGCGGCATTGTTCGTCCCAACGAGGATGCAACAATGATATATTGATATATGATATATAACAATGATATATATGGGGGAGGGGGCAGGGGGGGGCCCTTTCGCGGGAAAAATCACGTGATGTCCTTGGGGAGCCCCGGAATACGTGCTAAAGCAAGAAGACTCTAGCGAGCTGACGCTAGCTTTCGTGATAATGACAATAATTGCCAATAATGATAAAATGTAATTGAATAACGATGATGATGATGATGATGATGATGAATGATGAATGATGAATGATGAATGATGAATGATGAATGATGAATGATGAATGATGAATGATGAATGATGATGATGATGATGATGATGATGATGATGACGAGGATGATGATGATGATGAGGACGATGATGACGAGGAGGACGAGGACGAGGACGAGGAGAGGACGATGACGATGATGATGATGATGATGATGATGATGACGAGGATGCTGATGATGATGATGATGATGATGATGGGATGGTGGTGATGGTGGTGGTGGTGGTGGTGGGGGAGGTGGGGGGGGGGGGCCCTTTCGCGTGAAAAATCACGTGATGTCCTTGAGCAGCCCCCCCAATACTTGCTAAAGCAAGAAGACTCCAGCTAGCTGACGCTAGCTTTCGTGATAAATGAACATAAATGGTCAGACTCGACTGATGGAGACACCACACCTTCCCAGATTTCCCAGGAGGTTCTTGTCGAACGAATGAAGTATATAACCTCCCAGGCAGCCGCACCTTCAAAGCTCAGGCGCTGCAATGGCTCAGCTGCCCTGTGCACCCAGCGACAGCAGTTTGCAACAGGTGCAGGAAACACCAGAAATCGCCAAAGCTAGCGGTGTAGCAGATCCATTTGCAACAAATGTGGCCATGCATCAAAACCCTGGTACCAGTAGGTAAACTGCAAAATAGTTGGCAAGTGGAGGTCCTTCTCATCTCCACAACTCAAATAACCTGGTGAACATCCAAAAATACATGGTACAGTTGAAATGAATGGCTGTTCGTCTCATCCCCATCTACATCATTTTAGATTAATTTATCAACTTCAGGGATCACTACATCACCAGCTACCCACTTCCCACCACTTCTGGGCACCCGGCTGAGTTAGCGTCTCCAGGCTCGTGAGCATGTCAATGTTCAAGAAGACGCCCTGGTGCAGTTTCCCCTGTTGTTTCCCCGATGGTTCTAGTACGAAAAGATCGCAAATTGTGGGAACTCTGATAATGATTCATAGTATTTCGTAGTGTCATACGTAACAATTTGGAAAGAAAGGGGAATATGATGGGAAACTTCACCCAACGTCACTTCGGAATAGTTTATAGATCTTCCACTCAACCAACGAGGCAACAATTTACGCCCATCACGGCCGAGGATTGAAAGAGCGCAGCTGGATCTTCTCCATCTCCCTGAGAAAGGCATAGCAAGGCATCAACAATCCCTGATGGACTGGTTTCACTGTATATTCCAGTGGTGATGATGATAGTGGACTATATGGACTATATTCCCATCCATATAGTCCACTATCATCATCACCACTTCAATATACAGGAGAACCAGTGGCTCTGGCTCTCCCCGCCTCTCTTCCACATCTCCATGCTTGCCGCATGCGCCGCTTCGCCCAGGCATTGGACACACCAAGCCATGCGTGCGAAGAGTACTGGGCCAAGGGTGCAACAGCCACCGGGGCAGCTGGTTGGTGGTTTCAAACCCATTTGAGAAATCGTCCCAATATCGCCCAAGTAAGGAGCACAATGCAATAGACAGTGACAGTCAGTGACCATGTTTTGAACCCCCCAGCGCACAGTTTGTGTTTCTGGTTCACAAACCACTCAGAACGACAAGGGGAAAAGACCCCCACTGCAAGCCCTGGGGCCCTGGAGCAGCCGTGGCTGAGGCCAGCACAGCCCAGCCCATCCGGAGCAGGCTGAAGTGACGCGGTCCCACAGTCTCTGGAACTTCACATCCCACAGAGTCACAGTAGATGGCCTTGCACCATCGACAAAGGTCATGCATTGCATGGTAGTATGGGAACGAGTTAGCTTAATAATCTTAATATCCAAAATATGTAGAGTCTTTAGTGAGATATGGTGAGATATGGTGAGATATTTAAGCTATTGCCCCATGTTCATATTATTGGAACTTATCCAACTTTGAAACAATCATGAAAGTAGACACCTACAAAAACCGGAAAGTAATATTCCATAGGAATCCATAGGAATATTAAAGGTGGATTCGCCAGTTAAACCTGTTGAGCCTCTATATCAACAGTTTGCCTACATCTCAGTGCAACTGTCTCAGTGCAACGGTCGCTGTCCTACCTTGCTCCGATTGGCTGGCACTGTATGAAGCGCAGGTGGCGCCACGCACAGCGACATGGCTGCAACGTTTGGCTTCCCAGGTGCTGTCCATGGGGGATTCCCACAACTTTGCTGGGATTGCTTGCATGTCCATCTCTTAATAGGGATCCCTATGCGGCCCATTACCCAAGTTGTGAAGTTGTTTCAGGTGTCAATGAAATAATGAGAATAATAATGATCACTCATTCTTTCGAAGCCACAAGAAGCAAAATCGATGAGTTTCCACTTGCTGGATCCCTCTGTTACCAATGGTTTTCCAACCTGAAAGATTCCAAAGAGTCTTATGCAAGATCAGTACAAATTGATATCGATTTGTTGTTGTTGTTGTTGCTGCTGCTGCTGCTGCTTCATTGATCTTCCCTCCAGGAGGTGTCGTTATTTCAGATGCATCATCGACGATGTTGACGTTGAAATCCAAAACCCCATGCGGATCCAACGGGGCAAGTTGCTGGGATGCAAAGCTTGGAGAATGCTATGGCTCCCCCAAAAACTCCCTCCGCGAAAAGCGGCACTTTTTCAAAACAATGGACTTTCACAGGAGTTCAAATATATACAGGTCATGCGCGAACCCCTTGCTGTGGCAAGTTGTTGCCAAGTTCGTAACTCAAATATCTTATCCTGTGGTCAAAGAGCAGCACAGGGGCTCACACTCGTGATACACGGTGAGTCGAAATGTCTCCGTTCCTCCATACAGTCCGTCTGTGTAGCACTGGATCCATCAAGTGGACTTGGAAGTATGGACAAATGGCCCATCAGATTACAAGCCAACCATTCGTTGACAGGTTAACACAGCCATTGAACATGTGTTTGCGCAAAACAGTGGGACAAAATCAGACACGCTAAGCGACTGTGGGCAACTGTCCAAAGTCATCCAGCAGCTGAAACCCCTGCGAGAAACAGCCATCGCGACCATGGCAGGGAACACGCGACCAGGGCACGATCAGGAAAATTTCAATTGCCAGTTCGCACGCTATGCGTTCAACTTGACGAGCTTTCCGTCCGGGTGTGTCTGAAAATGGGGTACACCCATGTACTCGCACAATGGCAATCTTAAAGACCTTAAAGCAGATTTACGGATAATCACCTTATTTTCAGACAAACCATTTATCCATTTCATATGGCAAAGATTGGCAAAGAAACAAGTGCATCCCTCAGATTTCACATCGGATTCCACACCCGAATTTCTCAAAAAGCACGGGCAATTCAGAGTTTGTCATAGAACATCTGGTCAAACTACAACTTGTCACCTTGCTGAAACATCGATCTCTGAGGGTACGCACGTCGAATATTGTAGGAATGCAATCGACCTGCGCCTCTATGCCTCTATGCATTGAATTTCTCAGACATTCCCGTTGGCACCTGGCAGCAAAGCAAAGTCTTCGGCGAAAATCAAGTGGATTCAAGTGGCAAGAAATAAGGTACCTAGGGAGTAGTCAGATGTTCAGCAAATACTCATGAACAATGATAAGCCAAAGTAAATTACTGGGAACTATCCAAATCCGTTAAATTTTTGAGGGCAGATCGTTATTGTTTCTACAAGCCACACGTCCTGAATCTGAATTCACAAAGAAGAACCTCCACATCGTTCCCAATGAGTGTGTCTGAAAACAGAGTATACATGAGTATACCACATTTAATGTTATTTATGGCCACTCCAATAGGGAACATGATGATAAGTGATTACGATAAACAATCAAATGTTGGGGGTATTTCCGTATTACCCCATTTTCAAATGTTCAGACAAAAACGAGAAAACACATTTAAAGCCTTCAAACAAATAAAACACCACGTGTAAAAAAAACTTTGCCAACATGTGTTGAGGGATTGACCACCATCGCGTGTCTGATGAATAAACTGCTGGGATCTCTATCAGTTGAGAGTAGCGTCAATCAAGATCCAATGACAACCCAGGTTGATTGATAGGGTCCCCAAAATAGTAGTAATACTGTCACAGTTCATAATGATTAATGGTTTATGATAGTAGTTGAAATTTACTCTGAGCTTCACTTGCCATAATTCATGATAGCAGCTTGATTCCAATTTTGAGGTACCAGAGTGAACCGGCGCTTGTTATGTCACTGTCTGTCCCAACAGCTCTTCCCTGATATCTTGTTGTGCCTTTGAGATCCCCACTCCTGGCGCTGTCGAGTTGATCTGTTGATCAAATGGCTGGCTTCGTGGAAGATCATGTCTTGAAATCATCTGCAAATGGATCGATGATTAATGATTATATGTACAAACACACATATTGTATTGTGTATTAGTCGCCATCCCAAACAATTCCAAATAGCATTGAAAACAAGGAACCAGCTGAAGGGTAATGACCACAGATGCTGCTTAGTCTCTGAGAGGGATGATAGATCCCTGGCACGGTCGATTCAAGCAAACATACCCCATCAAAAACCTTATCATGCTGGTTTCACGTGGCAACCCCAACCACAAACCATACCCAAGTTTTGTCACTCGAGGGTTGCTCCAAACCATCTCCAAAGCCCTCACCCCGCGCCTGTTGTGGAATCCAAACCTTGCACCCTCTGCACGTGGTGAGCTTCGACGCGGCCCCCCGTACAACTGGCCATGCGAAGAATCCACCAGGTGCGTCAAGTCATTGGGGAACCCCTAAGACATGCGCTGGTTGCACGGGTGCACCGGGTGCACCACCAAAAATGAGGAGTCAAAGTCAGAAGCCCCCAGACAAATGAGATGCTTGCATAGTAAAACTCGACCAGACCGCTTAATCTCTTGAACCTCACATATTTAACAACAAGACACCAACCAAGTAAAAATTTCATTGGGGGAACCCCCACATCTACAAGAATCACCCGTCAATTTAACAGCCTTAAAAGCTGCCAGGAAGAGCAATCTCATGGCACCTTGGCATCGACTGGTACCTCAGGGTCATGATCATCGTGCAGACGCATCCTCAGCCGCTGGAATTCAAACGAGGGGGGCATGAGTAACATCTTCAGGATAGGGTTTTGCATTTTCCAGAGTTGGCGTAAGATGCCTAAGTTTTGTTTTGTTTGATTTTGATCTCCCGAAGTAACATGTCATTTCTTTCCTGGTAAAATATTGCAGGAAGACCCCACTGTCGGTAAAAGATGAAAAAACAAAAGGGTTGCATGATTCATGTAAGTCCCTCCAACCCAGCTACTCATTCTTACGGAAGTCCAAAAATTGAGATTGCTTGGCACTTCGGTCTAAGCATTTTAAAGGGCAGAGAACCAACACCGGAAATGCACACGACGCAAAACCCCCGGAGGAGTTCACCTTGAATAACAGCATCTTTTGGCTGAGACATGAATGCGAAAGACATAAAATGCCATAAAATGTCATCCTGGTGCACCCTATTGAGTTCAAACGGGGGCATAGAGGGATGATCGGAAATAAAAGTTAGTGGTCAGGAGTTTTGTTCTCAGAGGTTCAGTCAGTTAGTAACAAGTTGCCAACGAGCCGTTCGAGGTGAACTGGTTTCATACGGCAAGCGAAAGAAATATGGACCCTCACAGCACCCCGTGATCCTAAAATATGACAAGGAGGTACGAGTACGAAACATTTACACATATTTATATATAATATGTATATTATTGTATATCATCATCATCATCATATCATCATCATCATCATCATCATCATCATCATCATCATCATCATCATCATCATCATCATCATCATCATCATCATCATCATCATCATCATCATCATCATCATCATCATCATCATATATATATGGAAAAAATGAAATAGAGTAGTTGGATACTCGAAGCAGTTCCAAATCGGTGGCTACTTCATTTCAAAACCGCCTATGGCAATAGAGATGCATCTGATGCGTTTTGGGTGCGCGGCTGGTAGTCAATGTGAACGAAGCATCGTTCCACTTCCTGCGATCGGTGGGTGTTCTCACGCTTGATTGGATGGCCTGAAACCTCTCTTGGTCTTCTTTCTGGTGCAGCGGCCCAACATTTCAGAAAGTTCAACTGGTCTATGAACTTGTTTGAACTTTCGGTTTCGTGAATGAAAGTCGTGAAGGGTCTTATGTCATCCCAAAGAAGCGAATCACCAGTCCAGAACCAGTGCACTTGGAGAATCAGTCATCTTACTTGGTATCTGGCAAATAACCCTCCATTCCAGTTACCTCTGGTAAACTAACATAACTATGGAAATTCACAATGTTTAATGGGCAAATCCACTATTTCTATGGTCATTTTCAATGGCTATGTTAAATTACCAGAGGGTATCACATCTGTCCTCCGCTATCTCTAGATCCTAGTTATCAACTGCTGCAGTATAGATGTTCTTCCAGTTACTACCCCCAGTTATACATAATTTCTACCAGTCGAGAACTACCAGTGTATTGATGTTATTCCAGTTACAGTTGTGGATGTCACGCAAGTAATATAGTGTTAAACAGTTTCAATATGTTATAGTTATACTATATTCTACTGTTTTTTTTCCAACTATCAATGGGTTGTAAGTTATAAGTTGTACCCTCTGGTAGTCAAATGTGGCTGGCAATGGAAAATTCTTTTTTTTATGGATTTTGCTGGGACTATCCACTGTTTTAAATGGTTTTAAATGGAGGGTTTTCCAGTCAGCCACATTTGAAAAGCAGCAGCCGCTCCGGGTAAGTTCCATGGTTGCCCCCAGCCATAGCAACGACGCCTCCAAGGTCTCGATCTTATGTTGCAGCAAAATACCGCAGTCGTGCGAATCACGCAGTGTGGTGGACTGGCGCCGGTTTCCAGGTGGGAAAGTTTACGACTGTAATACACATAATATGAACAAACACAAGATGATGCATATCGATATATATATATATATAGATTAATATAGTACTTTAGCATAGTTTAAGCCAGATTCAAAGGTCACATCGACATTGCATCGATCTACATTTTTTCTGAGTGCGATCTGAATCAACAGTGTACTGTCAGTTGCTGCCAGCATCTCGGCTTTTCTGGGCGACTTAAACAGGCAGAGGTGGTCAGAACGTGGCAGTGATTCTGACCTACTCGACATCTCAAGCATCCTCAAAGTACCCATATAGATGCGTGAAACTACCAAAGGTTACGCCAGTTGTCAAAACAATTCAAAACATCTATCTTCACGGGTAAATTGAGGGTCTAGGTCTACAACCAGAAGTTACAAATCCTTTGGCAGCTAGAGCTGCAAGGCTATACTAACTCTTGGCAAGACAGCGGTGCTTCTGCTGTTTTGCCAGGGGGACAACAGCTTTACAGTGGATGAAGCTGCAACTCAAGTCCTCGACAATCGCGTGTGAACAACGAAGTTGCCGGGAGTTGGTTGTCAACTTGTTCGATTGGTCCAGAGAAGGTTGTCACCACCTTCGAAAAAGAAATAGAACAGACATTTACAAAAACATGATTCCGAACGGCTTTTCTCATTGACGAGATCATGGGTCATCCCTTTAACCGTTTCCAAAAGCCTCCACTGCGGTGACAGCTATGCGTCACTTGCGCATCTGAATCAATGACGGGAGAACCCATCATCACTCAGTATCGAGGGCATTGGTTTCAGGATGTTTCCAGCCAAACTAAGTCACTAAGTGTCTACCTTTCACGGAAGCCATGGAAAGTTCACGTTTTGCACCCAATTCACCATGGATTCACGGCAGATGTCGTGTGAAATCATCATCTTACGGCCTATCCCTGCTGTAGGAAGCGATGGAATTCCCCCTTTGGATACCATCTGTTATTTCACTCAGAAAGATCAACTCATACACTTTATCCCCATGCCATTCATGCCAGGGTCAATATCAGATTCTTTGGGTTGCGAAATCAATGCACACCTCTCCGTTACTGAAATCCAGCCGCATCACTTCTCGGGCCGTTCTTTGCAGACGAAAGTGATCAGCAGCTTAATCCATTTGAAGAAACCCACGAAGGCACCAGCAAAGATGGTCACACCAATGAAGACGCTGGAGTAGGCATCGATACAGGTGGAGGAGTCAACCTTGCACAACAAAATCATCAGTGACATCACCAGGGTGGTAGAAGAGCGAAGAAAGTCGGCGCTGACGTGCAAAAAGGCCGAGAACATGTTCACACTCTTACCGCTTCCAGTCTTCCTGAGCCAAGGGATGGTTATGGCTGGTTGCTGGAGGAGCTCAGGATACGAATATATATATATATAGATATATATATATATTATATATATTTTTTTTTTAGGGTCCCGGTTTCTCGAGTCTCCGCAACAAAAATAGAAACAATTATAATACACACAATTAATACACCGAAACACCGTCAGGTTTCTTATTGCTCTTGTAAAACTCCAACAAACACATCAGGTCGAACCCCACACCCCCCAGGGCAAAACCCAAGGTGATCCAACCGTTCACGTCATCCTCATCCTCCGCGTCCTTCTTGCCCCGGCAAACTTGGACCGTGCTCCAGCTCTCCTGAGAGTACCAAGTCTGGATCCACAAGAACTGTCATTTTTAGACTTTGTGGTTTAATTAATGTTTAATAGCAATATAGTTTAGATATTGATGTGTCCTATTAATATGTTTAATAGCGGTCCAATTTAAATGTGTTTAAATCATGTTTGGGGGCAAATTTTGAGCCATACCCATGCTCGGCCCTTGAGATACCTTATTCGCCAGCCGCACCCAACGGTCCTACAAGGATCCAGCACGTTCAAGGGCAGAAAGTAACAACCAAAAACGTTGTTACAGTACAACATTTCACAGCCCTGTTTTCAGATGGAAAAAGAAACACCTGGCAACGCTGGAACAGCCTCTCCTTCATTGCGTCTGCAGTGAAAAAGCACAGAAGTCCCAAAGACATCGCCACGATGATAAGCTGTGAAATGGCGTGGGTCTCACCATCACGTTTTCGGCATTCCACCACGATGTTTCCTGTCAGTGGCATCTGGTAATCAAAATATTGTCCGTAAAATCGTAGATAAGAACAGAGCATGCCACCATCCTAGCCAGGTCGGCTTGAGCCATGACCATTTGCTCAAGAGGGGTCATCCATTTCCAAGGGGAGTCTGCGACCCATCTTACACGTCTGCGGCACGGATTTTTCCCGTCTCAGATGGAATATCTTCATGGCATAGATCGCTCAGGCATGGTGCCATTTTCCCAATGGGTACGGGGGTGGAACCGCAGAGGATAAAAAATGACGAGTGTCCAAGATATGTAAATGCATCAACACCCATTGAGATACAGTCCATCCTTGGCTTGCGGCGGCAAAGCGGCAAACATGCATGATGAAGTCGGCAAAACGATGAACTCTACGATCCACTCTAATATAGGTGTTTAAACGTTATGTGTACATACTCAACTTGTGCTTACGTGGTGGTTTGGGTTGGTGGTTTGGAAGTCTGGGAATTGATGGTTTTGTAAACTTAGAAAAAACAAAAAATATCAAACCCTGCAAACAATGAAATCGTTGAAAATAAAGAAAACAAATTTAAAACAACAATGATTGCTACCAGATTAGGTTTGTTTTTGAATTGATATTCATCTTTTATCTCGGAAAATGTACACTTATTTAATGTCCAATAATTTCACGTGATTGTTTAATTGATTCTTGAATTCTAGTGCATTTTTCTGTACTTGTCTATTTATTTTTGAAATGGGGGAAAGACTGTTTCTTGAAACCGTGTGGTCCTATCCTGTACTCTGACTGATGCAGGTTTCATGGATTTTCCATGGAGCTTCCATGCAGGTTTCATGTTGGTTACATGCTGGGTTTGCAAATTTAGCTTACTGGTGGGTAACCTCCATGACAACTCCCTGGAACCTGCATGGAATCTGCATGGAACCTCCATGGAACCTGCATCAGTCAGAGTGCATGATAAAACCAACAAGTGTAGATAGAGGCACCACCTCCATAACGCACATGGAAACTGCATGAAATTCTACATCAATTCTCCATGGAACCTGCATGGAACCTCCATGAAAACTGCATCAGTTAGAAGGCGCCATGCAACCATCACGTTTAGACACAAGAAACAACGGTTACCTACATGAAACTTCCATGAAACCTACATCAATTCTCCATGGAACCTGCGTGGATACTCCATCAAGGAAGACGCCATACAATCATCAGGTGTAGATACAGGGAACATGTTCGAGTTTTTTTAATGGAAACTACATGGAAACCATCAGACACTTTGATGCAAATCGATCGCAAATCGATCGTAACTAAATTGATCGCACAAAAACTGTTATAGCATCTGTGCGTTTTGATGTCGTTTTCACTAGGCCATCTGTCTTTGCTGAGGTTTCTGCACTGGAAAAGTCAATTTCTTCCAGAATTTCTATTTATCCTGAGTGTTCGTTGCTTGGCGGTTTTGATGTTGGCAAGGCCAGGGTTTCAAGTGTGGACTTTGTAATGTGTCATTTTGATGTAGGATTTCGACGTTGTTTTGCGATCATTTTGCGATCCTTTGTCGATCGATTTGACATCGGCCTAAAAACGAATAAGAAGGCCATAAAACAACATCAATATGACATCGACAAGAACCTAAGGCCTGTAGAAAACGGCACTTGCCAATTCATATATTCATATGGTTTGGTGATCATAGAATCCAAGATGACATAAGTGAGTTCATTTCTCTTGGTGGTTTCGTCTTTTAATTAACTTAGTTTGCAATATTATATGTTAGGAACCTCCATCAAGTTGACACCGAGACAGACATAAAACTCCATCAAAATGACATCAAACAAAAATTCACATTTGAAACCTTGCCAAAATCGAAACCACCAAGCAGTGAACACTCAGGATAAATAGAAACTCTGGAAGAAATTGACTTTTCCAGTGCAGAAACAAAAAGGGACATCAACAAAGACAAATGACCTAGTGAAAACAACATCAAAATGCACAGATGCTATGACAGTTTTTGTGCGTTTTTTTACGATCAGTTTACGATCGATTTACGATCGATTTGCGATCAATTTGCGTCAAAGCGTCTGATGGTTTCCACGTAGTGTCCACTAAAAAAAAAGTCTCTGTTCCCTGTATCTACACCTGGTGCTTGTATGGCGCTTCTTTGATGGAGTATCCATGCAGGTTCCATGGAGAATTGATGTAGGTTTCATGGAGGTTTCATGTAGGTTCCGTTGTTTCTTGTGTCTAAACGTGATGGTTGCATGGCGCCTTCTAACTGATGCAGTTTTCATGGAGGTTCCATGCAGGTTCCATGGAGAATTGATGTAGATTTCATGCAGTTTCCATGTGCGTTATGGAGGTGATGCCTCTATCTACACTTGTTGGTTTTACCATGCACTCTGCCTGATTCAGGTTCCATGGAGGTTCCATGCAGATTCCATGCAGGTTCGAGGGAGTTCTCATGGAGGTTACACACCAGTAAGCTAAATCAGCAAACCCAGCATGTAACCAACATGAAACCTGCATGGAAACTGCATGGAAACTCCATGGAAACTCCATGAAACCTGCATCAGTCAGAGTACTGTACAGGATAGGACCGCAATGGAATTTGTTTCAAGAGAAACTTTTTTTTTCTCTGCTTTGCTTTCATGTAGATTATTTAGATAGAATAGATCGGTAAGGTCACTTGGATAGAGTAGGCATATTAGATAGATCAGATAGAAAAGGTAGACTAGGTGGATTAGATAGATTAGATAGATTAATAGACAGACTTGAAAGATTAGAGAGGTTGGATTAGATTAGCTTAGATTAGATTAGATAAGATCAGAGAAGATTAGACTAGTTTGATAGACAAATAGACAAACAAATAAATAGATAGATAGATTATGTAGATATATGAGATTTGTTGATAGATTGATAGATTGATAGATAGATAGATAGAGAGAGAGAGAGATAGATAGATAGATAGATAGATAGATATATAGATAGAAAGATAGATATATAGACAGACAAACAAATAGATATATTGGATATGATATATTAGATAAGTAAATAGATAGACAGACAGACAGACAAACAAACAGATAGACAGATACAAACAGATAGACAGATACTTAGAAAGATAGATTAGATTAGATTAGATTAGATTTAGATTAAGATTAAGATTTAGATTTAGGATTCAGATTTAGGATTTAGATTTAGGGTTTAGAATTAGGATTTAGAATTAGGATTTAGAATTAGGATTTAGAATTAGGATTTAGAATTAGGATTTAGAATTAGGATTTAGAATTAGGATTTAGACTTAGGATTTAGACTTAGGATTTAGAATTAGGATTTAGAATTAGGATTTAGAATTAGGATTTAGAATTAGGATTTAGAATTAGGATTTAGAATTAGGATTTAGAATTAGG